GTCTGAAAATGATTGCGTCACAGCATACGCAAGTCGAGAAAGAAAGACCAAGAAACAGATGCAGACAATAATTCCATTGAAGACGATGAGGATGAATAACGGGCGGAAATTAGAAAAAAAATTCTATCTTCTAAATCTTTAGTCTATTGGAAACGAAATGAATGACTGATTTTTTTTGTGCATGTATGTGACTGTCAATGGCACACTAATAGAATATCGATGTGCTAGTAGTAGGAGTAGTCGAATAGTGCGCAAAAGGACTACTAATGATAATAATAGTAGAAACAGAACTAACAGATGCAAATTAGATTCCAAAAACTAAGAAGAAGAATGATGAGAAGATATTGAAATGAATTATTAGTAGAAAATTAGTTGTATAAAAAGATAGATAGACGAGATGGGATGAGATGCAGTGAGTACGGCCATTGTACGACTAAATCAATATTCAGAGATAGCTCTTTTGCAAACAACAATTTTCTGCTCCTCTATTTCTATTCTCCTACTACTCCGGGTGTCTCCTAATTAAATTGTTGCCTTTCAAGCAATAAATAACTGATGAGAATATATATATGTGTGTGTGTGAAGAGAAACACGCGTATATGCACACATAAACATGCATCACACAGAGTAGGGAGAGAAAATGAAAGAGAAAGATATAATAGAAATCAAGTCTTGCAATCTTATCCCTCTTTGACTATATATATACATATATTTCATTGCTGGTAATCATTAGACACAACATTTGGGAAGAAAACTTGTTATAGGAGAAACCTCTAATAATTCCTATTCTTTTTTTACTCTTCCTTATTCGATTATCAACATAAATAAATTGTCCGATCGCCATCAAATAACACAAAATGATTAGATGACGACACGCAGATATTGATCAGATTTGATGTCATCAGACTGAAGTAATCTGATGGTTCCCATATGAGATTCATAAAAGAAGAAGAAGAAGAAGAAGAAGAAGGGAAATAACATCAAACGAACGTTTGCCTTTTCAAGTTAACTTTACCATCCAAATGACACCACACACATATACACACACATGCATACAAGTGTCAAACTTACTCCTTTGGGATAAACTCCTCCTTCTGACTAGTTTTTTTCCTTCTTCATTTTTTTTCTTCTCTTTTTTCTTCCTTCCGTCTTGTCTCTGTGACTCTCAACGGGAATCTTGTCATATAGAATGATGTAGAGTATCAAATTAGTATTTGACGACACTAGTCAGTAATAGCAACAATATAACATAGAGAGTAAGAGATGAGCAGCAGCATACTAGATGCATTATATTGAAAGATGATCTCGAAAAGAAAAACAGAAGAAAAGGGAACATCTATTTCTACTTTCTTTTCTTTTTATTTAGATGACTTGAATACGAAATTTAGTTTTCGGTCGGTCATTTTATTGATAACTATGAAACGGCTTTGTCAACCGATGAACATCATCCATGAATCGATTTGATTGGAATAAACTTTCACCTGACGAGTTTCAACGTCTACAAGACTATATATCATGTAATATACACTTTTGCTTGCTATTTTCCGAGCCGTTGTCACTTTGAACATGTTCTAGATGCACCGAAGAAAGTCAAAGATGTTGTAGCTATTCTTGAAAAAGATGAGAAATGGTTGAGCCATAAATACGAAGAAGTAATCCATTCGATATGCCATTGTACGCTTGTTAGACATGTTCCTCTTTTAGCAACTTGACTATACAGGCTTTCGACAGTTTTTGGATCTACTTGTCGACAATGCTGATATACCAGAAGAGTTATGTCGACATTTATTTCTATCATTCATCAAAAGACCTCCACCCATCGTTCCGCTTGATACATCATCGGCTATTAGTGTTCTTCCACTAGCCACATCAACGTTGCCAATCACAACCACATCGACCACAGCGTCAGCAACAACTGCTCCATTACCTTTATCATCGTTTTCATTTTTTCGAGCGAAAAAACCTATAGATGACCTTGCCAACGATCCGAAAACCCGCTCGGGTTAGTTCAATCATTGCCAACGCCGTCTGTCTAATGTCTTTTGTTGTATGATTTTTTTTCTTAGGTATATGTCATAGTGGTAAAGAAAGTCTTATGCGTCGAGGTAATTCCCACGATCAGCACCATGAATCACCTGGAAATTCTCGACAGTCATCAAGAAAATCTAATCCTTCCATCCATTCGATTCATTCATTGCATAATAATGGTAGAAAAAAGGGCAAAAGATTCTATCTTGAACCTCTCGGTTTTTCTTTTCTTCTACTTTCTAGTGGTAACCACTGTTAATAATTCCGATGATCCATGGGTCTTTCGTGCGTCTCTTTCGCAATTACTAAATAGAATCTCCGGGAATGAACTTCTACGTGATAATCATCATCTCCATCATCTAACAGCAGCCCAACAACAGGCAGCGATGGTTCAATCTCAGCAGATTGATATCAATACAACACGAATCTACTTAAAAGATATTATCTGCTATTTCTCATTACTAGAAGGTGGAACTCCCGAGCAGAAACTCGAATGTAAAAAAAACCATCGACCTTGTTTACTCTTGATTCATCGAATTTATGTTTTCTTCGTTATAGTTATGTTCATGTTATATGATGAAGATGGAAACGGTATACTTGATAAACGGGTATGTTTGAAAAAAATGAGATGAGCTCTTTTTTTCTTTGTACGCAAAGACTGTTATCTTCAAAGGAAACTGATTCAATTGTTAATCAAATGATGAATGTTGCTGAATATCTCGGCTGGGATGTATCTGAATTAAGACCAGTAAGATAGAAGTGTAATGAATCGAAGGAAAATCATTCATCGGTAAATTTCATTTAGATTCTCGAAGCTATGATGAAAGATATTGATTATGATAATGACGGCGAAGTCACACTAAGCGAATGGAAGCGAGGCGGATTGACTACCGCACCACTTCTTGTTTTGCTCGGACTAGATTCGGTGAGTTTTCATCGGCTACCGTGCTTTTATCGTTATTCTTTGCTTTTCATACGAAAAACAATAGAATGTCAAAGATGATGGAACACATTCCTGGAGATTGAAGCATTTCAATAAACCAGCATATTGTAACCTTTGTTTAACTGTATTGGTTGGCTTGGGTAAACAAGGTTTATGTTGTACATGTAAGTTGACTTCGAAAATGCCAGCGGAGACATTCGGCTCTTTTCAGTTTGTCGATATGTTGTTCATGAACGTTGTGCTAATCGCGCTCCGCCGAATTGTATTTCTACATATGCTAAAGCCCGTAAACCTGATACAATCATGTTACATCATTGGGTGGAAGGCAATTGTGCCGGAAAGTAAGAAAATAGGCGACTAATCGGAAGAGAGAAAACACCACTTTCATTCTTCACTTTTGTTTTTCTTTTAAGATGTGATCGATGTAGAAAATCAATTAAAACCTATGGCATAACAGGCCTGCACTGCCGATGGTGCCAAATGACAGTACACAATAAATGTGTGTCGCAATTGAAAACCGAATGTACATTAGGACAAAATCGAGACCATATTATTCCACCGATCTGTATATGTCCAGCTGTTTTGGTTCGTTGCTTGAAGAAGATTTATGATGCAAGGAGAGAATGATGGGCACTTGTTTTTCAGGAACGACAGAAACCTTCACGAAGTGGAAATGAAGTTAAAAAAGAAGATTCGTGTGTGGAAGGATCGATACAATCGTTTCAAATCAACCCTCTGCCAAACACTCATCCTTTGCTTATTTTTATTAACCCGAAATCAGGTGGTAAACAGGGAGAACGGTATGAATTCAATGAACTAATGCATGGTAATAATGAAGTCGTCTCTCGTTTTGTCTCTTTGTTAGCATTATGCGTAAATTTCAATATCTTCTCAATCCTCGTCAAGTGTTCAATCTGGCTAAGTCCGGACCAATGCCAGGGTGAGTTCTCCTCGCACTGATGTCGAACCGATGCTAACCAACGAATGGATAGTTCAGTTGATGACAGGCCTGTGTGGATACGGTTATACTTTCAACTAATTTCGAGAGTGTGTTTACCATCGAATATTTTATGGAGAAGTATTAATAAACTACGTTATTTAGGATAGTTGATTTCCTCCGAGTATTAGCGAGGAAAACATTTCTCTTGACAATACTCCAACTCAGTTCGGGAACACATACGATAGAATCTTCAATTCATTGAAGAAGAGGAGAACATTGCGAAGCTTTGTGAGTCGTTGAATCTAAAGATTTGCAATACATTTGATTGTCTATGAAAGAAAGAATCATGTTCAGTACATTTCCAAGATGAAAGACAAGCTTTATCGGACGTTCCATCAGAATAATCTGTTGCATGTGCTTATCAGATTGCATGACTTAGCACTTAACATGTTGGATAAGACTAAGAGATAATCTTGTGTGATAGAATGATGTTTTACCAGACGAGAACAACAGCACTAGTAAGAGAGAAAGAAGCTCATCGGCAAAAGGTTGACAGATTTCCATATTTCGAGACTTAATAAAGACGTTCGATTTCTGAATTCAATCAACAGTAGACAAAAGTGTCTCGTTCGTTAAGTTGATTAGTTTTATGGAGAGAAGAATTTGTCTGATCGATCGACATACACAATTGTTGAAGTGCATTAAATGAAGATGAAAAAATAATCCGATTTTCATCAACAATCAGATCTCAGATCATACAGCATATTTCTTCTCCAAGAAACTATATGCTAATATTCTTTGACATCAAAATGTAATAAAATCAATATTAATTTAGATTACAATTCTTCAAAGATGTTGAAGATTTCCGTGTGCTCTGTTGTGGTGGTGACGGAACTGGTAGGATAATCAGTTGATTAGTGTTTTTCCTTACCAAGCATTGATTTCTTATTTTTTTTGTTCTAGTCGGTTGGGTACTGGATGTGATGGATCGCGTACCCCTTTGTCGTCGTGCTCCTGTCGCTGTTCTTCCCTTAGGCACTGGCAATGATCTAGCTCGATGTTTAGCATGGGGCGGTGGATATGAGAATGAAAGCTTAACGAAAGTTTTAAAGAAAGTTTCACAAGCCCCGGTGATCATGCTCGATCGATGGCAAATCGAATTTAGTACTCAGACAGATACAGAAGAGAAAGGCGATGATATTCCGTACAATATAATCAATAATTATTTTTCTATTGGCGTTGTAAGTAGTTGGTTTTGTCGATGAATTAAGATAGTTTCATTGTTTGTGCCATTAGGATGCTTCGATTGCTCATCGATTTCATTTGATGCGTGAAAAGCATCCTGAAAAATTCAGTAGCAGGTTGGTTAAGTCTTCTCATTTTGTTTACCAATTGATTTGTCGATTTTTTTAGAATGAAAAATAAACTATGGTATTTAGAATTCGGTACTTCGGAAGCTTTGTCCTCAACCTGTAAAAATTTACACGAAGATATTGATATAATGGTAATGTCAAATATGACCTCAGCAATTTTGTCTACTAAATCTGTTTCGTTTTATCAGTGTGATGGTATATCGCTTGATCTGTCGAATGGACCATCATTAGAAGGCATTGCTCTATTAAATATTCCAAGTATTTATGGTGGTACGTCACTGTGGGGCGAGGGTAGTCGACACAAAAATCGCAAAACACCATTAAATTTTCATCGCAAAGACTCGTACGTATTCGAAAGAGATAGCGTGACACTTTATTCAATTGAATTCTTTTTCATAGGGAATATTCCACAAGTTCAACGTCAGATATGACATTTGTTCTACAAGGTAAAATTCGTTTACAAATCCTTGTGTACATATCAATGTTTAACATGTGCGTGTGTTTGTATTTCAGATGTAGGAGATAGACTAATAGAGGTTGTTGGTGTACAGTCAGCTATCCATGCTGGATCGATCTATGCTGGTGTACGATCAAGTGCGAAACGGCTTGGTCAATGTTCATCAGTTGTTATCAGGTACGAGATAGATATTTCGATGATCAATTCTATTCGTTTGACTGTTCTTATCTTTGTAGAACTCACAAAAGTTTTCCGATGCAAATCGATGGTGAACCATGGTTACAACCACCATGTACGATTTCCATAACTCATAAAAATCAAGTACCAATGTTAATGGCACCTCGAAAAGAACATAAAAACGGTCTCTGGCGTTTCTTTCGCAAATAGAAAAATTTCATCGGAAACTGTGATAATCTGATTGAGAAAAATATATAAGAAAAAAATTTAAGAATAATAATAATAATAATAATAATAAGTATATAACAATATATACTATTAAATATATACGTTTCTTCCTTTTCTCCTCTATTTCTATTTTTTTTTCAACAGTGATGTTTCTAGTCTGATAGATTATATTCTCCATCACGCAGAGATCTGTGTGAAACTTATAGTCTAAGAAATATTTTTGTCAGCAGTTGTTAGTTTTAATGTTCATGTTAATAGTGGTGGCGCGTGTGCGTGTTTTCGTTTCTTTTTTTTCTTCTTCAAACAACATATAAAAGAACACAAGCGCAAATGTCAACTTCTGTCATTGCCTTAACTGTGTGAATTCGTGATTCTTTGTTCGTCTCTAGTTTATTTATGTGTATATTGTATTTTTTCACAAATATATACACAAGGTCAAAACGTGGGCGTATGGAGATCACGTCGGACAGCCGCGAAAGATTGGCATAGGATCGACAGTTGACTTACGTAGGTCGAGCATTTGATTGGTTTCGGATGGTAAGCGGGATTGTTGACTACCTTGTAATAGGACAATAACACTCAGCGGCATAGAGATGAGATAGATGAAGAACAGTATTCGATCGATGAGCACGGCGATTTGTTTGAGAGAACATTCGGAATGGAACAAATTGTATCGAATGTCGACCGGATCTTGTCCGACGAGAAAATTCATGAGGACTTTCCGAATGTATCGAATATCGTATAAAATTTGAAGACCTTCGAGATTTGTTTGTTCAGGCAAATGTTCTCTTAAATTTCGACGTTTACGAAGAAATGTCCATCGCTGTTTGTTCAATTCCACTAACGACTCGTGAATGGTTGTCAACGCGCCACGTTGTTCGTTTTTAATCTTTCGGTGCTTCATCGAATATTGCTCGTGGTAATAAATAAAGACGGTGAATATATTGAAAATGCACGAGAGAAAAACGAAACCAAAGATGATGTTTGAATACAAGGTGATAATCGAAAAGCCGCTTTCGGTCTTTGGTACATAATCCGAAATCGTCTGCAGATAGATGGATAATGACAATAGAACGCTGACTGTCAATGCCACCTTTTCGCCGCTGTCAGTTGGCACACAGAATGAGAACAGCGCTAGTGAGGAAATGATTGAAAATGGTAAGATGATTTTAATCACATAAAACCGCGAGAAACGTTCGAGTTCGATATCAATTTTAATTGTACTGAAATTCCGTTGATAATGCGGATTATACATATCGACTTCTTGAATTGTAGCGTGAGTTATCTCCCATTCGGTTTTAATCAGATTATATAATCTGACAACTTTGTATAGTGTACGAAGTTTTAATTGGCTTGTATCGAATATAGTTGATTGTAGAAGAATCGAGCAGTACTGTCGATCGAATGGAAAATTGCGAACATTAACTTCACAAAACGAAACTAATTTGTATTGATAGGACCACTTCACGTGACCAGTACAGACAACAAGAACGGGATAGAAATGTCTCGGATCTTTTTCGAGTGATTTTCCTGGCCCATTGATTGCCACGATGTCCGGCGTCCAAATTTCATGTGGAGTAAAAAAGATCTCCGTACGGTTTCGTCTGCCCATGCACGGGTGCTCACTGGAATTCCAATGTAATAAGTCATCACACCATTTCAACTCGATATTGGCATTCAGCATAATAACCTTCGAAGACAAAATTTGTTAAGTCAAGTTCAATCTTCTTTTTCGAACGAACCTGTTTTTGAGGGTCGATTCCGATCACTTCCATGATCGCCACGCCAATAGCAACGACTGTAGGACTTGTATTATTCGTCGATGGTCGAATCAATAGATGATCCTCATAGAGTGTTTTAATACGTATGCGATTCTTCTCTGCGAGTGTATGATCTTTTCCGAAAAGGTTTGCTATCATCGAGAATTTCAAGTAGACAATCAACGCCAATCTAAACTGCATGTTTCTTTGAGTAAATCTATCGCAAGAATTCGAACGAAGACAACGATGTACTCTTTTCTTCTCGTCTTGTTCTAATCTGATGAAAATGACAGCTCGATAATCGTCGGAATAAAAGAAAATTCATTTATTAAATTATTGTGATTGACAGTTTGTTTTATAAGTGCAAACGAATGAAACTATACAAAGGAAAAATCGTTCAATGACAGCAGTTATCGGATGAGGATGATTTCGGTAATGGTTCTCCATCTTCCTTGTGATAACACCAATCCAGATATGCTTCTATGAATGGTTTCGCAACTTGCCAAATCTACATGAACAAGCATTGATTGAACCTTCAGCGTACAACATAAAATCCATTCGATACTTACAACACCAGATTTGATAATACGAGTAGACGCTTCGATGTCATGCGCCATAAATCGATCTTTATCCCAAGCCCTGCGAGAACAAGCTTAGATACAAATGAATGAGCAATACACATACGGAATGGATTGTCGCACGAGACTGTGAACAGCCTGTAATGGTGCTGTTGATGTTAAAGGTTGAAGGAGATCGATTGCTTGACATGCCATTAGCAATTCAATGGCCATCACTAGAAATCAAGATATTAAATGAACTTTCTCGTTTTCGTTTGATAAGAACATTCTTGAACATATCTGTGTGTGTCATCTAAGATTGTCGGGAGAAAACTTAGAAACTTCAGCGGAAATAATGACTGCTTATTTCTACCGAGATCATCGAACGTCTATCTATAATTATCTTTTTAAATACAATATTAGCACTCACAAATTTCGACGTTGTCAATCACTTTCAATGCTTTTCGAGCTGACCATCCGCCCATAGACACATGATCTTCTTGGCCAGCACTTGTCGAAATACTGTCTACCGATGATGGATGACATAGAACTTTATTTTCCGAAACTGAAATATTTCGAATAAGTATTATATCGAAGAGTTCATCCCAGAAAAGAAATCGACTTTACCGAGAGCTGCAGCAGTGCAGTGTGCAATCATGAAACCAGAATTAAGACCTCCTTCGAGTGTTAAAAATGCTGGTAAACCACTCATCCCATGATTGACTAATCGTTCCATTCGACAGGCACTTAAACTACCAATTTCATGAACGCCAATTGCGAGGTAATCCAATGCCTGAGCAAAAGCAAAGCAGTTTTGTATACGATCGAAAACGGAATCTACTTTAGCCGGATATTCTCCATGGAAATTACCGCCTGAGACAACTTCACCGGTATCTGTGAACACCAATGGATTGTCCGTTGCACTGTTCATCTCAGTTGTTATGATATTTTGTACAAATTTGATCGTATCCCACGAAATTCCATGCACCTAGAATGATATTTCATAAGAGTAGGAACTACGTCAAAGTGCTACGAACCTGTGGAACACATCGAATGGAATAAGCATCTTGTACCTTACCACAGTTGATATGACTGTCAAAAATGTCTGATCGATAAAGTTGAGAACTTAACAATGAACGTAATCGTTGTGCGACAAGATTTTGTCCATTATGTGGCCGACATGCATGGAGATCTATCAAAAATTAAATTATTATCGGAAAAAATCAGACGTAACCATGGCACTCACGCGGATGTAAGTGTCTCACAGTGCCGCGCAATGCTTCTGTACTCAAAGCAGCGATTATATCTGCTTGCCGAGCCAGAGCAATAGCTCGTTCCACACCTATTTATATTAAAAGAAAAGAAATGTAGCAAATCAATTGAAATAAGGAGCGTATTTTACCTTCCGCCCCTAATGACGTGATAAACTGCGTACCATTGATCATCGTTAAACCCTAACAATATTGACATAGGTTAAAGTAAATCGATCAATTCGCAATTACTTCTTTCGGCTTGTACTGAATTAGTTCCAAGCCATTCTCTAGCAAAACGTCACATGCATTACCCCAACCTGTTTTTGGTGACCACATGCGTCCTACACCCATCAGGCCTATTACGAAAATACGTTTAACTTTGAAACAACACTCTCTTCGCTTCTTAGTCCTAATATATAACCTGCTGCTAGATGTGCCAATGGTGCCAAATCACCCGAGGCACCTACCGTTCCTTGTGATGGAATTTCTGGGATGCACGATTCTATGTAAAGAAAGATTGAGTGTACGATCCGATCTGATAGATCTATTTCTCACTGTTGAATGTAGCAATAATGCGCCGCAATGTATCTTCAGATATGCCCGAATATCCTTTAGCAAGAATATTTATTCTCAATGCGAACATCATTCGCGCTCGTTCGATTGTTAAGGGATCACCAACACCAGCACAATGCGAGACGATCAAACGTGTTTGCAAGTCGCTATATATCCTTACTTAAACGAATCGATTTATTTCTAAGCTCAAACATACGCTAGTTTGTCGTTTGGGATGATCCGTGATGCAAACGAACCAAAACCAGTATTGACGCCATAAACGACTAGAAACAGATGCTATTCTCTTTCTTTTGATACGATCGTACAATCAAACCTTTTTTATTATCAATAATATCGTCAACAACTTGTCGTGCTTTGTTGATGATACTCCATGTTTCAGGCGGCAACTATGTGATAGAAGAAATATAGACAAAGGCAGAATAATTTTGCGACAGATATACTTCAATTTGGTAATCACCCGTTCCAAGACGAACCAGATCACTGCATTTCAGATGATAACCGTCGAGTACAACAACCTAAATAAACCCTTTCTTTCGTATTATTCTCGTACCATACAGAACATACGCGTCGTTCCTCATCTCTAAAAACAAGTGTGTGAGTCAGTTAAAGAAAAGTATCAATCGACATCTGAAAAACTTACGTCGCTGCACTAAATGAATCATCATCATCCAGTCGTTTCAACGTATCTAAATCGAAAACGTAATGCTAACTCGATTAATCTGATAAATTTTACCGATTTCAACGGGCTCATCGTCTTTCAACGCATCATGAACAAGATCATTCAGTGACAACAAACATCGATCAGCCATACGTCGCGCAACGAAATTACACAGTTTCATTTGAGGTACATATTTATCACCAAACTTTTTGTATGCTGTCTCGCATAACCATCGTACAGTTTCCTTTCCTGACTCGCAGACGATGAGAAACTTGTCCGGCGCGCCATGAATTGTCACAGGTATACGAATGACCATTGTTATTCTTTTCGTTCGTTTTTGTGAACCGCTCGCAAAGTCACGATCGATTGCGTTTAAAGAAAAATCCGCACAATAGTGAATGAGATGAATATAAAAAACGGTGTTTTTTATACAAGCGTGTAGGAGACACACCCCACCATGCGTATCCAATACGCATTTTTACTTTTGTTTCATATGTATGCATAGTTTGAGAAAATGACAGGTCGATAAATATCCTTTTGACTTCAAATCATGATCAAAGTCCAGATAAATATCCTGTTTAATGTTTCAGGAGAGATTTTTCATGCTGTCAAAAATCTACCTTTTCAGGTGACCATATGACAAATTGTATCTGTTATCCCAATGTTCGCAATATGATCGAATAATGGCGAAATAGGTAAATAGCAAAACACACCTCGACAATGATAGTATTATGATTTTTCAAATGATTGTTTTGATTGAATCATTAACTATGACGAAAAATACTAATGATCTATTTTCAAGTGCAAAATCGCCGGAAGTAGATAATTTAGATGTGCCGTTTATTTGAAGGACAAGACTATCAATCAATCGAACGAACGGAATATTACGAATGGGACAATTTATTGTCATAGACGGCAGAGAAAAAGAAGAAGAAGGAGGAGGCAGTAGCAACAGCAAGGTAGAAGTGTGAGATAGAGTTTTCATAATCATATTTGAAAATTCGTGTGAAGTGTTTTGCGAATCGCTTGACGAGGATTGCTGCTGAGTAGATTGGGATATTTATCGCAGATTCTAGGGATAGATTCGAGGAGATTGTTTTTTGTGCAGGTAGGATCTGTCGTCGGAGATGAGTCTTCAGATACATCGAAAACGACGTGTCGAATATTCATGGAAACTGGTTGACCGACACGAACTTGTCTTTTGGAAATGTCGATTACAAATGTATTGACTGGCATCGATGCTGAACGTCTTACTCGATGTGATGAATTATTTGTGGCGTATTGACTGGATGTATTGCGAAGGATAGATGGTCTTGATCGTACTCGCAGTGGCTCAGTTCGAATAGAAACATAATTTTGGGATGATTTACTCGCATCAGCGGAACGGAAGCGTGTCATAGAGTTTCTGTTTGTATGCTGCGGATGATAAAATGAATTCTTCAAGCAGCTTGTCAGCGGATATCTTGTTTGAGCTGATCCATCATGGATAATAGTGATCAATTTTGGTCGTTGCTGACGTCCGCAGCAAGTAGATGACACCGAACCCATGAGAACTTGTCACTATGCTATCACCTCGTTCCAGCTTGGTTGAGATTAAATTCCCTATTGAATATTCTCTTCTTTTTCAAACGTAGAAGATTGTCATCTCCATCTGTGTGTACACAGTAGAGTAGATTAAGAATCACATTCAGTTTTCTCTATAGAGAAGAAGAAGAAGAAGAGAATATAGGATGAGGTTTGATTATTCTTTCCCATCAAACTCTAGATCCAAGAACAAATAGACATTTATGCGTTCTGCACTTTCACATCTAGTCACACTCAAAATTACTATGCGAATGACAACTTGAGGATCTTCTCGTTCTTCTTCGATCTAACGTCCTCTTTCGATTCCTTTTCATGTGCCTGCTTCTCTTTTTTCCATGGAGGACGGCAAACAGTGACTCAAGATGACGATTGCATTTTTGTTGATTACGTTGAATACTACTCCATCTCATCTTCTTTCCTATTGAACAAACACAAACACGTGAACAAGGCTTTTCTCTTTTATTCATCATCAATATGTCTGAAGAAGAGTGAGATATTCATACTGCTGTTATTTTCGCTATTTCATATTTGATTTGTTCTGCTATATCGATTTTCTTGCTATAAATCATGAATAAACCGCGCACAGAACATCGACAGTTGCCAACACCGATGAACTTCTCATCCAAGTAAACACTCTATGTTCGTGCTCGTCTACTCGATTGATTGTCTCTTTTTGTCGCTATATGTTCGCTTGAGTCTTGTCTCATTATCCGATATTGTAGAACAATGGTTCCACCTCCAGTTGTGACTGACGAACGTCAAAAAGTCAATATAAAAATCAATGATGCTACAGCTGTCAATATTCACAGAGCAGCGGTAACACGTGATTACATTAAACAACCGCGATTGAGTAAGATAATTCTACGAAGCTATCTGTCTAGAGTGCGCTTCATTCTTTTAGCATACAAAACAGTCGTTGGTGTCAATGGTCCACTCGTTATTTTGGATAATGTTAAATTTCCAAAATTCGCTGAAATCGTCAATTTGACACTACCGGACGGAAGTGTTCGTAGTGGACAAATTCTCGAAGTTTCAGGATCAAAAGCAGTTGTTCAAGTATTCGAAGGAACAGCAGGCATTGATGCGAAATACACAACTGTAGAGTTTACTGGAGATATTCTACGTACGCCAGTTTCCGAAGACATGTTGGGTCGGATTTTCAACGGTTCAGGAAAACCGATTGATCGTGGCCCATCTGTCTTAGCAGAAGATTATCTAGATATCAACGGTACGAATCAGTGTTACTTGTTGATCTTTTGATTGTATGGAACATCTTCGTAGGTGAACCAATCAATCCATTTTCACGTGAATATCCCGAAGAAATGATTCAAACTGGTATATCAGCTATCGATGTCATGAATAGTATTGCTCGTGGACAGAAAATTCCGATCTTTTCTGCCGCTGGTTTGCCACATAATGATGTAAAAACATTGACAACTTGAGTCTTTCCATGATGAGAGTGTCGTTTGTGTTCGTTAGATTGCTGCACAAATTTGTCGTCAAGCTGGTTTAGTAAAACATGCCAAAGGCACTTCGGATAGTGATGACAATTTTGCTATTGTGTTTGCAGCTATGGGTGTAAGTTAACGAAGGGAAGTTTTCGTGCGAACTCACATGTTGATGTCCATCGAATAGGTCAACATGGAAACAGCTCGATTTTTCAAGCAAGACTTCGAAGAAAATGGTTCAATGGAAAATGTGTGTTTATTTTTGAACTTGGCTAATGATCCAACGTAAGAATCGATGTAACTTATGTTTCTCATCTCATATTTGATATTCGATTAGAATCGAACGTATTATTACACCGCGAATCGCTTTGACAACTGCCGAATTTCTTGCTTATCAATGTGATAAACATGTTCTAGTTATCTTAACTGATATGAGTTCATATGCTGAAGCTCTGCGAGAAGTTTCAGCTGCTCGAGAAGAAGTACCCGGTCGTCGTGGTTTTCCTGGTTATATGTACACTGATTTGGCTACTATTTACGAACGTGCCGGTCGTGTAGCTGGTCGACATGGATCAATTACACAAATTCCAATTCTATCTATGCCAAACGATGGTAACTTCCTCTACGATTTAAATGATTCATCAACGATCGATTTGTATTTGTATAGATATTACCCATCCTATACCTGATTTGACAGGTTATATTACCGAAGGACAAATCTACGTCGATCGTCAATTACATAATCGACAAGTACGAGTATTTAAATGCCAATATTACTCATCACGATTTTATCTAGATCTACCCACCGATCAACGTTCTTCCATCATTGTCACGTTTGATGAAATCTGCTATTGGTGAGGGTATGACACGAAAAGATCATGCCGATGTTTCCAATCAATTAGTACGCTGAGATAGAAGTAGAGACGTTAGTTAACTGATTTTGTTGTAGTATGCCAACTACGCTATTGGAAAAGATATTGCTGCAATGAAAGCTGTCGTTGGTGAAGAAGCTTTGTCATCGGATGATTTACTCTATTTGGAGTTTTTGGGAAAATTCGAGAAGAATTTTCTCACTCAAGGTATCTATCAAAAAGACTATTTCTATACTTTCATATATCTCCTCCGTTGATCATTAGGCGCCTACGAAAACCGAACGATTGCTGATTCGTTAGATGTTTGCTGGCAATTACTTCGAACATTTCCACGTGAAATGCTTAAACGTATTCCGCATAATATTCTGCAAGAATTCTATCCCCGTGATGGTGGCAAACACTTACAACAACAAGCACCTGCCACTACAACTGGCTAAAACAAGCATAACAACCTTCATATTTATGCATTTCTTTCACGTTTGCTTTGAAATAGTGCAATAGCTAAACGACTAGTGTAATTGTTGTAAAAGACCGGTTTTGTTTTTTTCCCTCCGAACAAGAAATTCTTTTGATATTCCATGTTTCTATGTGATTTTACTCTGTTTTCGACGTATACCGACTCCCCTAGATCTTCCCGTCATTGTCTTGATATTTTGCGTTCTTTTTTTCCTGTGTTTGTCACTTGTATAATCATTTATTGTGTTGCGCATCTGGATATTCGTTAAGTACAAAATCATTTCGACATAAATTATACGAAAAAATGCTCCTGAAATTCGACTTATTTTGGAATACGTTTTTCTTTGATTAAGATAGAGAGAAAGAATCTTCTTATTGAGAGTTAAAAACGAAAGAAAGCACATGTCGCATGACCGATCAGAATATTATTAATCTTCGGTCAGCCGACCTGTTCGCCGATGTGACTGATTGAAGTGCCGGTGGCCAGCGCAGCTCCAATTTAATCCATATTCGTATTCAACAACGGAGTGCAAAGAAAACGCTGACAACAGTGCAAGTAAGTTCTCAGTGCATGTCGCTTCTTCTTATTCTTATCTGATTCTCTCCAGGGTGCTGGTAAAGAATTCGATAAAAAGAAATTTGCCTGTAATGATACTGTTGTCGAACGTCACGAATACGGTGAAGTTATTCAACGTCAAGGCGACCAATGAACTAATGTGAGTCTATTTCTCAAGGAAATTGGTATCTGTCAATCTGAGCAACTAAAAGTGCACGGTTTTCAAACATATCATTCGTTCACTAAATACATTCTCTTATACTCAAAATAAACCAAGAGACCCGGCGGTTGCGTTTCATTCATTGTTCTGTTTCTTATGTTTGTTCTTTTGTCCCTCAAGTATGCATATCATATACCAAAACCAGATGCGTTCTTTCGTGTTTTCGTCCAACTGGAAAGCTTTGTCTTATAAATAAAACAAAAAGAAATTTCGATAAAGTCATGTGTCAAGCACCATCATTATCATTTTGTTCTATCAACACGGAAATGGTGTGACAAGAGATTCATGCGATAAAGGAAGACTTCTCACAAGCATAGGCGTTCTTATCTAAACAGTAATGATCAAGAGAAAAGAATATATAAAAAACATGCAAAACAAATCGTACGTAGTAGACTATGCCATTCCGGAAGAGATAAAACAAAGAATAATACACAAACTATTCAATCATTCTTGGCAAACAAAGAAACTCGAAAGCATCAATTTTCGTTAATTCACCATTTTGCTCGTTCTATGTCTGAATCATAAAATCTGTGTGTTCCTTTCAACTCCAATTTCATTGTTTTATTTAGATTAATGAAGTTTATTCCTTTTTTGTTTGCCTCTCTCGCAAATACAAGAGGTTGTTCTTCTCGATCAATCGATCGTATTGTGGACCACGGAGCAACTACTTGTGACCTCTTTCACCCAACGAAAACTCATTCGTAGATTATGAATCATCTTCCAATCAAACAAAAACTACTCTGAGTTTTTCTTCTTATTTGATAGACATGGCAAGTTCATTGACAACAGACTACAACATTGACAATGTCTATAAAGCTTTCAGTAATGTTCTGGATCAGGAATCAGTCCGCGTACGAGAGTTTGTCATTGCCTTTCGAGAATTGGCTAAGTAAGTCTTGATCGAGTCTTCCTCGGTTCAGTTCATTTTCTTTCAGGTTTTTCAATCATCTCAATGTTGTCTTCTCCTTCGTTGCCAATGACCTTCATGACAAATTCGATCTGCTCGATGGTTGTGTAAAACATCATCCCGTACCATTCGAAACTGTTCAAACAACTATCGAACACGAAAGAAATCGAGAAGATAAAAGTGGAACAGTTGCAATTCTACGTTTACTACGAGCATTGGAATTCACTTATCTGTTTCTCGAACGAGCTATTGTTTCGCCGACGGATTCGAAATCAACCAAGCATGTTGCCTGGGATGTCTACAAACAAACTTTACACAAACGTCACAATCGAGCAGTGCAGGCAAGCATCTGGCTTGCTACAGCGACAATCCCAAAGCGAGATGCCTTGAAAGAGATCTTACTCCGTGGTGAAGTCGAACCCCATACGGCTGATAGATGTTTTCCATTAATCGGAAAAGTCTATCGTCAAATATATAGAATCTATGAACAAAATCAACTTCTCGAGTTAGTACCACTGTGATATGACCGATAAAAGACTTTTATTTTCGATTTTATTCGTCAGACAGAAAAGAAAAAGAAGAGTTTTTTTATACAAGCAAAAATATGTTTCTTTTTTTGTGACAATCATAATAATAATTTTAATAAAAATCATTCGCTTTTTCGAAGACCTAATGCTGGTATTAAGACGACGAGAATTATGACACCAATAGTAATGGCTACGGACACGATAACAGTGACCTTCTGAAATAAAAATTCAAGTAAGAGCTGAAATTCATACATAAGACAACAATTACTTGACGAGATATACTTCGCGAGGTTCGTTCAATGACTGGCAGGGCATCTTGAGTTGTTGGACCATCAACAAAAGGTGTACCAGTCGAAAGCATCATATCACGATCATTTCGAAGTTCCTATGATAGATAGACTTGATTGAATTATCTTGTTGAAGGAACTCTTTTCTTAGATATTTCACACTTGTCTGTCCGATAATTATTCGAGAAATCAAATTTACATACATTTGCCGTTAAAGTATTGTTCGTACGTTCCAACATTTTGCGTTGATTCTGTGCTTGTTCGATCACGTAACTGCGTCACATTTTCAGCTCGGTATAAATCATCATTTCTCTTCGCGCGTTCCAACTAAGAAGAAGAAAAAAAGAGTACTCTATCCGTTCTTTTCTTCTCTCCTCTCTTTCTTCGACTTTTTTTTATAATATATCCGAAGTATCAGCTTGATTGGCCAATTGCCAGTCGTGTCTTCTTTGATTTCCTTTTGTCAAGTTATTGGATTTCTTCTTCGTTTGCTTTTTTATTGAATGATCGATGACGGGATGGACCCCGAATACAGATATCTTTGCCTATATATTGTAATCGATTCTCGTTTTCAAAAGCTAATGATTACATCCCATTGTCAAGATAATACATCTTGCATTTAAGATTGACAATGAAGATATGACTAGTTGAATTAAACGCAAACGACGTCAAAATGTTCTTCAACAGTCATAAGAGGAATTATNTGCATTTTTGTTGATTACGTTGAATACTACTCCATCTCATCTTCTTTCCTATTGAACAAACACAAACACGTGAACAAGGCTTTTCTCTTTTATTCATCATCAATATGTCTGAAGAAGAGTGAGATATTCATACTGCTGTTATTTTCGCTATTTCATATTTGATTCCTTCTGCTATATCGATTTTCTCGCTCTAAATCATGAATAAACCACGTACAGAACATCGACAGTTACCAACACCGATGAACTTCCCATCCAAGTAAACACTCTATGTTCGTGCTCGTCTACTCGATTGATCGTCTCTTTTTGTCGCTATATGTTCGCTTGAGTTTTGTCTCATTATCCGATGTTGTAGAACAATGGTTCCACCTCCAGTTGTGACTGACGAACGTCAAAAAGTCAATATAAGAATCAACGATGCTACAGCTGTCAATATTCATAGAGCAGCGGTAACACGTGATTACATCAAACAACCGCGACTGAGTAAGATAACTCTACGGAGCTATCCATCTAGAGTGGGCTTCATTCTTTTAGCATACAAAACAGTCGTTGGTGTCAATGGTCCACTCGTTATTTTGGATAATGTTAAATTTCCAAAATTCGCTGAAATCGTCAATTTGACACTACCGGACGGAAGTGTTCGTAGTGGGCAAATTCTCGAAGTTTCAGGATCAAAAGCAGTTGTTCAAGTATTCGAAGGAACAGCAGGCATTGATGCAAAATACACAACTGTAGAGTTTACTGGAGATATTCTACGTACACCAGTTTCCGAAGACATGCTGGGTCGGATTTTCAACGGTTCAGGAAAACCGATTGATCGTGGTCCATCTGTCTTAGCAGAAGATTATCTAGATATCAACGGTATGAATCAGTATTACTTATGATCTTTTGATTGTATGTAACATTTACGTAGGTGAACCAATCAATCCATTTTCACGTGAATATCCCGAAGAAATGATTCAAACTGGTATATCAGCTATCGATGTCATGAATAGTATTGCTCGTGGGCAGAAAATCCCGATTTTTTCTGCTGCCGGTTTGCCACATAATGATGTAAAACATTCATAAGTTGAGTCTTTACATGAGGAGAGTACCGTTTGTGTTCGTTAGATTGCTGCACAAATTTGTCGTCAAGCTGGTTTAGTAAAACATGCCAAAGGCACTTCGGATAGTGATGACAATTTTGCTATTGTGTTTGCAGCTATGGGTGTAAGTTAACAAAGGGAAGTTTTCACGCGAATTCACATGTTGATGTTCATCGGATAGGTCAACATGGAAACAGCTCGATTTTTCAAGCAAGACTTTGAAGAAAATGGTTCGATGGAAAATGTGTGCTTATTTTTGAACTTGGCTAATGATCCTACGTAAGAATCGATGTAACTTATGTTTCTCATCTCATATTCGATATTGAAATTAGAATCGAACGTATTATTACACCGCGAATTGCTTTGACAACTGCCGAATTTCTTGCTTATCAATGTGATAAACACGTTCTAGTTATCTTAACTGATATGAGTTCATATGCTGAAGCTCTGCGAGAAGTTTCAGCTGCTCGAGAAGAAGTTCCCGGTCGTCGTGGTTTTCCAGGTTATATGTACACTGATTTGGCTACTATTTACGAACGTGCCGGTCGTGTAGCAGGTCGTCATGGATCAATTACACAAATTCCAATTCTATCTATGCCAAACGATGGTAACTTCCTTTATGATTTAAATGATTCATCAACGATCGATTTGCTTTTGTGTAGATATCACACATCCTATACCTGATTTGACAGGTTATATTACAGAAGGACAAATCTACGTCGATCGTCAATTACATAATCGACAAGTACGAGAATTTGAATGCTAATATTACTTATAAAGATTTTATCTAGATCTACCCACCGATCAACGTTCTTCCATCATTGTCACGTTTGATGAAATCTGCTATTGGTGAGGGTATGACACGAAAAGATCATGCTGATGTTTCCAATCAATTGGTATGCTGAGATAGAAGTAGAGACATTAGTTAACTGATTTTATTGTAGTATGCCAACTACGCTATTGGAAAAGATATTGCTGCAATGAAAGCTGTCGTTGGTGAAGAAGCTTTGTCATCTGATGATTTACTCTATTTGGAATTTTTGGGCAAATTTGAGAAGAATTTTCTCACTCAAGGTATCTACCGAAAAGACTATTTCTATACTTTCACACATATCCTCCGTTGATCGTTAGGTGCCTACGAAAACCGAACGATCGCTGATTCATTAGATGTTTGCTGGCAGTTACTTCGAACATTTCCACGCGAAATGCTTAAACGTATTCCGCATAATATTTTGCAAGAATTCTATCCTCGTGATGGTGGCAAACACTTACAACAGCAAGCACCTGCGACTACAACTGGCTAAAACAATCAGAATAACTTTCATATTTATGCATTTCTTTCACGTTTGCTTTGAAATAGTGCAATAGCTAAACGACTAGTGTAATTGTTGTAAAAGACCGGTTTTGTTTTTTTCCCTCCGAACAAGAAATTCTTTTGATATTCCATGTTTCTATGTGATTTTACTCTGTTTTCGACATATACCGACTCCCCTAGATCTTCCCGTCATCCTCTTAATGTTTTGCGTTCTTTTGTTCTGTGTTTGTCACTTGTATAATCATTTATCGTGTTGCGCATCTGGATATTCGTTAAGTACAAAATCATTTCGACATAAATTATACGAAAAAAGGCTTCTGAAATTCTGCTTATTTTGAAATACGTTTATCTTTGATGAAAGTAATGAGAGAATTTTCTTATTGAGAGTTAAAAACGAAAGAAAACAAATGTCGCATGACCTATCAGAATATTATTAATCTTCGTTCAGCCGATCCGTTCGTCGATGTGACTACTTGAAGTGCCGGTGGCCAACGCAGCCCCAATTTAATCCATATTCGTATTTAACAACGAAGTGCAAAGAAAACACTAACAACAGTTTAAGTAAGTTCTCAGTGCATGTCTCTTTTTCTCATTCTTATCTGATTCTCTCCGGGGTGTTGGTGAAGAATTCGATAAAAAGAAATTTGCTTGTAATGACACTGTTGTCGAACGTCACGAATACGGTGAAGTTATTCAACGTCAAGGCGATCAATAAACTAATGTAAGTCTATTTCTCAAGGAAATTGGTATCTGTCAATCTGAACAACTAAAAGTGCACGGTCTTTGAACATATCATTCGTTCACTAAATAGAATCTCTTATACTCAAAATAAAACAAGACACCCGATGGTTACGTTTCATTCATTGTTCTGTTTCTTATATTTGTCTTTTTTTCCTTCAAATATATACATCATATATCAAAATCAGATGCATTCTTTCGTGTTTTCGTCCAACTGGAAAGCTTTGTCTTATACATAAAAAAAAAAGAAATTTCGATAAAGTCATGTGTTAAGCACCATCATTATCATTTTGTTCTATCAACACGGAAATGGTGTGACAAGAGATTCGTGCGATAAAAGAAGACTTCTCACAAGCAAGCCATTCTTATCTAAACAGTAATGATCAAGAGAAAAGAATATATAAGAAACATGCAAAACAAATCGTACGTAGTAAACTATGCCATTCCGGAAGAGATAAAACAAAGAATAATACACAAACTATTCAATCATTCTTGGCAAACAAAGAAACTCGAAAGCATCAATTTTCGTTAATTCACCATTTTGCTGATTCTGTGTCTGAATCATAAAATCTGCGTGTTCCTTTCAACTCCGATTTCATTGTTTTATTTAGATTAATGAAGTTTATTCGGTTTTTGTTTGCCTCTCTAACAAATACAAGAAGTTTTTCTTCTCGATCAATCGATCGTATTGTGGACTACAGAGCAACTACTTGTGACCTCTTTCACCCAACGAAAACTCATTCGTAGGTTATGAATCATCTTCCAATCAAACAAAAAATACTCCGAGCTTGTCTCCTTATTTTATAGACATGGCAAGTTCATTGACAACAGACTACAACATTGACAATGTCTATAAAACTTTCAGCAATGTTCTGGATCAGGAATCAGTCCGCGTACGAGAATTTGTCATTGCCTTTCGAGAATTGGCTAAGTAAGTCTTGATAGACTCGTCCTTGGATCAGTTCATTTTCTTTCAGGTTTTTCAACCATCTCAATGTTGTTTTCTCCTTCGTTGCCAATGACCTTCATGACAAATTCGATCTGCTGGATGGTTGTGTAAAACATCATCCCGTACCATTCGAAACTGTTCAAACAACAATCGAACACGAAAGAAATCGCGACGATAAAAGTGGAACAGTTGCAATTCTACGTTTATTACGAGCATTGGAATTCACTTATCTGTTCCTTGAACGAGCCATTGTTTCGCCGACAGATTCCAAATCAACCAAGCATGTTGCCTGGGATGTCTATAAGCAAACTTTACACAAACGACATAATCGAGCAGTGCAGGCAAGCATCTGGCTTGCTACGGCGACAATCCCAAAGCGAGATGCCTTGAAAGAGATCTTACTTCGTGGTGAAGTCGAACCTGATACGGCTGATAGATGTTTTCCATTAATCGGAAAAGTCTATCGTCAAATATACAGAATCTATGAACAAAATCAACTTCTCGAATTAGTACCACTGTGATATGACCGACAAAAGACTTTTATTTTCGATTTTATTCGTCAGACAGAGAAGAAAAAGAAAAGTTTTTTTATACAAGCAAAAATATGTTTCTTTTTTTGTGACAATCATAATAATAATTTTAATAAAATCATTCGCTTTTTCGAAGACCTAGTGCTGGTATTAAGACGACAAGAATTATGACACCAATAGTAATGGCTACGGACACGATAACAGTGACCTTCTGAAATAAAAACTCAAATAGAAGCTGAAATTCATACTTAAGGCAATAGTTACTTGACGAGATATACTTCGCGAGGTTCGTTCAATGACTGGCAGGGCATCTTGAGTTGTTGGACCATCGACAAAAGGTGTACCAGTCGAAAGCATCATATCACGATCATTTCGAAGTTCCTATGATAGATAGACTTGATTGAATTATCTTGTTGAAGAAACTCTTTTCTTAGTTATTTCACACTTGTCTGTCCGATAATTATTCGAGAAATCAAATTTACATACATTTGCCGTTAAAGTATTGTTCGTACGTTCCAACATTTTGCGTTGATTCTGTGTTTGTTCGATCACGTAACTGCGTCACATTTTCAGCTCGGTATAAATCATCATTTCTCTTTGTGCGTTCCAACTAAGAAGAAGAAAAAAAGGAGTACTCTATCCGTTCTTTTCTTCTCTCCTCTCTTTCTTCGACTTTTTTTTTTATAATATATCCGAAGTATCAGCTTGATTGGCCAATTGCCAGTCGTGTCTTCTTTGATTTCCTTTTGTCAAGTTATTGGATTTCTTCTTCGTTTGCCTTTTTATTGAATGATCGATGACAGGATGGATCCCGAATACAGATATCTTTGTCTATATATTGTAATCGATTCTCGTTTTCAAAAGCTAATGATTACATCCCATTGTCAAGATAATACATCTTGCATTTGAGATTGACAATGAAGAGATGACTAGTTGAATTAAACGCAAACGACGTCAAAATGTTCTTCAACAGTCATAAGAGGAATTATTTACTACTGCGCATAGGGAAAATCGACTCTTGGCTTGTGATCGTCATTGATGCTTTTTAGTTCTGTATCACTATGATGTCATTGACGCGTTTTAAAGGGAAGAAGAAAAAACATACACGAGAGAGAGAGAGAGAAAAAAAAGAAAACCGAAGAACGTGTCATTTTCTTCGTCAGTTTTTTTTTCTTTCTCTTGTATTTTTTTTTCAAATCACCAATAACATCGCTACAGACAATGTACAATCAATTATGTTTACTCATTTAAATATCATGTCGAAGCATTTTTCCATTTCACTGAGCTCGTTTTTCTCAAATCATATTTATGATTTTAGTATAAATTATTCATTTCGAAAGTTTTTCAGAAACCAATCAATATTCTCCTTGAGCCACGCAACAACAACAAAGCTAGATAATATTAAAAAAGGCATACGGTATATTGCAACATACCTGTTTATACGTGTACATCGATGCATCCAAATGTAAAAACGACATCGTTGCATGGTAGGTTACATCTAGTCAGTTATGTAAAGTAGCCTTGGTTTTATAATGTATTTGCAGGGTTCATCATACTATTACTTCTATTAGAGATTTCCTGTGAATCCGATTCTTCAGATTCGCTAGAAAATGGAAATATTACTACAACAAAGCCTATTTCTGTGATGACAACTAATCAGAATACTATATTTATAAATGGATCGACGACAGTGACTACTACCGCTCCTTATTCTTCTACTACTGCTTCGACTACGACCAGTACCACTGCTAATGCTAATAATACAACAACTTCAGCCGTGGGAACTTCCGTATCGACTATTTTATCAAATACATCAACTGCTCTCAGTGAATTAACGACATCCGATGTTGGTAGTAGTGTGCCCTCAAAATGTACGATCTGTCTTCTAAATAATAATCGTCATCATCATTGAAGAGCTCTTTTTTCTTTCTTTTCCAATGTAGCATCATCACGACATGGTTGGTGGTTATTCGTTGCATTAATTGTCACCGTAGTAGTGGTTGGTGGCATCGGTGTAATTTATTATCATAGAAATCACACTCCTTATCGCCGGTATGTAAATGACATTTAACATTCAAATAACATATGAGTAATTTGCTTATGAGATAAGCATGTGTGAGCTAATCCTTAGCAGATTGAATAAATTCCTAAGTTAGAAGATAGGTTATTAATCTTTTTTTCTTCTTTTACTTGGAAGATTTCTTCGCAATTGGCGATCGCGTGATGACGAAGCAGATAATATTATTCTTCAACTCGAACAACCTGAACTAATGAATGGTCAATGGCCACCTCGCATCTCATTTGCTTAATATAATCTCGAATATTTTTTTTAATCTGTTTTCTCATTTATTTTTATGATAAAAGACAAAAGAAGACGATGATGCTGATCAGTTCTGTTTTTTTTTTTGTTATTATTTTTGGTTCAATAGAAATCAATTTCTAGGGTGCTCGAAGATTCCATCCGCTCTCTTTCGCACGTCTTTCTCGGTCTGTTGTTTTTGTTTCATTCCAGGTATTCAATCGCGGTTGCTCACGCTTCGTTGTATTACATTGAAATTGTAACGTGTAGGCACGACGTGGTTCAGCCGAAGCATTAGCGCCCGTGTAATGTAAAGTACGACAGTGATGAAATGTTGCACCACCACTCGGGAGCGGGCATGCAACGATTTCTTTCGTGTATTCGGAAGGAGTATCGACTTCTAAACCGTGTATACGTGGATTGTTATTTTGAGTGTGGTGTGGAAGCACATCGCCTGCTCGATGTGAACCCGGAATGAATTGCATACAACCGTTTTCAACAGATACAGGTTGTAGAGCAACCCAAACACCAACGGATTCGTAGGATAGTGTCGGATCCCAATAAGCCTCATCTTGATGCCATGGAGTCGGTAAAGAATTGGCTGATGGCGGTTTCAATATCGCATGATCCTAGTGAAGACATGTTATCGAAGAAAATTGACATTTGAAGTTTACATCCGTCATACTCCTTTGAATTCTGTGGCCTCGCCCAGTAAACTTTTACAAATTTCATATGCATTGGCATACATTTGTGTACTGTATAGATCAAATCCTGTCATAGTTTTCCCGTAGATTGATGGCCACAAGAGCTGTGGTGCAACCGCTTCTCGATCGTCGGTATCTTCAGAGAGTAAATCAAAGAAATTGCCGTGCTCTCGACCTAGTTTCGCTGCAAACCACTGAGAAGAGAAGAAATGAATTTTTTCCGATGAAAAAGAACAAATGAGCGTACTTTATCATATTGATCACGAATGTATGTTACTTCATTTTCATCAATCAAATGATCAATACTTAAAAATCCATTTGTTCTGAAGAAATCGACTTGTTCCGAAGTTAGTTTTATTGTGGGTTCTTTCAGTGGCTGGTTACTTTCTGGAAGAACGAAATGATCTTGAGCTTGGTGTGGATTTTTTACTGACTCCATCTAACAGTGCAATCGACACAGAACAGAATATGAATGTGATGATAAAAGAGAAATAAACACTCCGTTTTTTACATTTAAGCTGACTTTCAGTCAACTGATTCGTTATCTGTGCGTTTAGATTAATGAAATGTGATATTCACTACATTATAAAGGACGACTCGACATGTAAATACGTATATGGAAATGATCTATTAGCGACGTTTGTTTCATCTCCTTCACTATTTGATGTTTTTCTGTCGGCATAAAATTGACTAGGTAAAATACAGAAAAGAAACAAAAATACTTCTTTTCTTCAGTCCACGTGATTCTATCAAAACCAGCGTATGACAACAAATCTCCTCATCGCAGCGCTCAATACAACAACTAGCCGTCCACCTGATGATACTCCGACACCACTATGGATTGGCTATCTGTCTGTAATCATTGCTGTCCTATTCTTTGGCACGAATCTCGTTCCGGCTGGCAAATATCCAATCGGTGATGGATTATCATTTCAATTTTTTATGTGTTGTGGAATTTGGGTCACTGGTCTAGTTATCGATTTATTCGTCAAAAGTCCACAATTTTACCCGCTAGTGTTAATTGGTGGCATTTTATGGACAACAGGAAATATTCTCAGTCTTTTGGTGATTCGCATCAATGGTCTCGGAATGTCCATGTTACTTTGGTGTACAACCAATATGCTTATCGGTAAGTGAACTGTTAGAGTAGTTTACGTCTTATTGATTCATTTGAGTAGGATGGGCAAGTGGACATTTTGGTTGGTTTGGGCTAATTCCAGAGGATGTTGAGAAACCGTATTTGAACTACATTGGTGTAGCAATTGCTACTATCAGTGGAGCGGTCTTTTTGGCGATACGAACGATTCGGCCGGAAGAAATTTCCGTGGATATCGAAGAACGACAGCCTATTCTTCAACCATCGCCACCCGTTGTAATAACGACAAGTAACGATGCACTAATTGAAACAACAACAATAACAACACCTGCTTCACCACCGACAAAAATGTATTTACGTGTGATCGGTTGCTTCCTTGCTATTCTAGCCGGCGTTCTGTTCGGATTTATTTTCATTCCAAGCACCTATATACAAGATCATCCGTACGGTCAATATCAATCAGCCTCGAAAAATGGCCTTCACTATGTTTTTGCCATGTATTCCGGCATTTTCTTTTCGTCCATGTTTTATTTTATCATCTACATTGCTTACAAAGGTAATCGTCCATACCTTCATGTTCCAAGTATTTTTCCTGGAATTCTCTCTGGAATTATGTGGGGCATAGCCCAAGCTGGCTTTCTCGTTGCTAATAGTGTTCTCAGTCAAACAATCTCGTTTCCATTGATAACAATTGGGCCTGGTACAATTGCTATTTTCTGGTCGATCTTTTATTTCAAAGACATATCTGGTCAACGCAATTATCTGATTATCATTGGAGGAACTTTACTTCGTATTATCTCAGCTGTACTCATTGTGCTTTCTAAGCCGATCCCACATTAAATGAACAAAATATTCTTCGTCTTTTTTTGTTTCATGTTGTTTGTTTTGTGTATATAACTAATAGAAAAAAACAACAACGAGAATTATTATTGTCATACAAAAAATGACAAATAACAGGCAAAACACGAAAACAAATTCTTTTTTTTTAATATCAGTTTCCACGTCCTCGGCCGCCTCGAAAGCCACCGCCACCACGGCTGCCACCGCTTCCACCTCGACCTCGAAAACCACCTCCACCACCTCGGCCTCCGCCACCACGGCCTCCACGTTGGAATCCTCCTAGATACGAACGATATCAATCAAAGATATTGTCTTCTGAATCGTATCTTACCTCTACCGCCGCCGCCTCCTCCTCGACCACCTCTTCCACCACCACCTGGACCTCCAGTTGGTTTTGTGCCTGGTGGTCGTGGTAAAAATCGAGCTAATGGTAACAGTTTGTTTGGATCAATGAAAACCTGCAAGGTAATGCTTAGTATTCTCTATCACACATGCACTCTCGCTCTCTCTTTCTACGTACTTTCTCATTCTTTTTGAACGAAGTTGGATTCATATTTTGCAAAAGTGATACGGAAAACCACTAGAGTAACAAATGAAAAAAGTATATATATATATATGTTCGTGTCAGGGACGTCCTTTTCGCATACATATTCTTTCATTGGACCAAGAATTTCATCGACTTTACCAATTTGCTGTTTATTTTCAAGAAATACGCCAGCATTGAAATATGGAATCATGTCGTTTGTTGCCTTGCATACAAGTTGACTTTCACATGGATGAGCATATGTTCCAAGTTCTAATGAAAATCAAATCAATGGGTAATCGAGGTTCAAGAACAAAGTTTGTTGGTCTTACCAACAACACTTTCAGGAGGACCTTCGGGCTCTCGATTGCCTCGGCCACCACCACCGCCTCGAAATCCTCCACCTCCTCCTCCACGACCACGGAAACCTCCTCCTCCGCCGCCCCGACCGCGACTACCACCACCTCCTCCTCTCGAATCTCCACGTCCTAAAGATAAGAAATAAGCAGTTGAACAAAGCATTGTTCCATGATGTTTATTCACCTCCTCGGAATGGTCCCATTTACGAGCTAAGTAACAACGAAAACGATTTGTAGAAAATCTAGAAGAACTGTTATGAACGAAAAATGAATTTTGAAATCACCAAATCAACGTCCACAAAATATATATCTCTCTCGAATGTCTATTAGTAACTTTTCATACGAGAAACAACCAATCTAGACAAAAAGGAGGATCACCTCGATAATAGAGGGGCTGTATTCCCGATAGAGGTCGCCGATGGCAGATGATTAATCTGGAGTGAATTTGTGTGTCCTCAACGACTAGTGGGATGTCATGTCATTCTTCCGTTCTATCGTGAAAATTTCACTTTTTTCATTTCTTCATCGATTTCTCAGGTAATTTTACTGATTGTAAGGAGCAAAACTTTTTGCACTTTTCCCACATACGTTTACTATGTATTTTTAAATCCGTCTTTTCGCCCACACAATAGGTAAACATATATATATATATTTATGTATGCTGGGGAAAATTCCAAAAAGTTTTTACCCTTCATGATTTACTTGAATGATGATTCGTCTAGGAAGAAAGTATACGTCAATGTGATTCATCTACATTACTTTCAGATACATAGTTCACAAATACATTGTTATAGGTATATGAGATAGCACCAATTTGGATATCTGCTGGATGTTTCTTTATGATGGAACATGAAGATTCAAATCGATCTCCGAACGATTATAAAGAAACAATATGTCCTATAGAGCATGATGAACTAATTCGACAAAATCAATCAGTACTTGAAGAATATTTTAAGTTTTGTACCAGCCAACTGGTTTTACCGATTTTTAATTTCGACAAAAAGCAACTATATCTATATGGTACTGCATCAACAAATTTCGAAGCTGGTAAGTTACATTTTTATGACTACAATATCATCATAAAGTCCCTTTTCTCAAAAGAGAAGCGATTCCTGGATTTACAAAATAATTTAGTTTTGAAAAATAGCCGCCAGTCTATTAGAGATCGTGTGTGTTGGTGGTACGAAGCATGGGATGGAACGTGGCAATTATATTCTCCCCGAATGAACACTGAAATTGAAGAACGTCATCAATCGGAGGCATCAGATGTATATCTTTATTGCGCAAGATTATGAAATTACGAACAGATTGTTCTTTTTAGTTTACAATGCTGAATGAAATAGGTGAGAAAATAACAATTGACTTGACAAAGTCTATTGAAACTTATGGTACTCGTATCAAACGTATTCTCCGCTCGGAATATAACAAACATGTACCAGTATATTGGAAGCTCACGCCTTTGGAAGTGTAAGTCATTTATATGGAGCTTTTCCCTTCATACTATTCAATTCATTTAGAGAACGAATATTACTCGATGAGAAACTAAATGAATACCTTGCTATCAAACACCAGTTCGATGAAACTATGCACGATCGTTATGTAAACTATCAAAGCTCTATCCTTCTTTTCGATCCAGATATCTATCGACGGTTTCCTTTTCTCTAGACAAGGATCGTTTCGATTGAGCGTATCCAAAATCTTTCTTTATTTACACGATTCTGCATTTTACATGACACTTATATCCGTCGGTACGGTAAAGAAAATAATGGAACACTGCGCTATCTATATCATGGCTGTCCCGAATCAGCAACGAAAAGAATTATCGAACGAGGTTTCAATCGAAGCTACAGTGGAACTAATGGTAAAGCACTTGACGAGTTATTTACATGTTTCTGATCCTCAAACTTTGTCTTGATCATTTTCAGGATGTGTTTATGGGCGCGGTGTGTATTTCTCATCAAAGGCGAGCTACTCCGATCAGTATGCAAAGCTAAATGGTCTCAAGCAGAAAGGAATGTTCTTTAGTCGAGTGCTCGTAGGACGAAGCATGCGTAAGTATTTGCGTTTTTAGTTCGTTGATTAATACTGTCACTGTATTGTTAGGTGGGAGCTCGAATATCTGTGAACCAGACGGTAACTAAACAATAGAAAGTCTTACTCATCGAGAATTTCTTTGACAAATATTTGATTTTAGATGGATACGATACAACGACGGATGGAGATCATATTTTCGTATGTTATCATGATAATCAGGTAAAGTCTATCTCAATTATAAAATCAATCATACACTGTCGTTTTCTTCTTGTTCGAGTAGTGCTATCCGGAATATTTACTGGTTTATGTATGACGTCACATTTACATAAAGTTCAAATGAGTCATCAGGCTACCTATGCTGTCTGTTGTAATATATGCATACGGTTTGCAGATATTTGTGTTTATATATATTTAATTATATTGTTTGTTTTCTATAAATTTGAAAAATATAATAAAAGGAGCTTGTAAATGCCATATCGACACGGGCAATCAAATATCCAACGTTCTATACATTGAATAATGTTCTAAGAATTTCGTACTTTACCAGGAACGTATGAACTATAGTCAATGGTAGTATCTTGAAGGAAAACATGCAGTGAACGTTCATTTTGTGCTAGAGGATGACCCGCAACCCTAAAGAATGATAATCATTTCATTGGATTTCTTGCAAAGCATTCGATTCTACTTATTGATGAATTGCTCTAGACCTTTGCGTCGTTCTTCGATGAAATCATCTTCAAAAATACCATCATCGCGACGAAGAAATCCGGGCATTTGCCGTTTCCAAGCTTTTCCAGGTAGAGCTGGAACAACAATCTAGGAAGAGAGAGTTAATCACGAATAGACAACATTATATTCGCTTTACTTTACTATCCCGTTCCAGTTCCTTACGTAGCCATTCGAAATCAGAGTAACGTCGACGTACAGAACATTCTTTCAGCCGGAAAACTGGTAAATTCGTCTGAATACAAAAAGGATTCTTCCACGAGCATAAAACCATTTGTTTTTGTTTACTTTCATGCGAATTTCATAGTCCGTATAACGTTTATTACCGAAACCGTGTGTCTCAGGATTACCAACGTCAATTTCAAGGAAATTCGCAGGTGGATCATAGCGATCTTCCAATGAAATCTAAATTTAAAAAAGATCTTCTTTGGTAAAAGCCCAAATTTTTACTTTCGTACGGGTCTAGTTGGTAGTCGTAAAATTCCCCTTCGATTCTCGGTATCGATTGCCGCCATTGAGATAGATCAGTGTGAAAAAGCAAATGAGTAATGGTAGAAAAGAACGATAAAGAGAAAGGTAAAAATATCTATAGGCTCAACATCGTTCTCCATTCGTCATCTACTAACATCAGGTGACCTCTGTATGTACGTAGCGATTTGATTTCATTGGATTGAATTTTGAAATGAAATTAGAAAAAGAGTTTCGGCGATAAAAAGTCGAAATCCGATCAAACAGAAAAGAAAGACGAATGTTTGTTGATACAGTAAAACGATAGAAAAATGAATTCAATCGATTAAGCGACATAAATTCTTTCAGATTGTTTTAAGCAACATCAATAGCCGAATGTCATCACGTAATACGTTCCTATTTGAATCAGCAATCTCCTTATCGAATCTGATTTGTTTGCAGGCGTACAGATATCTATCTGTAGTTTCTTGCGTTTCATTCATTTCTTACCATATTTCGCTTTCGTGTTTTGCTTGATTGTAACCCTTTTCAAAGATATGAAAAAATCTACTAAAACCCATTGTAAAGTACCGAATGTCTTTCCGTCGATGTCAGCAATTATTGCCGGTTTTGAACCTCAGCGCTTTGTCTGGCGATTGAGTTTCGCATTAACTAGTGTTCCGCGATATTTCATTGCTTATTTGCAATTGCAACGTTTACTTAATCGCTCTCATATCGCTTATCGAGAACTCTATCGATGGGTACAACTAATCAATAGCTTGATTCATACTGTTGAATTAACATTTCTGCTTCAATTAACATACATCTCATCGAATGAAAACAAACGAATGCACGAATACGGATATCTCGGTTTTGCTGTGTGCTCATCGATTCATATGCTCGGAACGATTCTGATTGATTATTATTGGCCGCGAATGAAGAAAATCTGTTTGAACGAACGCGAGAGAGCTTGTCGACGAAAACGACTGAAATGGTTCCTGTTTAATTTTGTTTCACTGACTATCTCCTTGTATTTCTTCTATCGACATAATCGCTTTTGTGAACCGTTTATTTATTCGGGCTATTGTCTTTTTGAATATTTTGTTATATTGACCAATATCAGTTATCATTCGATCATTCGAGACGAATGGGACCAAACTGATGGTCAAGTACACATATTCTACTAGGAAATTAGTAGTTTTTGTATGAAATAAAGTGTGTCAATCGATTCAGAACTGCAATGCACTGTTCTTTCTCCGACAAACGAAATAGGAATACGTCTGTTTCGTAACTATGAACAACTCACGCCATCTGTTATCTTATAGCGAGTAACGTTTGTCATCTGACCAATATGAATGAGTAGAAAGCAAACGAGGTAAATAAATAAATACAGATACGAAATGAAAAATCGTGTTAGTGCAAGACGATAGAAACTCATCGTATACAAACCTCAACAAGTTGTAAAAATGATGCGAAAGAAGGTAAATGTGTCTCTTACTATTTGACACTGCCAGATGTTAACGAATCGATCTTTCTCAGGTTCTTCTAATGGGTAAAAGTGGCGGTGGTAAAACGTCGATGCGTTCGATCATATTTGCCAATTACAGTGCGAAAGATACTCGACGTCTCGGTGCCACAAGTATGAGAGTGTGAATATCGATGCTCTTCTCATTTCGTTTGTTTTGTAGTGGATGTTGAACAATCCTACGTTCGATTTCTTGGTAATCTAATATTGAATCTGTGGGATTGCGGTGGACAAGAGGCGTTTATGGAATCTTATTTCGCAACACAGAAAGATAACATATTTAAGAATGTTGAAGTGCTGATCTATGTTTTCGACGTTCAAAGTCAAGAAATAGATAAGGTTCGTTCCGATTAATACTGTTCTTTCGTACGATAGATGAAATTTTCGTCAGGATTTGCATTATTATCAATCGTGTTTGGAATCGATTTTACAACATTCATCGAACGCAAAAATCTTTTGTCTAATACATAAAATGGATTTGATTCCTGAAGAGATACGTACAACGGTAAGAAAGAAGAACTTCGTACTCAAAATGGACCAACGCACTTGAAACTTCTAGGTCTTCGCTGAACGAGAACAGATTCTCAAAGATTTATCGAAGCCTCTACAATGTGCCTGTTTTCGGACGTCCATATGGGACGAAACGCTGTATAAAGTTAGTCGAATGCAAAGCTTTTTCCTTTGATTACACATGAATTTCTCTAGGCCTGGTCACAGATTGTTTATCAATTAGTGCCGAACGTCAAAGGCCTTGAAAAAACGCTGGAGAACTTTGCGGAAATCATCGATGCTGATGAAATTCTTTTGTTTGAGAAAGCCACATTCTTAGTAAGGAAATTCCTTCTGAATTACTCAACCGTACATATCCATCTAGGTGATTTCCCATTGTACACGAAAAGAACATCACGATTCGCGACGATTTGAGAAAATAAGTGATATCATCAAACAGTTTAAACTATCATGCAGGTTCGTCGCGAATTGGCTGAGTACAGAAAAACATCTGTTGATTTAATTTAGTAAACTTGCAGCAGCTTTTCAATCGATGGAAGTGCGTAATTCGACATTTGCATGTTTTATTGAATTATGCACACCGAACACATATGTGATGGTGGTAATTAGCGATCCAACCATTTGTAAGTATTCCGTAGACGATCATGTCACTCGCCAACATCATGCTTTCTTTTCAATTAGCGTCTGAAGTAACGTTAATGAATATTCGAAATGCTCGAAAAGTATTCGAAAAACTTGAAAAAGACGGTGTGCGAAGTTGAGCTGGTTCATGATGCCGGTGCTGAACGATAAAACTAAACCGAACCTATTTACAGCTAATTTGTCAGCGGACAAAAAAATCTTCGTTTTCATACATACAGAATATATACACAAATGTATAAATATACCACTTGATTCTTCATGTTTGCTGCTCTTTTCAAACCTACCATACCGGGTGATACTATTTGTGTTCGTTTATTTTGATTTATCAGGTAGCATTTCTTTTCTTGATTCTTTTTTAAGTTTATGTACAAAAAAACAACCAAACGAAATAAATGTGTTTTCTTCAACAAAATTGTACGTCTTCTGTTTCCTTTCTTAAACTTTCTCCACTTTTTCGATTGGTTTCATGATTATATTAATCGGTTTGGCATTCCCGTCGGTATCATGATGTTTACTCCAGTCGAACGACGAACCGAGCCGAATTAAAAGTATAGCTACAACACCGATAAAGAATGCTAATTGAAACCATGAGCCAACAATAGCGATCAGCATGTAGATAAACAACGAAGAGACGTTAGGGTATTGTTCGAAAACGATTTGATTTAATTGAACACATGACGTGATTTGTTTATCATTTGACGTGACTGCTGCGCAAAATTTGAGAAAGCCATTCGTTAATATAGACGCGTTGATTAGAGCCAAAAGACCGAGGATGATAGACATTGGGAACCTAGATAGTTTAATCGAATAAGATCAGCTTGTTTTTCTCGTTTCTTTCGCTTACCACGGAATGATCAAACATCGATCGTTGGATCGAATGACTCGATGATCACCGTTGAATAGAATGAAGAAAAATCCTGTCATGATACAGTAGATGAATGTAAAGACATTCGAAAACGTACAAAAGTCACAAGTTGACGGCGGAGTGAATCTTTCCGATGCCGGATTGAGTTTGAGCATCCAATTCTCGTTTAGTTTAGTTAATTTTTCAAAATTAAACGTCGCGTACAAAGAACATTGCTGTTTAAATTGTACGACAGTCGAACCAACGATGAGTGCGATTGTGAAACTAGTTAGACCGATTAGGGTGATGAATAGGAGGAATGTTAGACGTAAACTACGATCGGAAAAGTGCGGAATATGACAAGACGCTAACAGATGCAATGGCCAAGAGAAGAGACGTAAAACAAATGTTTGCTGTTTTAATTCAGCTTTAGTCGGCGGTTTTACGTCAGCGGTAACGATTGTCGTAGGTTTTTCATGTACAATGACGCCTTTTTCTTCTTGTACTAGTTTGTCAGGTGATAATGCCAACATTTGAATTAATTGCTGTTCATCGTTGTTAGTTATCGACGTATCCATCGTTTTAATAGTTACAATATCTTGTTTGATTCTGTTTACTTGTATATATCAGTAACTGAATGTGTAGGAGTGAAGAGAAATAGATGAAATAGTTTGAGTGATGATGCTTAGATATATCTGTTCGCATGGACGTGCTTTGTCGATAGAAAAAGAAGAAGAAGAAGAGAAAATGTAAATACTTCTTTCTCTCTTTCTTTCTTTCGTTCTCCATTCCATGTTCAGCGGATTTTTCTTTTAATTGATTGGCTTTTGTGATCTCATATATATATCTATTTGAATAAATATCCACAAGAGAAGGTTAATTAGTTGAAATCGATTTGCTGTTGAAGAAGATTTTTTTTCTTTTTTTTAGATCGTTTTTGTTATTCTATCAATTGCACCAATTATGAATATGTAAGTTATTCCGCCGGTCGAGAAATGCATATTTTTTGGTTTGTTCTAGTACACTTGATTCCGATGATAAACATTATCAGAAAATGTAAGGAAGAATTTGTTTTTCTCAACAAGGAAATGTTCTTTTCCGTTTGTATCTAGTGAGTTGAATAGTAATGATCCGATTCAATCTACACATTTAATCTCGCGAGACGAAGTCGAAATTCAATTGACAAATCGAAAAAATCTTTTGACAGAAACAACTTCGACAGACGATGTTAACCAAGTACGTGAAGCACTCATCTGTCTTACTGAAATATGATAATTTCATTTCGAATGAAGAAGAAAATAATGATTCGGTTAAATTGGAATGACAGTCTCCTTCGAAGTCTCGCGAGAATGATATTTTGATTACTTAATATTTAGACCTTTTCTCAACCGATCATCGATCATAATTGGGAATCGAGATATTATGCAGGTCATCTCGTTGTGACATGCGGAAGTTTTGTTGCGTATGCTCTGAAACGTAAGTTGGATTTTTGTGGATTATTCGTTGTTTTGATGACATAAGAGAAACTTCTTTTTTCGAAGGACAAATCGGTGATGATATTGTTTGTGTCTTCTACAAACAAGTGGACTTTCGTTCAGTGATTAACCCTCCATTTTCGGGTGATATTCATGATTTAGCGTTTTCATTCTCTGATGACATTCTTCTGGCGTGTGTTGATCAAGCATGTCATTTACGCATCTACCGTATAGAGAAAAACATCGAACCTGATGAACTACAGTGAGATTTCGAAGAAATTTTCATATATTCAACAGTATATTCTTTCTAATCGACTAGACATACACTGATCTTATTTGTTGATTTACAATATGCTAACAATCAGTCTCTACCGACAGTATCCTGGTGCTGTTTTATACCAGACAATAGTGATAGTGAAGACAATGATGCGTACACAATGATGAGTGTTACACGTGGTTCCACTGTTTGTTGATTTTTCTTGTTTGAATTGAATAGAATACCACCTTTTATTTAGGTTGAGGTACTCAACGTTGCAAATGCATCACAGTCATGGATATCGGACAATATGTTAACTTTAAATCAGATCGAAAACGGGCGCTTGACGTATGAGGATAACACTGGCGTAAGTCGTTCACGTTTCTGTCCAGAGCAGTTTTTGGTCAATTCAAATTTTAGAATGTCACTTGCGTGTGTTTTTCACCAGACGGTACTGCACTGGGAACAGGTACAGATAAAGGTGAAATTAAATTCTTCTCGATTAATTTTGAACAGCCGCAAACATGCCGGTAGGATTTTTACAATCAACTTCACATATTTTCAGTAAAGAGACTTACTTTAGATGTTTACATGTTTGGATTCCGCATGAAGGTCGACCTGTTTCCTCATTGTTTTTTCTTGATGATCATAAGAATTTAACACAAGAGTACGTATGTCAAAGATTGAGTTTCTTTGACTTTTCGACTGTTTCAGTACACAACTGTGGCGTTATGCCGTGTCAGGTTGCGATCAAAATCGAGAATTGAAGGTTTGGAGTTGTACGAATTGGAACTGTTTGCAAGTTCTGCGGTAAATACCAAAGAAAGCTTTCGATTTAACTTGTATTCCAACTTTAGCTTCACTACCGCATTCCATCCAACATCTCAATTGCCCATGCTGAAAGCTTCAATAGATCTAACTTCACGCTTTCTTGTTCTTTCCGATATACAACGCAATGTAAGATCAAATCTACAAATATTTTTCATATGTCTATAATATTTCTATATAGTCCATGTATGTTTTAACCATTTTCCAAGATGCTGATGGCAATCGAGCATACTTCTCATCGATAAACGCGTTTACTTCATTCAAATCGCCGGCATTAAGTTTTGCAATTACAGCTGCAGATCAAATCAATGGTAAACATTCCTATTCATTCAGCCGACATTTGATTTCAAATTATTTTTTAGGTAAACACACCGATTTTGTTACTTATGGCGTGAGGATATACAGTATTCATGCAAAGTATATGAAGATGAAATACTACTGAATAATGCGGCATGATTGTTCTTTGTTACGTTTCGATTAGATCTTTCAAAGAGACTCTACTGGTGTTCAAAACGAATCGTTTCATGACGCGAAATTCTGTTTATTATGAAGAGCAGAATCATTCGAATCAAGATGATCTAATTGACGGTAAATGACAGGGAAAAAATTAGCGAGCTGAGAGACCCTATTCTATTTAGATTTTCGATTTGAACCATACATGTTACATTTGCGAAATAAAGATATGTCATTTCCTCCCGTAATGGCCAATCCAATCGAACCTCCTGTTGATCATTTAATGAGTCTTCCACCGTAAGATAACTTTCATCTTCTGGTCATGATTTTAACTACTAACTATATCTGCTTCAGATACAGTATCGATGATCTGTTAACGCCAAATAGTTCATTAACAAATATAACTGCTTTGCAAAATGGTGATACCGCACGTTCATTACTGGCCAGTCATGATGGGCTAACAGTTAATCAGCCACCACCAGCATCGTCATCATCAACAGCAGCTGCAGCAGCAGCGACGATCGATCCCTTGCATGAATTTTTATTAGGTAACAGGACAGCGTTTGATGATATTAACGGTCAACAGCGACGAAAAACATCATCGCATGGTGTACATACCTCGCCATTACAAACTCAAAGAACTGCAGCAGTTACAACGAGTCCCAGTAATCGATTGAAACCAATTGGAACGACAGACATAGATTCATCGTCGTTAATTATCAATGGTAAGAATAGATTTCGTTCTTCGAGCTGTCAAAAAGTGGATTTTACTCTAAGGTATACCGCAAATACCATACGATCTAACTGATAAAGAAGTTGCTGATAGTATGTCATGTGCTACAAATTATCCTCTTGTATTCGAACCAGGTATGACCCTTTATTACTATCTCGCTCTGTTTTTACCGTGTATGGAATAACTATTCTAGTGGCCAATAGTGATAGTGTTGATGTAGATACAGTCTTCATTCCAATTAAAACACATGATGATAATCAGCCGGTAAGATCTTTCACGCAGTTCTCCAAATATAACCGAGAGTTTAATTAGATCAACAGCAATCAAGAGCCACTTTCATTACCTTCAAATTACGGCGAAGATCAACTATGGTCAAAGCAAAACACAATCAAGTAAGAGAATAGTTTATCTTTAGTTTTCTTTTTAAAAGAAAAACTTCTCGAAGAGCATTGAAAACATCTGGTCGAGATGACGACGACGATTACAGTGACCCTACAGAAACAAGGTACGGTTCGTTTTTGTCGAACATCCATCTCTATTCTTGAACTTCTTTTTGTCAAAAGTGATAAAGATGATGATTCAACCGCTGATGAAGAAGATCTTCTACATACACGTATTAAACGACGCAGTGGACGATCACCAAATAGCTCACAACTAGGACTGAATACTGATGTAAGTGCAACCTATCATAAATTTCCATTGCGTTTCATTCGTCGAAAATGTAGTCATTACATGAAATTCGGCAATTGACTCATTTGTTAACTGAACTACGCTCACACCGAAATGATCTTTCCACTGAGCCTATGACATCGGCTACGACTCAGTTGTACAATGAGGAAAAACTCGAGCATTGTTGTCAACGTCTCGAACAGTTGTCAGCCAAAGTTGATCGATTGATGAATTTCGAATCCGTTGGTCAAGGTGGCACCTCACGGCCAAGTCGTCCAAGTCCAAATGCCGCACCTGTTGAAGTTTTAGCAACTAACGAACCACAAACAACATTATCGGACACGCATTATGATCGATTGGAAGCGATCTTAATCGAAAAGATTCAAACATACATTCAAAACGGTATGCGAACTTCATTCATTTAAAGTTTCCAACTGGTTTTCTTCTCTAGCTATGACATCCGTTTTCGAGCCTTACCGAGAGATGAAGGATAATTTGCACAAAGATCTTGCGGCCAAGTTATTAGCCACTGATAATGTAATAAAACAAACAATTACACAGATCTTTCGCTCAAAAGTTCGTTTCTACTTACTTGTCATTGAAGTAGTTTTTCTCATTGATCATCTTTCATAGACGATGATGGACTCGTTAGGTCATTCTGTATCTCAGGCAATTCAATCGGCAATGGTGGCATCTTATCGTGATACATTTAATCAGATTGTTATACCGTCGTTTGAGAAAGCTGTGACAAATATGTTTCAGCAGACGAATGATGTTTTCAAACGTGGCACGAAAGAATGTAGGCGTAGAGGAAAGGAATGTTTCGTAAAACTATGAAAATGTATCTGAATTTAGACTTACAAGAAATGATTGAATATGGTCGACAACAGCAACGTTCATTGATTCAACAACGTGAGCAAATGATGAGTGAGATACGAAAAGAAACAACACAGTTGAATAAAGAATTCGAGAAGAAAAATCAAGACTTAGCAAATTCATTAAAAGTGGAAATTACTCAACATCTAACAGCTGGCCTCACACCTATGTAAGATCTTTGGAAGGGTATCGCGCTCTTTGGATGCTTTTGTTTGTTTCAATAGAATTCGGGAAACTGCACGATCGATACTACGTGAAGAAGTCACATCCACATTCCGTGAGGTGTTAACTGCTCAGAAGAATGAGATCAATACTATATTTCGTCAAGTCGCCACTCCAAAGACACCTACTAGTCGAACGACAACACCGGTACCAGCAACGATTGCTGCCGCTACTCCACCAACGGTTGCACATGCAACAACAACCTCATCATCTGATATGAAGCAACAACAAGCGATAAAACTTGTGCGTCTTGGACAATACAATCAAGCATTCGAATATGTTTTATCTGCCTCTGATCTAACGCTTGTTACATACCTTTGTGAAAGCATTCGTCCAAATGATCTCTTCTCTATTCAACCATGTCCATTACAAACTCCAGTTCTTCTCTCTTTACTTCAACAACTCGCAGTCGATTTGAATACACATCAACAATTGAAATATAGGTAATCACACTTTCTTCGTATTTCCTAATTGTCTCTGTGCTTTTTTAAAATCTATATTCAGTTATCTCAAGGAGGCATTAACCTCATTGGATCTTTCACATCCAAGTGTTCGCGGTTATGCACAGAATGTCTTGACTGAACTGAGTAAGAAGCTGTATGCATATATTCAAACGAATTCAACATCTCCAATGGCTGCACATTTTCAAATATTACTCCGCGGTAGTCAAGGTCTATTGCAAAAGATCGTTCAACAACGCGCCACGCCAATCGTCCATGCATCACCATCAGCAGCTAACACAACGAAATAGAACTGCTTTTTCTTGTTTGCTGTATGTGAAACGCACACTTTCTTTCAGATGTTTTCTGTTGTGAAAAAAAAAGAAGTTCCCAATAATTGTATTCATTGTTCTCAAGTTTCGTTTGCATTAGTTCTTTTTTGTTTGTTTATATAAAACTAGAAACAGAATTTTTCGTAAAACGTTTCAATTCACTTAGAAAACCAACCAAAATTTCTTCTTTATTTTTTAAGTACTTCATGTCTGAAAGTGATGAACCAAGCCTCACGCATGATATCGATTGGCCTATGCTCGATAAAAAACGCTATGTTCCATTGAATCTTCTCTCGACATTCATCGTACGTTCGTTTCTTTATCCATTCACACTCGTCCGCACACGTCTACAAGTTCAAGTTCAATCTTCAATATACCGAGGCACATGGCATGCGCTGCAAACAACCGTGCGGTACGAAGGTTTCCGGTCATTGTACAAAGGCTTTCTTGTTTATAACTGCCAGTTAATACCTGGTCTGATCTACATCACAACATTCGAAGCGACGCGTGCTCGTGCAAATATGTTAACAACGAATGAATACCTTCGTGCTGGTGTTGGCGGTACAGTAGCCTCTCTGTGCTCTCAAGTACTTGCTTGTCCGATTGATATTATTTCTCAACACATGCAACTAGTTGGATTGACGTCACCGGCAAAAATAACTCGAACGGTAGATGGAATTCCATCCATGTCTGATACAAAACTATCCCAAGCATCGAGCAGTCGTCGGCAACAACGACAAATCGAACGCATACATGTACCAAAAGAAATCCGTGCAAATAATTATTTGATCTTTAAACACATCTGTCGAACGTTGTTATATGAACAAAATCCAGAGGCAAACGCAAAGCCACGACTTAGTCTGAAAGGTTTCTATCGTGGTTATGTGATATCGACATTTTTGTTCAGTTTAACAAGTGCCATTTGGTGGCCATCGTATTATTTCTATCAACGACAGATGCTTCAAATAGAAAAAATCTTTCGTAAGTGAATCGTCAGAATCATTCAAATAGCGGATGAATGCTTTTCCTTTAGCGTCTCTATTTCCTCTACCCGTACTGGCAATTCAATGCATTGCTGGACCATTATCATCGCTTACATCGACGATATTGACGAATCCTTTAGATGTATGTCGAACTCGTATTCAAGTCGAACAAGAACGTCGACGAGTAGCTCAAATCATGTACGAACTATGGCAAGAAGAACGTTTTGGTGTATTTACCAAAGGTCTAACAGCACGTCTATCACATTCCTGTGTCTATTCCTTATTTATTATCTTTGGTTATGAAACAGTTAAGCGTATATCATTGAAAGAAGAATATCGAGGACTTGTGCGATGGTAGCACCTTCTTTTACTATATTCCGCTTCTGGCAAATTCATTCTTGGTGCTTTCATTTTATTCCACCCACAATTCTTCCCTCTAGCTCTAATGACCTTCTTTTCTGCGATGATTGTCTTGTATTTATTCGTGTTTTTTCTTTCTTTTGTACAAAAATCCGTTGACAATAAAATAGCTCGGAATCAAATCGAACTGCAAGAAATACACGTGTTTCTCGATTGTTGTTGAAATTATGAAAAGAACTTTCTCGATCTAATTGATTCTCAAGTAGAAATTCTCTACCAAGTTCTATTTCATCGTCAAACAATAGAGTTTTAGTCAATTGTATTGAACATTCGAAGAAATTTGTTGCCTGAATTCGATCGCGTACCGACGAACAAATAATCAATATAAGGCAGAAAGTTTGATTTATGAAAGAGTGAATGGCAACACTTCTCGTTCTCCTCAATACTCGCGTAACTAAAGAATTCTCCCTTTTCTTCTTCTTGCTTCTATTGACGATCGTTGTTTTCTGTTTTTCTCCTACTTTTAAATCATAGAATAACATTTTCTTGCTTTCATTACCGTTTTTACGTTTACTACTGTGAAGGTGTATATTCATCATCATGGAAGAAGAAGAAGAAGCAGGACAACAACAACAGCAGCAGCAACAAGTCAATGAAAATTTACCAACAGAACAAACGCGTTGGATTGCGGGAACGATATTAGTTGAAAAAATCGAAGACCTTTATGATTTAGATGATTTAATTAACCAGTAAAAGCGTTATTCTTGCCTTCTGAATGAATATCATATGTTTTTCTATGTAGCGGACAATTCGCTGATGTATATAAATGCCGATTGAAGAACCGGCAAACTATTCGAGTAGTGAAATGCATTCCGAAACGTGTAAGTGATGCGAAAAAGATCGTGATTGAATCGATTCGATTGTGATTTCGAATAGGGAAGTCGAAGAACTCCGCTTAAAAATGCTTCACATGTTTTACAACTTGATCATTCAAATCTGGTATGAGATTTTTATCGGTGCACGAATAAATCATTTTCTCTTTTCCATAAAAGGTTGTTCTTCGAGAAATTCTCGAATCACAAACGCATATTTACATCGTTCAAGACTACATTAATGGACCGAATCTGTTTCAAAAGTACGCGAAGTCAATCGGTAAAATATGTATTTGATCAATATTCTCTAGAATTGCTCGAATGGAAGTTTATACAGAACATGATCTATCGAAATACTGTTTACAAATCTTGAAAGGACTGGAGGTAAAACAGATATGCTTTGTGTCGTCTTTTCTAGTAATGTCTGTCATTTGCAATAGTATCTACATGAACATAAAGTTTACCATGGAAAACTTCATGGTGAGAATATTATCATTCGTGAAGGAGAAGGAGAATCGAAATTGTGTCTTGTCGACTATGCTTATGCCAATATCTGTACACGTGATGCGATCAATCTACTTGTTAATGCAACACCAAGCTTTTGCGGTATGGAATGAACGATTGAATTGAAAGATGTATGTTTTGATTGTTATAGCTCCTGAGATCTTACGTGGAGAACCGTATAGTCCATCATCGGATATGTGGCAGTTAGGAATTTTGATTTATTTCTGGTAAGTTTTAATCATGCTCGGTGTCAATTTTCTATGATTGTATTTAGTTTTACTGCTAAGTATCCATTTCATGGCATACAAAAAGAGATCTTTCAAAAGATTCTCAAAGGTGTCATTGAGTATGACGCACCTGAATGGGAACATGTATCCGTGAATGGCAAAGTATGTTTGACTGTTTAAAGTATTTTTAGCACTGGATCGCGTTATTTTCTTAGAGTTTCGTTAATAAACTTTTGAAAGTCAACGTTCGTGATCGCCTTACTGTCAATCAAGCCTTTTCTCAACCATGGATTCGCGAGAAAGTTTACCGTGCTGATACATTATCTGTAGTTCAAGCGAAGATTGCCGCTACTCTACCTGTAGTTCCTGAGACACAACCAAACGATCCCGATGCAGAAAACGAAGACAACGACACAGAGATTAACGAAAATTAAACTTCTAAGAACTCTGCTTTTCTTTTTTGAAATAAAAAAAAACAAACAAACTATCCACCGAGTTCATACTGCAGCAGACGGTCGGTGGAACAGTTTTTGGTTCGCATGTACATGTGTGCGCCGGTCGATTGATCCGTTTTGACATCGGTCTAATTGTTGATAGATAAGTTTAATGACGATGAATAACGGAATGACAGATAAAATAAGTAAAAGAAGATAACCAGCGGCCGGTAAACCAAGTTTTTCCATCCATCGTTTCTTAGTGCTTTTAACTACGATCGGAGAACCTGGTGCCAATGGATTGGCTTGAATACAACTACAAATTTAGCGGGAAAGCGGGTTTAGATAGTTTACGAAGGTTAAACTTACTAGCAGCTGATATGCGACCGCAGACTTTGACAACCGTAACAGCTCAACGCCACTGTTTTTTGTTCATTCAGACAAAGAATGCCACACGATGGGTCATATTGACAAAGGTGAAAACATGTGCTCATCGGAAGACTCTCCGATTGGAAAGAATGATTATGAACCATTAACGATGACGAGATATAGCATTGATTGCAATGTTCAGGAGTATCTAGAGAATGAAGACACTGGAAATCTCGAAGACAATGTGAATGATTAACAAGTTGTGGTATTAGTTGAGTGAGATGGAATAATGGTGGATGAAAATGACCTTGATGACATTGACGAACAGAACAGGTATCATTATGTCGTGATAGTGATACTATAGAAAGAAAAAGTTCGTTCGGTGTCGAATAGCAAACACATAGAGATGAGTATTTTTCGCTAGAACTTCCATGTACTTCACCTACAAACCGAAAGAGAAACAGTTTGAATCATTAGTTTCGGCACAATCACACATGTATTTACTATGTAAATCATTGAAAATCATCAATACGATGGTAATCCTAAGTAAGACGGTATTCTTCATACTTGACAATTGTTGAATGATGCTGCTGCTGATGTCAGTTCTAACTTATATGCAGGATTGAAGACTGATGATAATGATCTATAGTTCAATAGCCCTTCGAGAATCATTGAACGAGTATTTCTCTTTGATCACAATCATATTTCTACAACAATTCTTCGGAGAAAGATCTATCACACAAAAGAAACATAAATGCTTTGTTTGACGTTGATTGCATTGAGAAGTTGAGTTTTGCTTCGCAGTAGTTTCGGACAATCGATAAGAGTCTATATATTCTTCTCATTTTTTATTACAAAACAAAGACATGACTTGAAATATAAGAGATTTATTCGTGTGGTCGAACAATGAAAAAAGGCCAATAGCATGCATTAAATAAGAAAAAAAGAACGGGAAAACAAAGACGTGACCAGCGATCGATATCATTCACATCTTTAACATGTAAAAATGGCTGACTAAAACATCGTGTACGAGTCCGAAGGTATCTTAGAAAACGTCGTGTTCGATGCGGATGTGAGTGTCGCATATACGCTGATGGGTTGATAGCTGGATTGCCTCTTACTAATGATCGAAAACGTGGATACTGTGTGACAATAGTATGATTACTATTGCAATGCTCGTCACGTATTGTCGAAGGTGTTCTTCTCCGTCTTCTACGATGGTTGTCAGAAGGATTTGTAGGTAAACCAATAATAGGCGAAGCCCGATTAATGGCGATTTCTTCTAATTCATAATCATCCTAAACATAGACTCATGCAATGCACCAAAGTCTTCGTAAATCGAATTCACATACCTGAGCTTCCTTTTGCATCTTGGCTATTTCATTCGCTGCTTTTCTTCGTTTTGCTCGACTACCCCAGTAGAGATAGTTAACAGCGGCATATTCCAAAAGTGCAGAAAAGACAAAGACAAAACAAGTCACTAGATAAATATCAATTGCTTTAACGTATGAAATACGTGGCAGTGACGACCGAACACCAGTCGATATAGTTGTCATCGTCAGGACAGTCGTAATACCTTAAAACAGAAGAAGATCGATTGTTATTTTGATTTGTGTACAAGATTTGGTTTTACCTAATGCGACGCGCGCACTAGTTGCTTCGTGGTTTATCCAAAAACTAACCCAAGATAACATAACGATCAGAATCGATGGGAGATATGTTTGGAATAGAAAATAACCGATATTACGTTGAAGAACAAAGCTCAGCGAAAGACGTTGATAAGTACCTTGAACACAAATATTCTCTCTGTGCTCCTATCAAGAGCTTTTTCTGTACCTGTGGCTAAGTATATACTATACGATATGGTATCATAGCCGAGAATCGTAAATTGTGGTAATTGAACTTTATCGAGATCTAAAATTGATGAACGGCCACTTTTCCAACGCATGATGACGTCAGCCTGCGTGTATCCGTATGATTCCACTTCGACGGTACAGTTTTGCCGATCGAGTGGATATCGCCGAAGATCCATCATGCATGCTAATGTGCTTGTAAATCTCATTCCATAAAGAATATCTCCATTACCGTTAATACGGATCATCTTATTCTTTTCTGTCACATCGTGCAAGTAGGCACTCTTGTCATTGGGAAAAAACGTATCGGGTAGCCAAAATTTATCGATGATTTCACCGGTTAAAGTTATTTCTTCACTTGTATTCCCGAATACAAGACGATCATCACGCCAATATTGGTTTAAATACAGCGTTAGTGTGTAATCCATATTGACTTCAGATATACTGTCAAAACTTGCTAAACGGATTTCAATATCTAGAGAAAGTGGTTCACCTGAAGCAGACCATTTATTCGAGAATCAAAAAAAAACAATCGAAACTCACCTCCAAATGAGGGCCGCAAACGAATGTCGTATTCTTTCAGCAGATCATTAATAGCAACTGTAGCATCTTTCAAACGGCTGGGAGTCATTCGTTGCGAACTTCTACTTAGGAAAACACAATACACAGTAATCGGTTCTTTAACTATTAAATTGCAACTTGATACTATTTTCGAACAGTGGGAAGCACAACATCACTTGCAACTTGTATTATTACTTCCTTATTAGAATATAGGACGAACGATTCGATCCAATAAACATTCGATCATGCGAGCAGATATGTAATGCCTGAGGGTGATTCGATTTAGATTTTTTCTGCTGCTTGATACAGTTTCTCCTCATATCAAATTCGATTTTCTTATGATTGGCTTAAACATAATGTAGGACAGTGATGATGAGGTCTAACTCAACATAGGACATGGTAAATAATCTCTTAGACTGGATGCCTTCTTTACACTTGGTGGATGCCGAAAATTAAGATAAAATTTCGAATGTCAACATACCGCTGAATGATGATTGTACAGAGTAGTGGAATCATAAGACGAAGTCGGATATGTTGGTACCGAGAAAACATAATCGAAAGATAAACGACGGCATCGGAGGCGTTCAAACGAACTGTTTGGTCATCGACAACGGCAAGGTCAGATGTTGTATATCGTTCTAACAGACAGAAGTTGGTTAGTTGCAAACGAGCAGATCGTAGATTTGACAGTTTGACACGACGACAAGCATATTTCTCAACAATTCCAAAGCTAGTCCATCCTATTCCTCTATATCTCTCATTCGTTCTTTACCAGGTTTACGTATTTATCTCTTTTTCTTCTCTAGTAGTTTCCATAAGTGACAGCGAAGAGAAACAGCGAGAAAAAGAATAAGCTAATCAAATATATCAAATTTAGTCTCTCTTTCTTGACTGCTTCACCAATACATTCGAAAGAGAGCTTTTTTCTTCTACACACTCGTCGGTTTCATATGAGATTATGTAGATCAGCAAACTTTTCATCTTCTGTGCTGAATTCACAAATAACTGAAAATCTTCAATACAGGAGATTGCTGATGTTGCCGCTACTGTTCATATTTACAGCACAGTCATCATCGTCCTTTCTCTTCTGTCTCTGCTTGCTACTGCAGCGGCGCTACCAGTCAGTCTCTTGGAAAAGAAGATTTCTGATTCGCTAAAATGTCCATCGATTCACACATGTGATGACAGTCTAATCATCAAATATGCAAGAGAAGATAAAACGCTACATTGACTGAATAATATGGCAACACCGGTATCTGGTTTACCGATTTCATTTTCCAACGACGACGCTAAAACTAGTGTTTGCTCCAAAGCGCAATCATCGATCAGCTCCTTGGCAACACTAGTTAAATCCATTATAAAAAATTCTCATACAAATGATTATTTAACATCCACGTTAAAACAATTCGCCAATTGCGATCAACACCTTTCTTCAACGCAAGAACATATCAATAAAATTGAACATCTTTCTCAACAATTATTGTTCCAATCGAATGTGCTCCAACTGGATACGCAAGAATTAAATCAAATCCACCGAACTTTCAGCGATATGAAACTCGAGGAACACTGATTTCGATACTTTTATTTATTTGATACCGAACAAACGCCGTTCATTGTAATTCATTTTCTTTAACATACGAATAAGATTGATGAACGTTCGCTGATCGAGTACTGCACTACAGAGTTCTATCAAGTTCGCGAAATTTGTATTTTTGTTTGTTTAATATTGAAAAAAAACAACTATTGCATGATTAAATTTAAACAAAATCTATATTCCGCTGGGTTTGCACATGCAGATGTATAAAAAAAACGACCAGAAAAAAAAATCATTAACAATTGCAACGAAAAATAAACGTAAAACAGAACTGGTATTGCTACTCAAGAGTTCTGTGCATCACATATTAGCTTTTGTTTTGACTCAGTTTCCATCGATGATCGTTCTCATCGTAAACTTCAATCGATTTCAGAAAACTTCGACCATCGAAACCACCGACAGCATAGAGTTTGTCGTGACAAACTGTTATTCCAACACCGACACGTGGAATGTGCAATTCATAGCAATGTCCATTAATGTGACTAATCCATTCATTAGTAATCGGATCAAAGATCTCGATAGATGCTAACGATGTTATACCGTTTGAACCGCCGACAATGAAAATTTTATTCTCGTACAAGATGGCACCGCACCCACGTCGGCTTTCTCGCATCAACGGTCCGAGTGACCATTCGTTTGTAGTTAAATTCAGTATTTCGCATGAGGACAAACACCAATTCGATTGATAGCCACCAAATACGTAGAGTTTACCATTGAAATGTACGACCGCTGCTTGGCTTCGTTCGTAACTCATTTCATTCAATGTTGACCATTGATTCGTATCTGGGTCGTAACGATAACAACTACTTTTACATTTGTCGCCTTCACATCCACCGATTAAATAGATGTATGAATCATCGTTACACATTGCTAAAAGGTTCATTGAACTTGCAAAGACAAATATGCCTAAGATTATATTCACCTCCGTGTGCAACGGGTGTATCAAGATCGCTGATTGGTAACCATTTGTCCATTGATTGTGTGTCTAAACATTCACCCGTGTTCAATTCCTTTTGTCCATCACTACCGCCACAGACATAGATTTTATTGTTGAGTATTGCAGCTGACACACGACCACGTCGACTAATCATCGGAATCGACAGTAATGTCCACCTATCTTCGATAGGACTGTATTGCTCAATAGTATCCAGACAATCTCCACGATCATATCCCCCTAACAAAAATAACGAGTACATATATAACCTAGTTACTGTCAAACATACCAACAGCAAATATAAAATCGTTTGTTGAAACAATTCCAAAGCCACATCGTGCTACCGAAAGTGATGCCAGATGCGGATCTTTGTCCATGATTGTCACCGAACCATTAATACCATTTATGGCATGAAATTCATCAATACCATTTCTATCTCCATTCAGACTATCCGCAGTTTCCGGTGTGTTAGGGATTGATGAAGATGCCGGTGAAACGTGAATGGTTATACTTAACAATTTGCCTTTGGCAATAGCAATGGCGATATAACTATGCTCTAGAACGATCGATTGCACATTAGCGTATGAATGATCGATGACAAGAACACACCTGTTGATTGACCGATATGAACTAATTTCGTTTCGAGTATAGGAGAGTTTGTCGAGGTCTTTGCTGGTTGATTATTGTTCACTAACTGTAGATTGGGTGTTTCAAATATCAAACTTTCACTCGGATTACTCGATGTTGATGAAACTGACGCAGTTCGTTTAGTGGATCTATAACTTTGATAATCCTAACGATGAGAAAACGATGAGAACAGCACAGTCGTACGGCGATCACTTACCTTCACAGCGTCTGAATAGTAGATATTGTTCTCTTCCATATCCATACAATCATGAAGAGTCTTATCGTCATTCAAATAGAGCAGATGCATCTAAAGATGAATTTTGTACATTAGTTGTTCGTTTCGAAGAAAATCCGACGTACGTATTCGCCAATTTCTTGTAAAGTCTTATCCTTTCGAAGTTGTTCAACGATCCAGTTCAGTATTAGATCGCACATCAGCTGGATACTAGATATTGTATAATCTAATAGTCAATATAATTTAACGAAACAAATCATTGATTGCATCTTACCAACCAGTTCCAACTGCAGAGATGGTAATGCATGAAATTCACGTGCTTCAAGGATAGCAATGAAGTTATTTTGAATACATTCAGTTGCTTTCGTGCGAAGATCATCGTCCATAGCTAACAGCCGTGTACCTGAAAAGAACACGTCCTAATAAGATTGATATATATCCCTTCGATGACGTACTTAGGCAAGTGTGAATAGTCAACTGTTCTGATAGATAATTTGAACACGCTTTGACAAGTATTTCTATACGTAATTGATGCGCTGCAAAATAAACGGTTGGTACCATATCTGACGTTAGTTGAAAACTGGAATCAAACACGGCATAGTTATGAAAATGATGAGATCAAAGTGGATACTAACCACCCTTGGTAGATAAATTGAATGATTAACTTTAATGCTGAATGTTCAATGCCATCAATTTGATAGTAGAGTTGTTTCTTGGATAATGGATCGGTTTCATCATTAAGAAACAGTTCGAGAAAATAATTCGAATGACAGGATAAGAGAGCGCGATGAGCGAATAATTCGTGACCTTCCACTGTTAATATCACATCACACAACTGTCGTTCCTTACGCATAGCATCGAGACATTTCAAAGTTTGAATTCCAGCTAGATGTAAGTTTTCGTATTTAACATTTAACTGAACTGTTTGATTATCAATGGTTTCCAATGGTTCAATAATAACAACAACGGCTGGCGCTGTTTCGCTCATCGAAATCAATGACTTGAAAATATTTGATTTGATTTGATTTCAAATTCCAATCCATGGAAAAAACAAATAAATAGATATCGAACAAACTCTGGATCGACCAATCGTTCTGCGGAGGAATCGATCGTACGGCGCGTTTCATTGGCTGTCCAAAATTACTTGTTGATAAAAAAAACTTCTATTTACTACACATTACTTTACCATACAAAAAACAATGTCCAATCTTCAAGCAGATTCTCGCGAAGCATTTGAACGTCTTATATCCGAACAAAGTTCTTACATAGGTGAAGTCGATGAGCAGATCGCCAAATGGACGCAATTTCAAAGTGATTATCAACAGTTGCGTGCTCGTCTTTCCACATTACCTGACCGGTTAACATATGATTGTACAGTACCGTTTGGCAAGCTAGCGTTTATTCCCGGTCGTGTGATTCATTCCAATGAAATTCTCGTTCTTTTGGGCGATAATTATTTTGCTGAACGCTCGTGTAAACAAGCCATCGAAATAGTCGATCGTCGTCTGACAAACATTGAAGAAAATCTTCGAAAACATGAAAAAGAAAAAGAAGTGTTTCACCAGCAGAAACGCTACACACATGATTTTCTCGATGACAAAACGAAATTTATTGAAATTAAAGAAACAGATGAAGAAATCAAACCGGTCAAATCAGCAGTGAATCGTCGAGCGAAGTTAACCGAAGAACAGATACGAGAAGAACGCCGCCGTTTACAAGAACGTGCTTTGAAACTGAGTGAAAAGCCAGCCAAAAAAGTTCACTTCGATGATGATGATCAAATGGAAGTCGATAGCGATGACGATGATGATCATGATAATGAGATTCCCAGTGAACAATTTAAAAAAATCTTCATCCGTCATACAAAAACTACAACCGAACCTGTCGGAGACACTTCTCCTGGACTTTTCTCACATCCAGGTGCCATTGGAAGGAAATCTCCGATGGCATTCACAGGTCGAACTATCGAACGCGAGGTTTCTACACCAAATAATGAACCGCCACCGAAACGAATTTCGAAATTTCGAGCATCTCGTCAATAACCTTTTGTCTATTTTTGTTTTAGATTAGTGTGTAAATCATGTCGGATTCTTCATTCACGATCCGTACACGAAAGTTTAAGTCGAATCGACTTTTATCACGTCGACAAATGGTTGTTGACGTTCTTCATTCAGACCGTGCATCGCTCTCTAAAAAAGATATCCGCGAAAAAGTGGCTCAACTCTACCGCACAACAACAGATCTCGTCTTTTGTTTTGGTTTCAACACCAACTTTGGCGGTGGCAAATCGACTGGTTTTGCATTAATCTATGATACACTTGATTTTGCCAAGAAGTTCGAACCACGATATCGTCTTGCCCGTCAAGGTGTTGTCGAACCAAAGAAAACCGCCAGAAAACAACGTAAAGAACGTAAAAACCGTATGAAGAAAGTCCGTGGTACAAAGAAAGCCGCTGTCAAAGATGCCAAGAAGAAATAAACGGACGACGCAAGCAAACATCGTCGCAAAAAAAACGAGTGTTCCTTGTTGCTGTGTGTCTGTCTCTTATTATTTTTTTGTAACATCATTCGACAAGACAAAGAAATAAAAAGAAGAAGTTGACATCGAAAGTTTTATTTCAAACAAAATAACAAAACTTTTAAAAAAATTTCCACCATGTAAATAAATGATTGTAAATTTGTTGAAATATCGACGGATAGGAACTGTCCCAACAGTTAACAGCCGGATTGTAAAATTGACTAATACGTATTAGTTTTGTTCGTGCGGTTTCCCAATTGAAATTTGGTAAACGAACGTTAGTTACATTGAATATCGTTCGAATAGTTGCCATTGCATAGTTGATTTGTTCATTTTTTTCGTCAGTTGCATGTAAATGCTGATAATGACCAAGGAAACAGAGTGTAGCATGCATGTCCATCACTGGCGTTGGATAATATTGGGTTGAGACATCATACAATTGTGTCCATTGAAGATACTTACTAAATTCTGTATCGTTTTGATTTAAACGGTGAAGTTCTATAGCGAGATCTTCAACCGAAGCGAAATCATCCACATGAATATATGAATGTGGTACTGCTGTACGCTGATATTGTTCTTTTTTTGCTCCTAGAACAATGGGTACAGCTTGACCGTTCGTTCCCTGTATCCAGTATTTCTCAGTAATGTATGAGTCACATTTGGAATTCTCAAATGACAGATAGAATCGGTAGTACGATAGGGTTTGTTGAGTACAATTTGGAGTGCCTCTTTGACACTGGATATGTGGAATTGGAGAATGGTAAATTGATTTGCAGTTGCCGAATATATCGATATGGATGCCTTTTTGCGAACGTAACTTCGCGACATATTCTTCTCGACGAGAATGTGTGTTGCAATTGGATACAAACCAAGCAATATAAACAATATCGCGATTCGAACTACGAGATGTACTCTGATTCAAATACGGTTGAAGAAGTTGAAGTGCATGGAATGGAATTGGCTGGTTGCATGTATAAGGACAAAGTTTTAAGAGAAGATTTTGACGCGTAATCAATTCTGAATGGAGAATGGAAGTGATTGTATTGAGGTAAACTGAGGATGAATTTGTACATGTATCTGATGTCGGAAAAATCGGTTGAGTAAGATTGATTTTGAATTTACTTTGTAGAAGATCGCCTATTTCAGGTTTGATGCGATAACCCTAAGAAGAGAGAGCACTTTTTGTATAATGGGCGTTTTTATTGTTTTAATGATTTATTATGCAAATAGCAACGATAATTTACTCATGGTTGTTAAAAAAACCGAGATGAAGAACAAATACATACGCGATATTGAATATGGAAATCCGAATCTGCACTGAAGGTTGATGTTAAATTAAACCAATTATCAAGCTCAGTCAGATTCTTCACTTCGGCTGTACGATATGAATTTCGCGGTGATTCTTCCGAATGAAAGATCCATAGTTGCGACGGATGCAGATGTCGATACGACTGAGGAAATCGAGTGAAGTCGACAATATTCATAAAAACACTATCAGCGAGTGGATAATCCTCCGGATTTAATACTTCGCATATTTTCAGTAAATTCTCACTGAAAATTTTTGATGTCGAATCTGTCCGCACACCGTATGACGTTGTATAATGTGCAATGAACACCTTTTTGAATGTAGATTTTGATTTTAGTATCGACTGATGGTTGAGATTATATTGAGGTACGAACTTTATTTGACGTTGAATCAACGAATTTTGATATAAGATAAAAATAATTATAAGGATAGCTAGAGTTAGTAAGATTACTTTTCGTGTTAGAGTTAGAGAGCTACGAATCATCGTCACTTCACCATTGTACGAAAGCGTAATAATAAAAAATGAAGTTTGATTAAATGACTAAATATTTGAAATCGAGATTGGTATAAAGAAAACAAGTATTGTTGCATCGTGCACATTGACCGATGTAAGCAATACTACCAAATCGAACACATAAGAGAAAAATACGAACGATACACAGACTTTTTCTCCGTTGTTCTGTTTCTTTCTTTCTTTCTTTCTTTTTTTGCGAACGTTGACAGTAGGTCTGAAGAACGACAAAAAATAAAGAACACATTTTTCTTCGTAGTAGTGCATGAAAAAAACAAGTAAGAAGTTCTTTTTATTTGCACACTATCATGCGGAAGATAGTCGGCTTTGTTTCGATGGAGGAGAGGAGTTCGCAATTCAACATGGGATAGCATTTTTTATGAAATCTATGCTTAATATTTCATTAGCTTGGGATAGCACGACCAAAAAAAAACAACACTGGGAATTTTCCCAGTGTGCTCCGTATATAAATCTATAGAATACATCTGCATCTCTATCAGAAGGAAACAGATGAAATACAGTTACCAGAAGGTTGCGAAAATTTATTTAAGCAATACCAAGATTGGAGGAAATAATTGTCGTTAGAACTCGTCGAACGTATGCCTTAGTTTTTCATTCACCGGTTAAAAGTATGTCAAACACATTTTTTTTTCTTTTCCTGATTATTTGTTCAAGAGAAAATGCCAAATAAACCGATCGTTTTTTCCTTCGAGTAAAAATCTTGAGCCGAGAGCTTTACCGATAAAATATGACCTTTCGTCGTGCAAAGGAAACACGCGCTTTTTTAAACTGCAGCCTGGTGACAGATTTTTGTACATTTCAGATTATTTGAATATGACTGAACAAGTAATGATTGATACTCCAGCCCAGCCAACTGGTCCTGACAATGCAGAAAGCTTAAGTTCATCGACGTCGGAGGTAAAATCTAAAGAAGTAACTGCAAATCCAGACTTTATCACTTGGAGATTTCCTCCCTATTGCGAGCTTTGCAATGTGACTTTTACTTCCGAAGCCAATTCTAAAATTCATTTCGAAAATAATGGTCATAAGAACAAACTTCACACGTGGGAAAAATACCAAGAACCTAAAGCATCATCGGATGAGAAAAACTCCAAGACTGTTCTTTGTGATGTTTGCTGGAAAGAAATGAATACACAAGCAGTTCTAGATATACACTTGAAAAGTCCAGCTCATTTGAAACTAGCGCAAACACGTTTAGTTATACAAAAATTAAAAGAAGACTATAGACAAATAAAGGAATCACAAGAAAATGAGTGAATCGTGATTCTTCTTTTATAATAGACTGTTATGTTGTTTTAAACTCATTCGCGGGTTTGGTTTTGGTGCATTTTTCAATAAAGGTGATGTTTTCGAATAAATTGATGACGATTTCTTTTGATTATAGTAATCCGCAGGTATTCGGAGAGGCGATGTTTGACGCGAAGGTTTTTTCAGGATTGGTTTTGGTGTAATGGAATCTTTTGAGCGTGATCGATGTGATGATGTATGAACTAACGGTCGTTTCAGTTCATCTTCTACTAATTGACTCTCAGAAACAGATGTGATGAAAACATTGGAAAAACTCAGTGAAGACGAGTTGTTGTTATTCACTTGTTTAGATTTTGGCGGAAGAGCTGGCACTTCGGTGTATAATTTTAGATTCGAATGGTCATCGAAAGATTTCTCCGAAGACGAACGTTCGACACCTAAGCGAGAAAATAATTCAATAATAGAGATTCATTGTGTCAGTTGGACATACCTGAATCATGATCATTCTCATCTTCTCGCGTGGGTTTTCGTCGAGCTTTGATTATTGGTGTTTTCTTAGGCGGTACCACAGATAGTTGAAAATTTTCTTGAACTGTCGATGTAGTTGCTTTTCGATTTGAAGGATTATATTTCAAACGTAATAGATCCGGTTCACTTTCATCCGTCTCAGTTTTTTCTGTTCTTTCCGAAATCGACGATAATTTCCTTGAAACAAATTGTCTTTCGTAATACTCGGCTAGATCTTTATTAGTCAATGTCGATGGTACAATCGACGTCGTAATGTTTTCATGTGAGGATTTATGATATTCATTGGATTGTGAACGTCGTTGTTCAGTATATCGATCATGATTATCATCATGGTCGACTTTTCTTGGTGGAAGGACTTGTTTTCGCGGTGAAGGGTCTAAACTAGTCGATGGACGCCAAGTGGACGAATTATACATCGGTGGGCTTTGTCGACTTCGATAATGCATACACAGAAATGAATAGAAGAAAATTACAATGAAAAACTTGATTAAACTAAAAAATAACAACACGTATGCTAACGCGTCCATGCACGAATCGAGAAAATATAATGTACGATTGAGACAGCCAACGCTAAACATGTTACAACTTGATGGAACATTATTTTGATACCCCAAACGGCCGTCAGCGCCGCAGCAACTAAATGTGTATTGAAGAATGTCTAAAGCTCGTTTCGCACGTTCATCGGTGCCTTGTCGATAAGTAATTACTGAAGAAGAGCGAAAGTTAGACGATTACTCAAATAAAACTCTCTTCGACAATTCTCACCTAATTTCGGTAATTGTTCAATCAATGTCACTCGTGATTGATATTTATTTGCAAACGTTAGAATCGAAATCGTAAATTCGCCGATAGCAATGATAACAATCATCGTCGAAGCAATAAATAGAAATGCATGTGTTGAACATAAGCCCCACACTAAAACTAAGCACATGACTAAGGTAATAATCGACGAAGCAAATAAACATAGGGATAAGTATCTTAATATCCATAAATCCTAAAGTTACAAGAGAACAAAAATACAAGACAGTCGCTTGTTCTATTAATTACCATGTAGCCCACATCTGCGAGATTATAAGCTAAACTTCGATAGCGCGGATCAAGAACCGTCCATAATGCCAGACCCAATTCAATGAAGCCAAGTACACACAGTAGTAGAACAGCTAATTTACTGCAAAATTTGAACGTCGATTTACTCATTTTAAATCTGATTTCATCATCTAAAAGAAAGGTTAAACTCGTCTGATAATATAAATAGAACACCTAATTCTTTGTCTCATCGAGATAATTACTAGTAAAAGATTAGAATTTCCAATGCTTGTTTTTTCATTCTGTCGTTTATTTGAAATTACAAACGACGCGCATATGACTAGTTGAGATTATTTTTCCATAATTAAAACTGCAAGATAGACAACAAAAACATAACTAAACTCTCACTCGATAGTGAATTCTCATTTAACAATCCCTTAGAGAGAACTAATATTACTAATAAACGTCCCTATATTTTATTTTTATCATCAACATATGTCAACGAAGAGTTTTTTGAGTATAAAAGAACGCAGAGCATAGTGGTACGAGTGTCTTTTTTATTCTGTTTTTATCATGATCAATTGACTCCGCAAGTTGTCAATTTATTCATCGAAATCAATAAATCACTAATGCTTGCAAAAGAAAGTCTTTTTTTTCGATCCGTCACTAGATTCCATATTCACAATAAAAATCTTGTCTTACCTTCAAGCACCTATACGATTGATTGAATTCTTCAACACATCGAACATTTTCTTTCTTATACAAAAAAAACACTACTTCAATTGTTTCTCTATGATACGAACGAGGAAAAAAAGCAACTGCCTTTCTGTCATTCGATGTTCTTACAGCAACGATTGGTTCGGTGTATATATATATGTAAAGTCAACATCTACATATCCTATGCTTAATATCAAAATCTGTATGTGTGATTGTGATTAGAAGTGTTAATTTTTTCTCTCAGCAACCTTCAATGTCGACCTATCAACGGACTCGAAAATAGCATAACCTTGAAGTCGAAGCTGAGAGAAGAGAGGAAATAATAAAAATACGGCGACATACATCATATTTCGTTGGTATTTATTTACTACCTATTTGACCTCTAAAGAAACTCCATATAGCAGAGCGAAAGAACCAGTTACACGCCGTGTCATTTCTACCTAATAATTATTGTTCAATGATTAAGATATACACGCAACATCATGAAATAATTGTATACTCACACTTCTTTTTTCTTCTTCTTTCCTTCTCATACTTGTTTGCCTCTATTTCTCATGTGGCATATACAAATTCGGCCTGTTCTTCGATACTTTACTTTTTCTTTCAATGTCATATGTTCATGTCGACAATCAAATATTCAATTCACTCATTCTGCCTCAATTTTTTGCTTTCTATTAACGAAAAAAAAACGAACTCAACCGATATGATTGGCGGCATGCGGGTGTTACATTTTTTTTTCTCTCTCGGTTGCAGTTAAAAAATGAATTGTCATGATCGCAGGATCCTGTTTTGGCTTTTGCCTCTTCTTCTTCTTCTTCTTTATCTTCTAATACAAAAGAACGTATAATTAATTTATTGTGCAATCGATGCCGAAAGTAACTAGGTGGATCTTTTATCGAAATCTATTTTGTCGATAAATAATTGATCAGTTGCTAAATATAGAGATAATGTATTCATACATATGTCGAAAAGCATTATTTACAGAATAATATATGAATGTGAATGGTGACAATCAAATTCTGTGTAAAAATAGCACTGGCTTTATGTGTAATAATCAAACAATGACACTTGTTAAACGTTTTTCGTTCCTTATCAATTATCTTTTTTGTCTTTGTCTCTTTTCTTCAACGGAACGAACGTGTTATCGAAAGTTTTTCGTGTCGTCATTTCATTGCACGTCTTCTTTGGCTTGAGTTCATGGATTTATCAACAGCAAGACTTGATACCATCGAGGATTTCACAGCTGATAGAAGTAATAGCGATTTTGATATGTCAAGCGAAGCACTTCGGAAGCAAATCTCAGAATTAACTGAACAACTGAATGAAAGTACTTGTAATGAATATTGTAAGCAAGTCAGGTTGGAAAAAACGAGATTTATTTAGGTAAAACAGCGGAGAAACGTGCGATCAATGAACGAGAGAAGTACTTACAAATGTACAATCGTACAAATGAACGTTTTGTTCAATTTGAACGAAAACAACTAGATCAAATGCGTCGAATATTAACTATTCTTACACCAAATCAACATAAGACTCTTGCGAGTAATTAGTCACTCGATTGATTTCATCGCAATCATTCATTCGTTTGATTTCAGTCAATCAGGATGAATATCAACGTCCCCGAAGAGCTTTTACTAGTCCTTCGACATCGATCTTGTTACCATCGACATTAGACGGATCGGGAGATGAATCGAATATAAGGATGCATTTGACTAAGACTGAAAGTGAATGGAATGATTTACTTGCACAGGTGAAGTTCACTTCTTCGAGTGTATTGTGAGTAAACTGTTTCTTTCTCCTCTTCAGATATCGAAAATTATGGAATTTTCGGAAAAATTCGCGGACAAATACGCTCAAAAGAGCGAAGAGAATACAAAACTACGTCTATTGAATAATCAAAAACAAGATGAAAATGTGAAATTACTCTTCGATCTATCTGTTGCCAAAGCTGAATACGAAAAAGAACAACACAAACGTGCACAATACGAACTACAATTGAACGAAGCGAACAAAGTCATGGAACAAGTAATGAAAACATTCATCTAATGAACTTCGAGTTTATCGAAAAATCTCTCTCTAGGATCGCTCGAAACGTCTACAAAAATTGAGAAATTACGCATCCTTAGCCGACGACGAAGGCGATATTCTGGTATGTCATCAAACAAAGTCATTCTCTGCAAAAAAAAGATTCCTCTGACTTGATTAACATTCATCGTTGATACAACGTTCGAGTTGTAGATAAAGAAGCACACGTTTGTTTCGGCATGCTGAATAGCATTGGTCGATGCTATTCTCTTGTGTAATATGTCCGATGAACTTCTATTGATATTTCCATTGCATTTTAGTTATCAAGTTTAATGAAGAAAGCGGAAAAGAATGATATTGATTTTCGTGAGATCAAGCTGCAGTATGAAAATGTCTTCATTGAGCAAGTCAAACAAATAAAGAAACTTGTCAAAGAACGTGAAATCTCACATTTATACATTCAACGATTGCAAGCCGAAAATGTTCTTCTCGCATCGCGTACAACTGAAGATGAAACAGTGAAATTGTTAACTCAATCGTCACTATCACCGCAGTCTTATGAAGTATAACCATAAGCTTGATCTTTTTCCGAAAGACAACTTTATTGCTCTTTTTTTTTAGGAAGCTTGCAGTTTGATCATTCGATTACGTGAGCAAATTATCGAACAAATTAAGCAACAAGATAGGTTTCGAAGTGATCTTCAACAGCTACAACAACATCACAAAACGGACATGCGTGAACGCGAACAGATCGAAGAATTACTCAATCGAGACTTAGCTGCAGCGAAAGATGAAATACGTAATAGATCAAATCGAGAGTTTTTGATTATTATTCGTTTTTTTTATGTAGTTGTGCTGCAAAGTATTCGAACTGAGTACGATCGAATCATAGGATTCAAAAAAGATCTGGAAGTACAGCTGGAGGACTGTGCAAATGAATTGCGAACGACAAAAACAGTGGCCAATTCATTAACAAATCAACTGAAAGAAAAAATGGAACAAATTAGTGCAGAGAAGGTTGAAAAGAATCATTTGTATAAGATTCGATTTTGTTGTTGTTTAGGATAAGCTTAACGAGGATAATGCAGGACTACGTGTTCAATTACAAAAGCTGAAGATCGATTTTGAAAACAGCGAATCTGTGCAACATGATTTCGTTAAACTTTCTCAAGCTCTACAAGTCTGCCTGCAAAAAACTTTTCGATTTTATATTGAGAGAGGCGTTGTTTTTTTTCAGGTTCAATTAGAAGAATTAAGAAATTCAGAAAATGAGTTGCGCTGGCAACCGGAAGAAGATTATACGGAGTGCCAACGTTGTCGTCAACAATTCTCGGTCACTTGGAGAAAACATCATTGTCGTAAGTTTTACTAATTCTTCATTATCGTACACTTTTGCTTGTCATTTCAGGTCACTGCGGTAAGTTCAGATGAAATATGTCGATTCAGTGAAAACATCAATCCGTTTCAGGCAAAGTTTTATGTAAAGATTGCACGAATAAGACCATCTATACTGGTCCTAACAATCGACCATCACGTGTTTGTGATGTTTGCTACACTTTATTGGATAAATCTGTTCAACCGTATTTTCTTAGTGGTGTACCGAAATATTGACGTATTCAAGTGGTACGAGTTTTCTTACAAATACATTTTAGTGACCGTGTTTTTTTGAAACTTATTAGGAAGATAACGAAGTAATGATTAAATCGTTTTTATCAAGATATGTTTTATGTCCTGCGGATTGATAATAGTAAAAGAGAATGTTGAAAAGTGTGTTAATGAAGAAAGGCAAGTCTAGAATAGAAATGGCTTCCAATAAGACATAACAAACAAAATCTTTTATATTGAATAAACAGAAAAACAAAAGTTCATCTTGCAAGCCCTCACAAAGGCTCAATTAAATGATAACTTCCATGTATTAGGTAGGATACATCATTGTCACAAGATGAAGACGTTACACAAACACATATTTATACGAGTAGACATATGACGAACGAAGAAAGAAAAATAAATGTGTACAAATGTTGAGAATTTGGCGAATTCGAAGAGGTAATTCATTTATTATTTGGATTTGTGGGATGAACAAACTAAATCTACGTATAGATAAAGTCAAATTGACGAGCTCATTTGATCAGAAAAAGAAACGTACACTCGAGAAACAATTCAAGATCAACAACAACAATAACGAAATAGAAGAGTTTTGTTTAAAAGAAGAGAAATCGATAGAATCTGACGAATTTTTGTCTTTATTTCTTTCGACGTGTTTTTCGAGTTGGAGGTTCAATAGCAGTACTGACCACCGATTTAGCTTCAGCTTCTTTTTGTTCTAAAAATAATACCTACACGGTCAACGAAATGACGGTCAGTAGGGTTTACCTGTGAGCAAATTCGTCTCGATTTTGATAAGCAACGCAACAAGATCGGCTTTTCGAGCACCTTTGGGCAAAGTTTCATGATGAGCAGTTAAACGCGTTTTGAGCTCGGCTACAGTTAATCCTTCAATCTAATAAACAGTAATGATAAACACCTGATTATTTCAATTGAGAATTCAATCAGACCTTTTCTCGTTCTTCTTGACTCAATTCAATCGATGCTATTTCTATGGGAACAGCAAGCGTATGAACTGTTTCTTCTTCATCAGCTGTATTCAATCCTTCGTCTTGTTCAACACTGTGCAATCGACGTTTGCTCTTTTTACTTGCTGAAGTGGGATGTTTACGTTTACTAGTAGTTTCAACCGGACTTGATTCTGATGGACCTTTTTTCGTTTTTCTCGTTGAAGATGATGGCTCAGTTGATTCGATCGGTGATGCCGATTTCAGATTCACATTCGTCATAACAGGAGTTTTGGAACGAGCACGTGTTGAAGGCACTTCGGGTGATGGAACTATACGACATATAAACAATATTCAAAACGACGTCAGTTTCTTTCAATTACCTGGAGCAAGTGGCTTGGTTTCGTTGGTTTTTGTTGTAGTTTTGGCTCGTTTCATGGCTTGTTCAGGTGGACTTATTGTTTCTGGTGGAGATGTCGTCGATGTTTTAGGATTTGCTCGTTTTCGGCCAGCACGTTTTGCTGTAGGTGGTGGAGATGGACTTACAACGATAATTTCTGGTTCGACTTCGGATAGTTCTTTAACAGGTGACGATGGTTTTTCCTTACGACCCGATCGTTTCGATGATTTTTTCTTTGTATGTGCTGTTGATGGTACATCCGGTTCGTTGGATTTTGTTGTTTGCTCATCATTTTGCGACTCTATTAAATGTTGATGACGAGTTGTTCGAAGTACTGGTGATTCATTCTAAATGAAGCTGAGAATTCCAAACCAATTCAACGTACAGATTAGCTATCCTAACCGTTTCTTCTGAACTATCATCTGTTTTTGTTGATGGAGCAGATACTTTTTTCTTTTTCGACGTGGATATTTTCTTTTTCGCTCTGATGGATTCATCTTCGGTATCCTCTTCACGTTCATTATCCGATGGAATCGGATTGATCGGATCAATAACTATATCTAATTTCACCTGACGTTTTTGTTCTTCTTCTAACTTTTCTTTGGCAGCTAAACGAGCATCAGTTGAGGGTGTAAATTGGAAGCGAACATTTCGTCTTAAATGTACAATGGCTTTGCTATGCAATGGCGTGACTTGCTGCTGTTGTTGTTGTTGTTCACGTTCCTCCTCTATAATCACACTCGATACTACTGATGGTACATGGGGCGCCATTGGGCTTGTTTGTTTAATTTGAATAGCAATCGGAGTCGTTTGACAACTTGCCGATGAAGATGAACGCTTCGCAATCGGTGTTGTTTGCTGTTCCATTGCTTGAAAACAACGCCGAGATAATGGATTAAGGCTTGGTGTAGTTTGAGCACTGACATCGATTCGACGAGGTGGTTGGATTGGAGATGTTTGAATACCTTCCTCGGCAACCTGATAAACAGGAATGTCTACTTGTTGTTCGTTATCGAGCATTTCAACATCTTCTGCAGTTAAGTCAATTTGCAAATGCTGTGGAACTGTCGTTGAAAGTTGCTCTTGTTCACCAAGTGAAACCATTTGCAACGATTTACTTCTAGTTGATGGTGTGGACGAATGGAGAGGATTAATACTACGGCGAGGGGATAGAGCTGACGATAAATGTTCACTTTGACGAATAGTGATCACTGGCGTAGGATTTGGTGATGGTGAAGCAGAGCCTGCTAGAGATTTTTGTAGGATCATCGGTGGTGCTTCGCTCATGGTTGTTGGATTCGTAGAAAGAGTTGTTAACAAAATTTTAGATTCTGACAATGGTATAGAATAAGTGCTAAGATCTTGTTCTTCTTCGCTGCTATTGGTAACTTGTTGTTCAGGTATGGGAGGAATTAATGACTGATTTGAACGTGAAGAGCTTGGTCGATTGAGTAGGATGGAACGGTGTTGTAAAGAGCGAGTCTTTCTTAATGCTGGACTATCGTACGTAAACTCCCGTGATAGAACAGGCTTTTTAGCATCTGCTGGTGTGCCAATATTCACTTGAGGGGAGATAAAGGATGCGCACGATGACGAAGCACTACAATCAGCTTCCTCTGCACTTGTTGTTGATGACGAATCAATCTCTTTCGTTTCAGTAAGGTTAAGAGTAATGCCAGCAGCTTGTTCTTGTTCGACTTCGTCATCTTCAGATACACTGACAACTTCGACAAGTTCAATACGAGGATAATCATCAGTAGTTTGATCTTCATTAGCAAAACATTTATCGTCGGATGTCACATCTAAATAAAGTTTTCTCTCAATTGTATTGTTATTACGGTTGAGTGAATAATTCACTTGACTCATTGATTTCTTGCGTAGTAGATTTTTCAGCAACAGGATCAGTTGACATTCGACGAGTGCTTGAACGAAGCACACGGGATGTTCGTGTTGGCGATGATACAGGCACAGATGATCGCACTGTCACTTTGATTGGATCTAAGAATGGGACTTCAGAAAGAAGACTCGTTAGTTCCTTCGCTTACCTGATTTTGCTAATGGTGATTGAGTTTTGATCGGTTGAGATATTCTTCCACCGGCTCGGGTTTTGATCAAAGCTCGATAGGCAACATCAGCACATGTCGGTGCACGAATCGTAATCATCGGAGGTGCTTGAACTACTGATTCATTCACAGTATCTTTCGAATTATTTGGAAAATCATTTAATTCCAAAGAAAAATCGTTCTGATCGTCGTCGTCGTCATCATCGTCTTCTGTGTTTGTATTATCTTTCGGCGTTTCTATTCTCTCTTCATCATCTTCATCAGTAAAATGAAACGAATCTTCAGTACATTTCGAAGTGTCAGGATTGATAACTGTTCCACATGCCGATGACGGCTCTTCGATTTCACTATTATCAACGTCAAACGGCGGTGGAATGGTAGAGTTTATACTTGGATCAGTTATACTTTCAATTGTTGGCATGACAAGAATGTTTTGGGACGATGGCAAACTACCTCCGCCACCTGCTGGTGCATAACTTAAATGTAATGATGCACCTGTCTGATTGATCAATTCCGTTGGAGTAACGATGGTTAGTGACAATGATTCATGATTACTTTTCGGTGAGTCTTGTGTCATAGTTGTCATCGTTAGATTTGTATTTGCTGAGCCAAGACCTAAGAGATGTTCAAGAGCACGAAAAGATTCTTCAGATGGTTCGTTGGGATGACATATTGACTTCTTCGATTCTTGTCTACGGAAATTACGTTGCAATATTTTTCGATATCTTTTCACAAATTAATCATACGTACTGTGTTGAGGTGATCATAACATCGAAATTGTTTTCTTTTTCTGATTCATTCAACGATGATGGACTATTAATTGATGACTGTTGTTCAATTGTGAACGTCGATGATTTACGCATAAGGGATGGTTTTGCTGAGAGAGGTTCTTTCTCAATAATTTCATCTTCGATTTCTGGGCTATTACTTTCAATGGTAGGTAAAGTTGAACGTGTTAGATCATGACGATGATTAGTTGACGATCTGGCTGAATTCGATTGCTGCTGCTGCTGTTGATCGTTGATATCATCAACGATCGTTTGTTCTGTGTACCAGACTGGTTGAAGGCTTGTCTGTCGACTATGATTTGTATCGGTAGTTGTTGTTGTTGCAATACTTGCATTCATAGGTACTTCATCAGGTGCAAGGAGTTTCAATGGCGTTCTATTTTGTTGCAATCTTGGAAAACTTTCTTTAAAATCAAGATATGGAATCGAAGCTTTTGTCGGTGCTAAAGCCATACGATTTGCCTGTTCAATAGGTCCAAGGCTTACATCACTAAAAAAATAAAATGAATTTGTGAATATCCTAATGAACATAAACACAAAGAAATCAAACAAACCAAATGTATGGACTTGTTGTCGACAGACGCTCAAACATAATTGAGTAATAGACAAAATTAATTGAAGAAATTAGTCGATAGTTAACATATAAATTATTCTGAAGGAGAAAAGAAATAGGAATGAACGATCTGACACGGAATTAGGATTAATTCATTGTCCTAATGATGTGAACGAGCGGTCTTTGTATTTCGCTGACGAGATAACGACAAATCATATAGTTCAAAATGATGTCGCTATTTCGAATCGACTGCTGTTAGGTGATTAATGTGTTCGTTCTTCTGGGCTATAACCAATCCAGACTAGCATATTTTGGTCTTTGTCTTGTATTTACTGAACTTATCTTCATCATCTCCCTCCCTTTTTGAGAAAATACGAATGGGTGATAACGTAGGCAATGAAATTAAAAATGAATGAAAATAAAGAAATCATGTCATTAGTATAATACGTGTTTGTTATCTATGTTATTCGCGAATTTCGCTTAGCTCGATTGGGATTTTCTCCATCAATCGAAAGGTATAATTGGTACTTTATAATATCCGTTGTTTTTCGCTCTAGATAAATCATAGTTCGTGAGCACAAGAGTTGTATACAACGTCAACATTCCCCTACTGACGCTACATAGACGGTATACGGTACAAGACAAGAATGTTTTAATCACTTTTATTGATAAAAAAAACTTCTAAGAATCACAGTTTACATATAATTTACGCATCTATTAGCCTAAACAAGCAATCTGATAATTATTCGCATAATTAAAATTTGTTGCCAATAACCCATCGTTTACTATTGTTTTACTTCTTTGTTGACCTTCGTTTCGTATTTGGACGTCCTACAGATGAGGATAGGAAAATCATGACAATTGTTTCTTTTTGTATCATACCTTCGAGCAAACACTCGATGTTGGCATCACTGATGTTCATAAATAGAGCAACACATTCCAAAGTGTGAACTATTCAAAGAGTAGAAATGAGATATTTCGTTAGAAAAGTGCAAACTCTTATCACCATTGTTCATCGCTTGCATAATTGATAAACGAGCTTTTTGACAGTGCTCTTGAAGTTGTGCTTTTCTAGAATAAGACGAAAGTCATAACAACATTAATAAGAAAGCTTTCTTACATTTTCAATTTCATCAGTTCCCAGATCAAACAATCCCATACTCGGATCCCATCGGATCTGTTGACCTAAGCTCGTAATCGCATTTATTCATTTGTTAGAGTGTTATCACATCATCTATGACCTCTTAAATAAGGAAGATGTGCATCTAAATTACCCAGGTCGCACAATCCCATACTCGGATCCGAAACATGGATTTTCTAAGGGTCATCATAAAATATAGCTAGAAAGATCGCTCATAAAATTTGCAACAACCGACGGGATTTTTCTAGTCGGATTCCAATGCAATTCCGTTTCCAGGAATCCGATCGGATTTTGTCAGACGGTCGGATCCAGCATCGGATTTGTTGACCTGGGTAACGATAATATGATTGGTGATTCAAACTGGAAACATAGATGAACATTCATTCATTTGATTTTGTATAATGTATTTTGTCGTTTCTTCATCAGCAGATTGAAAAGCACAATGAGAAAATCGACACAAACTGTCATTTCTTTCTTCGAATGACAAATATAGGAGAGTCGACGATTTTCAATGAACTTTAGATCAACTACATTGATGCAATTCAATTGAACCCATCGAATACTCTTCGTGCCAGAAGACGTAAATCCATTTGTCAGATTTCGATTTCTTTGCATAAGTTCCATTGATTTGGTTTTCTTCATCAATTGGTCTTTCTGATGGAAAACATTTTAATTATCAAAAACCTATCAAAACTTTCTTTATCAGCAGTGTAATGTGAAGACTAAATTAAAAATTCATTGAGATTTGTGGCGTCAATACCATAGTTAGTGATCAGTCTTGGAGAATTGTACGTGTTATTCTAGTAGAGTTCTAATAAAAAAATGCCTTATCGCAGAGAAATGAAATAAAATGATTATCAAGTTAAAAGATCAGCTTTAAAATGAGCAATTATATCTACGTAGACTTGATTAAAATGGATACAAATCTATTCCAAGTTCAACGAAGGTACAACTACAGCTTAGTCACATTCATCCCTCACCCTTGTTCACTGGTGTGTGTATATATAAGTCGTGTAATCTTCTCAACAAAGTCAGAGAGAAATCTCACACAAACGATTTCTTCTCTCGAATAGTGCTCTAAATGAGAGAAAACCACTTTACGTGACGTTTCCATAAATGTCTTAACCAAAACGAGACAAAATTTGTCGATACTAATCACATTCATTAACTGTGTGAATCTCATGTTCTATGTGCATCAAAATTGGATCAACAACGTGCGATGGCAGCGTGTCTGTGTATGATTATAAGAACTCAATCATAGTCGCGTCATTGCCATGGAGATCCTCCGTTCCCAGCTTCTGAACAATAATATGATAAAAAGTAGTCTATCCTTGCATATGTTGGAAAATGACTGAATTTTAAAATAGAATAATGGAAACGCAGTCACCGAGAAGATGTCGCCAGTAGTTCTATTTTGACAGAATGATTGGTGCATATTTTGATTCATTCATTTCATTTGCTTAGTTTCTTCCTAACAGAACGTTACGCTTTTTGATTCGCACATAGTAAATATTCATTCGACACATGTTGAATGTGTAATCAATCATATGTCAGTTTGACTAACATATGATGTAACCTTGAATTTTTCTATATTGCATGAAATTTTCTTTACAGATTTATCCCACATTTTTTAACAAGTATTTGATTGTTATCGGATATTTACTAGATAAATGTGAGTCATACAAATTATGAAAGGTTTTTTCTCTACTGATTTCGTCGTTTAGATGGATACATCAAGTTATACTGGCTTACCTAACAAACTATGCCAAGGCTTAGCTTCCGTGAAATCCACATTAACTACAGGCCATATTTTGGAAAAGTCTGAGATCACACATGTAGATACTCGCGATAAATTCCATCATCATATGGCACGTAGTGTCTTAGGTATTCAAGCACCATTAAAACTTCAAACAGAACTACAAATTGCCAAGAAAATTGGTCGTTTACCGTGCCTACCAAGTTCACGATTGATGCTCGATGTTCTACGTGGTACTAATGAAGACATATCATTCGATGATATTTTAAATAATCCTCGAGAATTCGGTGAAATTCAAGTTGATCCACATTTAGCCATGGACAAACATGATCGATTATTTTGAAAAAAATCAAAACATCACATAACACTATAGAAATTTTTCTTTTCACTTTTTTCTTTTATTGTTATGGTCATTCTTTCGGTTAAACTCGACTGACGTTTTTCTTCTCCTTCTTCTTGTAGATATAGTTACTTGATAATTGACATCCATCATGCCAAAATATACAAAGAAAAGTAATTAGATATTTGTTTTGTACAGTCGCAGTGTAAAATGATATTTGATTTTCCTTGCAGGTCGTCCGCCTCGGAATAAGACGACAAAATCGGGCGCTGACGATTCAGCATCAATCGACGATGGCGTTAGCACTTGTTCCAATATGTCCGATGTAACAAGCATCTATGAAGATAGCGAAGGTAATTATATTGTCAAAAAAAAAGCAAATCTTAGACCTCATTATTAACATTCTTTTGTATGTTTTAGTTGGTTTTCCTTTAGGAAATGATGTAATCCTTACATCGGATTCTCTTGATGAAAAACTTGACACATCAATTGAAGGTCTTCGAAATAAAGAGTAACTTTTTGAAAAACTTCTCAATTATCATAATACGTTTTTGAAATTTTAGTTTGAGAACACGTGAAAATTATCTACGTACGCTTCAAACATTACTATCCCAAAAATACGTTTCTGAGTTGGTTTCTAATCGGTATGACGCCAAGCATTTTGCAGTTTTTTAAATAGTTCTTCTTGATAGAATTGAAAGTCTGACGGAACAATTGATAGCATGCTTGAGAAAAGGCAATGAATCCGAAGGGAAATTAGCGGCGACTGTTTCTTCGCTAGTTTTTATTCAACTCGGTGAAGTCGATGATGAACTGTTTCTCAAATTTCGTGATGCAATATTACCAACAGTACGCGACGAATCGAAGCTTTCATCTCTCCGAAAACACGTTGGTTTCATCAGACCGTTTGATCTCACCATCATCATTTCTTTGTTTCTATTTATAGTACACTCAAGCACTAGGCATTATTTGTTTCATCTCCAGCGAGGAGATTTCAGTTAGTACACATCGATACTTTACTTTAGTCCAAAATAAGATTTCGTTTCCTTGTAGTCAACGGTTGAATTAATGAAAATACTAGAGACGATTTTTTCTCCGTCATACTTATCTGAAGATGGAGCATCACCGATCATTAATCACGACCTACAAGAATTACACACAGCAGCGCTCACTTCTTGGTGTCTTTTAGCATCCACTTTACCGGATAATCTCGCCCATGAATTGATACGCATGTAAGTTATCGATAATAGATCAACCAGCTTCTATTGGCTTACTGTAGATATCTTCCTGAAAAGATACCCGGTCTTCTGGAAACGAACGATAGTGATCTACGTAATCAAGCAGGTGAAACAATAGCTGTTTTATATGAAATAGCACGAGATATTCACAGCGTAGGCGAATTGGAGTGCGTACTACTTGATATGTATGTTTATGTATTCTAGATCTTTGCCGAACCATCTGAATCTTTATTGATAACATTAGAAAAGAAAGCGAATGAAAGTGCAAAATATCGTGGCAAGAAGGAGAAACGCTTACAACGTGCTACTTTTCGAGAAATCTACAATTCATTTGAAGTAACACGATTTAACGAGAGAAATTTTCTTTGCAAATTGACGTTCACACTTTTAGGAAGGGACTTCACCTGACTTCGACATAAAATTCGGCCGTGAAACACTGGAAATCACGTCATGGACTAGTCGATTCTATTACAATATGTTCAGTAGCATACTAGCCACAGGAATGAATGTTCATCTTAAAGTCAGTGAAGCAAAACTCATGAAATATTTCTCATATGAAATTGATTCTTTATGGTTAATAGGAGAATGGGTTTCTTCGTTCGGTATTCAATCTAGACGAGCCAGAAATTGAAAATCTTGAGCAATCAAAAGTGAATAAATTGGATCGAGTATGCTTATTTTTGTCTTTTGAATTCATTCATAATTTCTTCTTGTCTAATAGCATAACGCTAACAAAGCTGCATTTAAAACTCGTACTCAAGCTTTAAATAAAACTCGTGCAAATAAAGTGAGACGTAACCACTACGAAGATTAACATCGAACAGACTTGCTGGAAAATATCTTTCCCGAAAAGTTTATTTCTATCCCGTATAGGTTGATCTGCACTTCTCCAAACCTGACTAGATCTATTTTTGTTCATTTTGTTTTGGAATAAATATCGAATCGATAGAAATGTTTATAAGACATATTTGTATTTTTGTTTCTTGATGTTCTTTTTCTTTTGAATCAAAAACGAAAATCAAATAATGTTCGTAGTGCATGTTCGAAATAAATATCTTCTTTAATCGTCGCACTAAGCATAACACAGAAGCCGAGAAACTCGTCTTGATCGACGATACCATCTTCTTGACCGCGTGTATCGAATTTGTTGAGAAATTTCTTCAAAGTCTAGAATAAAAGAAAAAATGTCTTTTTCTTTCAGATTATATACCATGAATGCACTTCCTTGAAAACGTACGTAGATCAATGTAACTGCTGAAATGCTCACTAACATACATTTATCTCGTGACAGGCACTTTAAAATAATTATGTGCAAGTACAATGATTACTTTCTTTTCCGTATTTTTCATTACTGAATTAAAAATGATTTGGTTACAAGCTGCTAATTACCTTTCAAGGAAATCAGAAGCGTAAAGCACATGCTGGCAACATGATAAGATGATTTACAGTTTAACGAGCTTGAGGTAGTCAAGTGTTGACTCATAGTGACTTTTCTCTTCACACATGTCATGCATGCTGATGACATTCTCGACGTCTATTCCTAATAGATGAAATCGATCACATCTTCTAGCAGATAGGAAACTCCCTGAACGATTGCTAACAAGAATTAGTGTTGAAAAAGTTTCGGATATTTAACACATTGCGTACATAATCAATATTCTGGCTTGATCTATTTTTGACTGCTTTCAGTTGTGCCGCGTATTTCAGCTAAAACAAATAGGCAACAACTGATCATTTCCTTCGGTCGTGTCAACTACTTTGATATCTTCGATAGTTAATCTCCCATCTTTGTTGATGTCCATTGAGTTAAAGATATGGAGAGCCGCTCGGTGACGTCGTTCGTTCATTGGTGGTTTGATCTGTTGGAGGAATTCAGCGAGATCGATTTGTCCATTGTTTGTTGTATCAAATTGTCGAAAGAGTTGTTTGATCTCGTCATCGTTATTGAAATCTAATTTCAATAATTTCATCGCAGCATGAAACTCTTCATATGTTATTCGGCCGGAGCAATCTAATTCAATAGGTAAATATGCGAAACCTTTGCCTGACAGTGAAATGTAAACAAACCTCGATCAATTGCTGCAAATATTTCGATTAAATCAGATTGTTTGGTTGTGCTATCTAATAACCGTTGTCGAAGAATCTCCATCTTTGTGTCCATAAGGAAGGAAAAAAAATGAAAAATAAATTTTTAATTTACTTCCTAGAGTCGAGAAATGAAGGAAAAAAAGAAAGAAAAATCCTATAGTGAACTGATACAATTTATGTAAGTTAGTTTCGCGTCTGTATGTACTTTTGCAGAGCATTCGTCAGATGCTCAATAAAACAAACATATGAAAACGAACAGGAAAAATAACATACTGGCCGATTTTGTTTTCGGAAAAAAATGACATTAGACTATGTTTTCTCGCTCTCTTCTAAAAATAGCACTGTTTTATTCTATATTATGTTATCACCTCCATATTTCACAGAGATAGATAAGATTGTGAATGGCGATTCGGTTTGATTTAAAGTTTATTGCTGACAGATATGAAGAATTCTGCATAAAACAACTAATCATATTAAGTTTTTAGATATGAAGAAGAAAAACAAAGCTTTGGTCGTTCGTCATTGAGTGGTGTTCGGTCGGCCAGGTAATAGGAGATGTTGTTGAAGTCGTAAGCGTAGAATTTCGGTTCTTAAATAGTTCCGACGTTGAATTTCACTTAGAAGACTTTCGTGTGATGCATTGCTGTCGTCTAGTGTTTGTTTTATTCGTTCGTCGGTTGAATAGGTAGATGGATTGAATGATTCGCGAGATTGAAGTGCTTTTGAATGTTTTGTATGAATACGCAAACGTAAAAGAAGATCTTCACATCGACGTGCTAGATCGTCAAAGTTGTCGATGTTATCAGTTGGTACTTTCGGTTTGTACGATGCAGATGCGTTCTCTGTTAGAAAATCAAATCGTACTCGATTTTGCTTGACTGTTTTACAAGATTTGGAAGTTTTCGTTCGTGTTGTTGGGTCATTGTCAAGAGTTATAAAAAATTTTACAGCTTTCTGTTGTGATTCTTCTTGTTTTTGGTAGGACTTTTCACGTAGAAGACGTTCAGCGCGTTTCCGTTCGTGTCGTGTGTGACGTTCAAGTTCCAGCAAACGTTGTTCATTGCGTTGACAGTTGCGCACAATATCTTGAAGAGTTTCAATACGATGACTTGAAGCTAATTGATCGACATTAGGTATTCTTCTATTCATAATGTTTGAGACGGCGTTCTGTCTTCTTCTTCTTCTTCTATGTGCGTAAGGTATCGACGTAGACGTCAAGAAAAAAGACTGACATGGCAACAATCGTTAATGTGATGAATGACTTTTTTTTCCATTCTACTAACCCATGACAAAAATCATTGTTTTATTTGCTGTTCTCATACAATGATCGACATACTTGAATATTAAAGAACTCTTTCTTTTTCTCAGTATTCAAGGTCAAAATAAAATGATTAAAAGTAGAAAGATGATAAGTCGAACAATTATGATATTATTGGTTGCGACCGGTGGTATGTTATTTGGTTTAGGATTTATATTTTTAAACTATCGATCGAACAGTGAATATGAAGATTATGATTTCACTGTACTGAAGTCAATTTCAACAGAAAAGGATTTTAAATCAAACAGTATATCGGAGGTGTTCGCAGACTCTACTAGTAATTTGAATTTCAGTAACGTTCGCATCCAAACGTATACAATTTCATTGTTTACAGTAATGGATTGATTTGGGACTGAGAGCTTGCCTAGAACCATTTTATTTATGCTTCAGAGTGCGAAAAAAGCGAAAGTTACAGTTCGAGAAGCTGGTCACGGAAGTTATCACATACTTTTACTTCATGGGCACAAATATTCTTCACAAATATGGCAAAAACTAGGTAACAAATCAAACGATAGCATGAGTTTATGAGCGATATGTGATCATATTTAGGCACATTACAATATTTAAGTAAATGGGGTTATCGAGCAGTTGCTGTTGATATGCCAAAACGAGAAAATCGAACTACAACGATGGATGACGATCAGGAAGCGATTCGTTGGATGGGTAACCTTACTAAAAAACTTCGTCTTTCGAATCTAGTTATTATTAGTCCATGTCTAAGTGGAGACTTTGCTTTACCATACATCTTTCAACTGCCAAAAAATCAGAAGTTAGTTCGAGCTTTTGTAGCGATTGCACCGAATGGAACGGAGAGATTTGCAAATGATGACTATCGACAATTAACAGTAAGCATAGAGTGGATAAGAATGATATTTTCTCATAAGCGGTTATGTATTGTATGATAGATTCCAACGCTGATTGTTCATGCAGAACATGACTCTGTGTTTCAACCTGCCTATGAGCTTCTGATTCAAATTCCAAACAGTGAAGTCTTATTCATGATTGGTGCTGGACACAATTCTTATGTTGACTCACCAATATTTTTCCATGATGGACTTCGAAAGTTTTTATACAATGTCTCTAGGCTAGCTTAGAACATTCGTTTCTTTTTTCTATGAAAACGCGATATATTATTTACATCTGCATTTAATCCGATCTGATAATCTATATTTTTAGTCAAATTCAATAAATCGTTTATGTTTAAAATAATGGGTACGAATATTCCTGGTAAAATCATGATCTTCTTATTGATGCAATCTACACCGAATAGTCTAGAACAATAGAATTGCGAATTATCTTCATGTGTCATATGCCTTCATTCACAGCCCATGTGATATGTCATCTGACAATACATGAAGAAAGCATAGAACTCTTTCCGAGATGATAGTTTTTCTCTGTTCTGTACCAGACACGAATGACGTCGATCCGATGGATCGAAAGCACGAGCAACACTCGTGAGTACGGTAAGCAGAGAAATCTTTCTTTTCTCTCCTACTTTCTATCAGAGTTCTCATATATATATATATATACATGCACATACATTGATGTGTAGATATATGACATACGACTCGTAGATCGTGCGAAAGAAATTGAATCTCATTTCTTCAACAAAAAAGTTATAAATACGATGCCATTTATCGGACGAGATTGGCGTGCGGATGGCGAACAATGGACAAAAAGCGAAATCGGTTCTTGGGAACGATCGCGACGAATCTCATTTTCTAATCTGGTAAGTCATTCAGATCTGATCTCTCATCTCAATCGAATCATTTTCGATGAAGTCGTCAAACTATAACTGCAGTCTGTCGGATATATTCAATGCACTCGATATCGTGAATTCAGTTACTAATCAACGAAGATTCAATTATATTGCAAAAGTAAGTTATTTTATTAACATCTATAAAATATTGCATCGTTATATACTCTTAGGTTGTACAAATTCTATTCGCAGAAAAACTCGGAGAGCTCAGCGGAACAGCCCAACGTTGTTTATTTCAAATTCTTGATCGAATGATTCAGATGGGTATGAATCAATCAAGTGTTGAATCATACGGACGTGGTCTTTCTGCATTCTAGTTCTTACAACTGGAGATAATATCCTATTAATGCAACGATTAGTAACACAATTTCACGATTGCATTCACCGCGCTTATCCGTTCTATTATTATATCGGTTCGGCGGCCTTATGGCGTCAGAATACGGAGATATTAACACGAATGAAAGAAAAAGTTAAACATATTCACATCCAAACAGTTGATCAGAACAAGGCAACGTTCAATTGCCTTCCGACGGAGATCCAACGGGAGATCGTCCGAAAACTGGACAATGGAATAGATCTGATCAATTTTGGAATGATAAATTCAAGTTTACATCGATTAACGCAAGAACTTTTACTATGGAAACAATTATGTTTGTATCATTTTGGTGATGAAACACAAAGCGATGATAAAATGGGCGACAAAATTCTTGGGCTACTAAGACGACAATCGAAAGATTTCGACAAAGAAAATATCGATTGGAAAAAAGTTTATTTCAAATTAAAAAGACAACATGGCCTTCGAGAAGTTTATGCCGATATGATTCATCAATGTCAACTATGTAAAAATCTTTTTTGGCAGGTTAGTCGAATCCTGTTGAATCACGTTCGCATTTCTATCTCTTCCATTTAGGATTGTGATCATTCATGTTTATATGAAACGCGTACACCATCATCCAAGTCTATTACGCCACGCAAACTTGTAAATATGCTAATCTAACAAGCGTTTCTTTATATACGATACATTTTGTAAATAAACTTTCGTCTTTTTTTCTACTGATTCGTGCAGTGCACATCAATTTATGCAGTTTTTTATTTTAAAAGAAATAAATTTACTCCATTATTCAGTACAACTGAATACCATACCACCTATTTGCGAACTGCTCGACGGACTAATATATATAAAAGCTGGAACACACACGTTCAATGGAGCAGGTGTCTTCGCGAAATACAAATCAAGTCCCGGATAGCAGTTTTTGAAATTGTATACTCGAAAGTTTTCAACAGTCTTCGTAGCAGCATCATACACAAATCGGTACGCGGCGGATTTGGGATCATCGGGAAGTGCTGTACAACTGCCATTGTAAACCGCAGCTGTGAAAGTACTATTAGGTGTTCCGGAACATGTCATATCTTTGAAATTAGCCCAGAGAGATACATTGCAACTTGGCACAGAGGATGAAAATGAGGTGAAAAGAAGAAGAAGAATAGATGCAAGTAAAATCATCGTTTTGATTCAATATATCGCAGTCATTTCTCCGCAATATATACTCGAGTAATTTATTGTATATGAGACAGATGCACAAGTTTCTCATAAGTAATAGTCAGTATGGCAAAGCAAACATTGTCATGAGCAAATAGTAAGAAATCCATATATTTTGCTGAATTTTCATTTTGTTCTCTAAACGGGTGCAAATCTTTGCATTTATTCTTAGCTTATTGATGTGTTTCAGATCAACTTGACATCCTTACGTACAATAATTAATCTCTATTGACGGAATGATGCTTATCTGTTGGATTGAGAGTTTTATTTAAATTAAATTCTGCAGCTGAAAAGAACACTACCTATTTTCACAAAACTAGTTGATGTAGCAGCATAATAAAACGAGCCACATGTATTCAATCTTAATGGCTCTTTAATAGCCATAAGTTCATCGACGTGAGCACAAGTTTTATCTCTAAATACCGTGAAATTACGCACTGTTTTTGTTTTTAAATCGATGAAAAGTTGATACGAAGTTCTTCGCGGATCATCCGGTGATAAAGTGCAACTGCCATTGTACACCATCGATGAGTATGTTCCATTGGGTGCAGTAGTACATGTTACATTTGTTGGACTTATCCAAAAAGATATCTTGCATGTTGGTCTAGAAACAGTGAATGAAACCACCAGAAAAACAATTAGAACACCGAATCGACTCATAGTTTTTTCTCTTGACAAAGTAAAACTACTCTGGTTAATAAATATTTTGTCAATGACGAATATGACAGCTGGTTATATCCCATCAATTTTCATTTTGTTTTTCAAAACGATGACATGTTTTACTATTTACTGCAATGAAATCTAGTCCGAACTTTTCCAGTAGAAACTCCAAAATTGTCAAGACATCTTTTTTCGAATATCCCTCAACGCATGTTTTCTAGTTTGATCCTCGGCAACGTTGTATTCTAAGATAAAGAGGATTACAGAAATAAAATACATCTTATAACCACCACCCTACTTTTATCACACGAAGAAAAATCGAGAACATTCTCTGTATATTATGAATTCGTTTGACTAACCGACTAGATACATTATTTACGCAGCTTACAAATAGGCATGAAGTAAGAAGAGAGAACAGAAGTACTTTCTCTTCACAAGTTTCTCTCAAATTCAAAACTACAGAAAACAACGTCACTAATTCGAAGAACAAAGCAACAAACGAGACGACCATTCCATATGGCGCTACTGCATGGGTACGTTCTACAGACCTCTTCACTTGTTTCTCCCATTTATTCAGATATTGACTTCCACTGATTTAGTCTATCTCATAACGCCAGCTCTCATATGTTTCTACGGTGGACTCGTCGACAACAAGAACTTTCTCAATCAACTCTTCCTCTCTATCGTCTGCATGGTCATTATTCCTATACAGTACTGTTTCTTCAGCTATTCATTCGCCTTCGGATCAGGCAACCCCTTCTTTGGCTCGTTCGACTAAACTCTGCAACGAATGCTGATATCCGCTCGACATGTGAACGACCAGACCACCAGCAAATCTATCACATCCAACCGGTCGAGCCATCCTTGACGAGAAAATATCCATCATGCAAGCGGATCATAGTGACAGGTTGTCCACAACAATATGAAGATCATGTATGGGATGAGTTTCATTCGACCGACCATTGCACCGCTGATGAGAGCAGATGTAATGATAGCCAGCAATGGTATGGATTGTATAACAAGGGAAGAGAAGAAAACTCCATTTTCGTCTCGATTCCTGCTGTCTGTTCAGCAACAGTCGTTAGTCTGGTTTCTATCAGATCATCTGCTGGTTATGTTATCATCACTGATGCCGTCGTTAGCATTATTTTTTATTCGTTTCTGTTCGGAAAAAGCACTCTTTTCGTGTTGACGACACTCACAATGTATTCAGTTGTCATGGTCTCGGTGGTTACGTAGGAACTATTCTTGCTAGAGTCTTCTCACGGTCTGAAGTTAATAGCGGAGTTAGAAATGAAGCAACGTACGGAAACCCCGTTCAAGTCGAATATCAGCCGATAGGAATAATAGTAACAGTCACATTCTCTGGTATTTGTACTGCACATATCAATCAGTATTCGTATCAATCGAGTGAATCAAGCTTGCAGTCTAGAAAATGTCGCACACGAAATTATCGATATTCAACCTGTGCAAAGAGCTCAGCAAATGAAATTAACTACTGAAAAAACAGAAACTGAAGGACGAAAGTATACCACCACCATCAACATTTCCTCCTGCAGCGAATATATCTTGAGAAGCTCTTCGTTAAAATGTGTTTCAATATTTGTCTGTTGTAGTATAAAAGCAATTCAGTTTCCAGATGTAATCATGTCCTTTAGGTGTCTCCGATATCTAATTAATGGATGATATATACTAGATAACAATAGAAGTATGTTACAATTAGCAAATTGTTTCGTTCGCTACTCGAAATATTCTGTTAATTTTTATGCACAAAAAGAAAAGAAGAAAAGAAAATGAAAAACGCTTTTGCATTAAGTATGGTCAATACAAAGAAAAAGAGAGAAAGAGCAAGAAAGAAACGAAACGAAATAGAATACGGAAAGAAAAGTTAAAGAAAAATATGTCGAATTGAAAAGCGTACATCTATGGTCACTCTTTATTCGCAGTTAACGTTGTTGCGTACAATGTCCCCTGATAAGCGACACCGTTTAGTTCAATTGAAATCGTAATCGATTGTTGCTGTTCAGAATTATTTTCTGCGAAAAGAAAAACAAGACGACCGTTTTGCACGGTGAAGAACAAAACTTTGTCAATTACCTTTTGCAACGATTTTCAATTTACTGACTGGTGATAACAATGACGACGACGAGGAAGAGTTTGCTGTCACTGGTGTAAAACATGTTGCTCGGGCATTGCCCAATGCTGTAGCAGACTTTTTCATCGGTGAGCTCAGATTATCATCTTGAGAGTGTCGAGAGAGAAACGACGGCGAGAGACTTCGTTTTGCTATGGTAGATGAACGTTCGAACAATTTATTTGTTGGTGATGGCGACTGTAACTGATGAGGATGAGGATGATGGTCATCAAATGAAGGAATTCGTGGTGTTGACGATTGTTCAAGTGATGGATGATTGGCATCACGTGATGAAGCGGCTGCCGCTGCAAGAAAGAATGGATGTGAAAGGGCAGCAGCAGCGGCCATTGCTGCATGTTGCATAGCCTCGTGCCCATGATTAGGATCCACTAGATTACAGACGAAAAGGAATAAGAGAAAACTTCCGTCACACAAGTTTTACTTACATGGTCTATGTGCAAGTGGACTAGCAAGAAAGGCACTTGTGGATGTTGGAGGGGGAGGAGGCGGTGGTGGCATTATTTGTGGTGGTGATGAATATTCAAACGCATATGACGGCCGGCGTCCTTCACGTCGGTTACCTTCTAATGAAAAGAAAAACAGATATTAAATAATGAGTTATGAAAGAAAAGATTTGATTGACATTACCAATAGCAGCTTGTAATTCACCTGGTGAACTTAATTGTAATTTTTCACATTCGTATGGATATAAATATTTCATATATCTTAATAGAAAGACAATAGCAATAGTATATACTTTCGTATGTTATCATTAGTCTTTCAATCGTTTTCTTTTTGTGCCTATAATCATCGCAAGCAAACGGCATTGACACGCTAAGTTGAGGATTAATGATGGTGTAAGGATTCTTTCTTTTGTCTCAGTCAGAGAGATATGCCAGAACAAATTGATCTCTTATCGTTTATGTTCAAGACATTGACATATGATAGACAACAGATGTCGAGACTATTGACTGGAATAAAAAAAACCTACAAATCTTCTTCTTTTTCTTCGACAGAGGTCCAAGCTATTGACCTCTATATTAAGATTTATTAGTGTAACACATGATACATGTCAACACTTTATCTAATTATTAAACTCGAAGAAACAATCTCGATCAAGTCAACGCGAAATACTTATACAATTAACACATCGCTCGAACTAATTGGATATCGACAATTCGAATATTTCGTATGTCGAAGAATGAAACTTCTCTTTTTTGTCTCACTATCTTGCCAAGTTTATTTATATATGCGTATGTTAATGTAAAGATACTTATACATACTGTGTACGTAGAGTAAATGCAGCACTGGTAATCGAGCTTGGTAAATTGAGACCTTTCGTCACTTCACGCCNCAATTTAGTAGACAAAATTACACATCATTTTCTTTCTTTCCTTCTATTTGTCTTAGATGATTAATCAAGCAATCTAGCTTTGCATTATAATTATTAAAAAGTCAATTACTCAGTTAAAATAATGATCAAATCAAAGAAATTGCTCTTTTCTACCGACATAATTCAGATAAACAATGATCATCCCTAGGCAATAATCATCAGTAATAATAACAACATACCGATAAAGCGAACGACGAGATGTCTATGATGCTTTCATTTGTTTTGAAGTCATTTTCGAATGAATTTTTAATCAATTTCTATAATAATTAATCGCATAAAAGCTTTCCTTCTTCTTCAGAATTTCATACTACTTTACTCGATTGTCTTCGTTGGGCTTCTCTTTCTAGAATATCAAACTAGATTCAAATAGTCACGAACATTGATTTTTTTCTGCCTTTCAGCGAAGCAAAATGTGCACACAATTTATTTAATGAAAAAACTCATTACTTATGACAGAATATCAAATGAAGAGAATACCAACTATGTCGATTCAAATCTGTAGTAAGATGAATATGCGCTAAGTGTCTTATCATTTTACTTCGTAGAATGTTAAATACATGCCAAATGATATGCGATGTATTCATTCGATAAAACATTGAGGTTTTCGTGGGAAGAAAGTTTGAAAATGGTATCGAGATGAATCTTATTGGTTATTGACGTATCGTATGATGATATGTAACTGATTTATTCTTGCAAGAAAAAGAAGTATACAAGTTTATGTGATCATCGCAGTGCGCAATTCACTGGTTGATTGTTAATAATCTACCAAACAAAGCTTTTTTTCGTTCTATATTTGCATTTATACTAGTGAATAGGAGGAAAAGCGAATAACAACAACTAGGCAAGACGACGCACAGATAAGGAGATATGATCAGATTTCCAAAAAAAGAAATTTCCCGAAATTCTATAACATATAATTCATCATGGATAATAGGCAAGAGCGAAGGACAGGGTGAAGAGACGAAGGAAAATCAAGAAATTTCGAGATATTTTTTTGGTGATTTCAATAATTTGAGGGATGAGAGTTAAGGCATGGATCGACGAACTTGTCACTCACCCTCACCCACACCCATTGGCCTATGTCCATCTTAATGTAACTATTGTATACACTCATCGATTTGAAATAGTTTGCAGTTATGAGTGTGAATTTTACCTCGTGGATAAACCAATACTATTCTCCTTCAAGCCTCTGATTAGTGTTGATATACATCGTTAACAGGAACAGCAGTAATGAATGGCGCTGCATTCAATCCCTGAAATAATCTTTCTCCAATTAAAACTATAATGGAAGAACTGGCTTTATGTACTCAAATAAATTTTATAGCGTATCGTCTCGGTTTTGAGTTATTAAGGAAACAAAATCTTTAGCGAAGTTATCGGACGCAAACAACGGAAGTATCACAGAATGTATACATTTATAAAATCGATTTCAATACAATACAGAACTCATGACTTGTTTATTGATAAACCATCAAAAAATTGTTTCCACTCGACATTTGTGTCGATATCAATGAATATAAGAGGAAAAAAAACGAACGACGACAGTGAGAACAGCTAGACAGAACGACACACAGACAAAATTATTTTTATTTTGAAATTTGTTTTTTTTTTCTGTTAGAAAGAAAAGAAAATCTGAATGAAGCCAAGATATGACAATTATCTAGATTTGTATAAAAAATAAGATCATTTCTTCTTTCGCTTAGCTGGTGAATTGTTCGATGCATTTACAAAAGCATCAGGTTTACGTTTCTGATTACCATTGACCTACATTACAAAAAAGTTAGAAAAACTGTTGAACAGCTATGTGCACGTGTAACAAACCTTTGCGGCAGGTGTTGATTGCGAATTTTGTGATGAATTGAGAGCATTGCTATTTTTGGTTGATGCGCGACCTTTCTTCTTTTCAGCTCGTTCACGTTCTTCCAGTTCTTGATTTTCCCGTTCAACAAATGTAATTAATGTATTCAAGCGTCGTTGTAATTCCTACGTAAATAAGAGCACAATGAGATTTTCCTTCGTCGAGGAGATACGTACGATTGATGTGCGAGATTTCAGAAACCAATCAAAACGAAATTGTGGTGATTGACGAATGGCGTAACGAAGTTCTTCGTAAACATTTTCTTTGTCAAAACCAAGCTTATGTAGCATACAAAGAAGAAAGCGATCTTCTTCTTCAGTATAATTTTTGCCTTTATTCGTATTGTATTGAATACGTAGTTGATGGAATGGGGCTTTATAGCGAGCCATCTAGAAGAATTTTGATGAGAATTCATGGAAAATTAGTTCATGCAATGAACAAGAAGCTTACTTTGGCATCCAGTGCTTTTTTAATGCTGATACGTCGATGAATTTTCGTCTCACCTCGTTCAATTTGTGCCATGATACGTTCGACATCAGTTAATTCATGACAACGATCCCAAAACACTCGGGCATAAGACATGACCTCGTCCGGTGTCTTACCTTCGACGTCACGACAAATGGCTTCGAGATCATCACGACCGTATTTTTCATTTGCTTTGATAAATTGATTGAAATCACGTTTAGTCCAATTACAAAAGCCTTGCTGAAGCAATTGCTCTTTTTCGTATTGTTCATCTTCATTTAACGATTCGGCTTCATCTATTTTCTTTTGTTCTTCTTGCTGTTGTCGTTTACCTTCTTGTTCGTCAAGATCTGGATCACGTACAGCTTTGTAGCCGATGGATTTTCGAAATGCGTAGATTTCTCGATCGAGCAGTTCGAAGAGACGCGGAGGAAAGAATTGAAAATCTTGAACATTAGGTTGACGCGGCGGTCGAGGTGCTTTTGGTGCACGTGGTTCACTCATTCGTAAGGCTTCTCGAAAGTATGCATCGACTGCATAATTCGCTTTACGTTCACGTTTGGGTGGCTGAAACAAAGGACAATATGATCTTCCAACATCACGCGACAACATTTACATACTTCAATCCATTTGATACCCAGAGTCGAGGATTGTTTTTCTCGATAATCTTCACCTTCAAACTTGTAAATTGAACCTCCACCAGCATCAGTGCCATCACCGGATCCACCATTATTACTTCCACCCGTATTTTCATTATCAATGGTAAATTTTCTCAATTGACTTTCGCCCATAGTTTCGTACTTTTCTCGCAATTCTTTGGTTTTTTGTTCACCTTGCGCCAAGATCAAGTCAATATCGACATCCAATTCATTTTCATCTTGTTTCGACGAAAACACATGTGTCGCACCATGACGAATCATCGACAACATTTCGTCTTTGTCTAATTTTGTTGCTGCTTCTTGTAAACGACCTTGTTGAATAACAACATGATCGAGACGTAATTTCATTTCAGCACGTTCAACAATGCGTTCTTCGACAGTATGTTCAGTAATTAAACGGAAAACACGAACCTAAAACACAAAAGAATTCTCATCTTCATGAAACAAAATGTTTACAAAGCTAATTACTGTTTTCGTTTGACCAATGCGATGCGCACGATCAGTAGCTTGTAAATCTACTTGGGGATTCCAATCGCTATCATACAAGACGACAACATCAGCTGTTGCTAAGTTAATACCTAAACCACCAGCGCGTGTTGAGAGCATGAATACAAACTTCGTGCTATTTGGACTGTTGTATGCATCAATAGACATTTGTCGATCTTCATGCGATGTTTGACCGTCCAGACGACAGTATTCGAAGTTTCTCCAAATACAATAATCTTCTAATATATCCAACATTCGTGTCATTTGACTGAAAATTAACACCCGTGAGCCTTGCTCTTTCAATTTGGTTAAAAGTTTGTCTAAGATAAGCATTTTACCACAATTATCTATCAAATGTTTATCGGTCGTATACGGTGGGCCTGGTTCGGCTCCATCGAAGATATCTGCAAAGGAAAGTTCCAAATAAATTTAAAAGCAAACAAATGTTTTTCCTCTTACACGGATGATTTGCACACTTTCTCAGTTGCATGAGAATATTCAACAATCGAATCTTATCTAGTTTGCCGCTTGCACTATTTAAGATGTCGATATCTTTCATTAAAATTTTCGTATACCATTGTCGTTGTAGTGGTGCCAGGCCAACGTAAAGCTTGGTTTCGATTTTGGGTGGCAATTTTTTCTCGACATCACTTTTCAAACGTCGTAGCAAAAATGGTTTCAAGATTCCGTGTAAACGCGCGACGAGATCTTTATCGTCAGCTAAGCATTTTTGCGTGTCGAACCAAGCATTAAAATCGTCAGCGGAATCGAAAACGTCAGGTAAAAGAAAGTTCAACAATGCCCATAATTCATGGAGATTGTTTTGTAACGGTGTACCCGTAATTAAAAGTCGATTGGTTGATTTGAGTAAACGCACCATTTTACTTAGTTTCGATTGTTCGTTTTTGATACGATGAGCTTCATCAATCACGATGTAAGACCAATTATGTTTTTTCAAAACAGCCGATTCTCGCAAAACAATTTCATAGGACGTGACGAGAACATCCCAACCACCGGGTTCGATTTCTTCTTGGATAACACGATTACGCTCTTCTTGAGAACCAATCAGGCAAACACTATTCAATGCTGGTACCCAACGCTTCAATTCATTCATCCAATTTCTTAATGTTGACTTAGGTGAGATAACCAAATGTGGAACAGCCTTGCGACATAATTTCATGTAACCAAGTAAGGAGATTGTTTGAAGTGTTTTACCCAAACCCTGAGAGAAAACAACGAATTTACCGATACATCTTTCTTTTAGGAAGATGCATATAAAATCTCACATACCATTTCATCAGCAAGAATGCCATTAATACCATTTTCATGCAACGAAATCATCCAATTCAAACCACGAATTTGATAATCACGCATTTCACCTCCTTTCACATCTGAAAATATTCGAATTATTCTTGCGAGACAAAGATGTCGTTTTTGTTTTCAACTTACACCATGGTGACTGGTCGAATCGAGTTATGGAACTGAGCTTTTCCGATTCTTTAGCGTCGCTTAACAATTCGGCATCTTCTTCTTCTTCTGTCATTCGATGACGATGACTAAACAGGAGATACAATGAAAAATTTTTGTTGAAATTTGTAACGAACTGAACCTACTCTCCACTACTTGCAGCATTTGATGCTGTGGGCTTTTTTGCTTGTGTCTTCATTTTTAATGGCGATGTCGGACCAGCACCTTTCGCATGTTTATTTAGTTGACCGTCTTGGACGAAATGGGAGAAAATTTCCGTTTGCTCCAATAGATAATTGAACCGTTTGACTTGATCTTCATTCTAAAATAAAGCCGATCAGAAACTGAATTTTGAAGCATGCATTATAGTTTACCAATCGACTCTGAAAAGCCGGATCGAGAACGGTTTCGGGTTTTTTAATTGGTTTCTTCTTTTTCGTTGTATATTCTTGATCTGAATCTTCTTCATCTTCTCCTTCAGGCAAATCATCTGTCCCACCGAGTTCTTCTTCTAATTCATCAGCATCTTTTTTTTCTTCAAGTTTCTCCTTTTGTCGTTTGATAACTGCCGATCGTTTCGTTGGTGTAGTATTTTCCGAGTCATTTTTCTCGTTCGCTGTGTCCATAGGTTCTTCCGTTTCACTCATTGTTTAACGTTTGTCAATCTAAACTTACACAGAAGATTAGTTTATATTCAAATAGTACAATGTTTTCTTTTGAGAAAGGCGTCCGACGGTTGACGAAGAAAGAATCGACTGAATGTCTTTTTTTGTGAAAGCAGACAGTGTGAATGAGTCATAAAAACAAAGAGAGAATGAATGATGCAAGTAACAAAGATAAAGTATGGACATCCTACAGACAGTGCGGACAGAGGTCGCTGGGTGTCGATCGAAATGTACAAAAAGAAAAGGCTCAGATATAGTTTGTTTATTGAATCATTTATTGGCAGTTTAGTCAGAGAGACATCCACATCTTTTACTGAGAAAAAAATCTATTGAATGTGAAACATCATTCACACTGATAACATCGGCACAAGTATCGTTGTTGAAATAATTACCGATGAGATGAATATAGTAACCGGTGTGTATACTCGAGTAAATTGTGTGTAGGTAGAACTCATCATTTCCATATCCAAGCAACCCATAGATCGCATAAGGAGAACTCGTACCAATAACAATATCCGAACGATTGTCACCATTCAGATCGGTGACAATAGCAGATGCAGCACGTTTGATAGATTCTATATTAATTTTCTGTTTACTTTGAAATGTATCATTTTCGTATCGATATATTTCGACAACCGTATGCTCCTCATTGCTGCTAATCAAAGCAAGATCAGAGAGACTATCATTATTGAAATCACCTATCACTAAATTAAATACATGCGCTAAATACATTCCCGTAAAAAATGCCTTGCTTGGTAGGAAACTTCCATTCGTCTGTCCAAAAAACACAGTAATATGTAAATAATTCAAATTGTATACAGCGATATCAAAGTAACCATCATTATTCAGATCACCTATAGCTAATAATCTGGGCTCACTAGCGTCCCCAGTAGATAATATCATTGGCGACGATATGCTTCCACCCACACTTCCAAAAAACACTTGTACTATATGCCGATACGGTGAATTTATAGCAATATCTGATACATTATCCCTATTGAAGTCACTGACATGCGTAGCCACGGCTGTCGAATCTGTCGTCCATGGCAGTACAGTTTGCTCTTGAAATGTCCCATTGTTGTTTCCAAACAAAATAATCAATCTACCTACGGACTCAGATTGAATTCTCAGAACTACATCGGAACTTTTATCATTGTTAAAATCCCCGACACTGATATCTATCATCCATTTATAATCGTTCACTGCAAATTCGATTGCTTTCTGAAATGTTCCATCACCATTGCTCAACAAAATATTAAGCTGTGCTGTGTCCTCACAGAAGAAGATAATGTCAATTTGATTGTCAGCATTAATATAGCCAACAGTAGCAGTTATTTTTTTATGTGCTGAAATAGAGCACGAAACGTTGACGGAAGATTGTACTAGGTAAGGCTGGCATATGGTTTCTAAAAAGGAGGCATATAAATATCAATAACAAGATAGCTACGAAAAGAAGGGAACTTTTTCTTCACCGAATTTGTTTAGAAGCGTGCCCTCACTTTCATGGTAATGATTTCCAAGTAAGCCCTTCGAGTTCCATCGAAGAAGATATAGCAGATTTATTTTGAAACAAATCAAAATTTCTCTACATCTTGATCGATTATTGTTTTAAACATAGAGACGCAACACTGCAGATAATTTGTTTCCTTATTCTAGCACACATTACTAACCTCGTACAAATGATGATATTGGCATTGATGTACTCGTCGTTGTCTCTGAATTTGTACTATTTAACACATCCATAGGCGAGCCTTCTAAAATATATTCACAGTTAACTTTCGAATAGGTCATAAATTACACTGCAATGTCGTACCGCGTCCCATGAAATAAACTGTAGCAGTTATCAGAACAAATATTAATGTAATTAACAGTATTTGTGCTATTATTGTTTTGAAAAACTTTTGTGTCGATGTTGTTCTGAAAGAATAAAACTCAGAGTCATAAGTCGAGTCAAAGAGTACTAACTCAGCTATTATATTTGTCGGTGTTGCCTCTAAATGATTATTAGTCACATTTGTATTACTAGGAGAAACAGAATTTGTTCGTCGTTTTCGATATTGATAGATTGCCATTCCAATTCGAATTAGTTTTGGGCAAATCCAATTCAGAACAATCGAGAGACCACCTTGCAGACCGAGGAAAACAAGTACTGTACGCGATACGCTAAATTTTTGAATACTAGTATGAGAGCACAAGAGAGGCCTACATGCATGATAATATGAAGAATAGTTCTTGTCTATTGACCATTCTTCGATAAATAGATCAGAGAGAAGTTCATTCACCGTGGTGTTGATTGGAAACCGACTACTTAGTGCTGGGAGTGGAGCAATAGGATATTTATACTTTGTAAACTGCCGAATGCGATCGAGACATGATTGACTATAGAAACATTCGAGAGACGAAAGTAGTAACGATTCGCTAGGTGTGCAGCCCATTTTTAACCCTTTGATTGAAATCTCGGCTCCTGAATTTGCTTCAATGAACTTTGCTTGAGTCGTACAATTTGAATGTAATCCGCATGAGCAACTATTATCATAGGTCAACGGTACAATGGGAGCATACCGTAATTCGTCTGTATTCTCCAAGAATGTATATTGAAAATTTGTTCCATATGTCGAGATAAAAGCATTTGCATGATTGACATTGCGGACCAAGAAGAGAAGACGTTTGAGTAAAATAGGCGCATATAGTTTCGTTTGTTCAATTAGAATATCAAGACGAGTGGAAAAAACTTCTGCGGAAAGAAGTTCGTTGGTAACTAATAATGAAGAAAGAAACTGGTTGATTGAATTCTCGATTGATTGTTGCGAAAGATGACATAATCCTTGAAGATAGTGCAGATGAGCAGAAAGAAATCGACGATAATCTTTTCTGCTATAGATAGATAAATTAGAAGCAAGCTCACTTGTAATACCGGCTATCCACTCATCCGATATGAACTCGCGTGAAAAAATCTATGAGAAAAAAGAAAGTAATTCTTGGTTTTGTAGGCATAAATTTGCAAATTACCAAGTGAAATTTCGGTTCAATAGCAACAAAATGATCGTAGGTGGATGCAATTACTGAACATGGACATTTCAATTCATTCCCATAGATCCGCTTCAACTTTTTATAAAAGCTAAGCGACGGATTTTCAAAGATCTTAGTTACAGTGCGAGCTTCTAAAATAGTTTGAAAAGCAAGAATAGCAATAGTACTAATGACTAGAGCAAGATAAGCACGAGTTGCCATTCGACCATAACGTACAGCGGTAGCTCGATCGATTTGACTTCCGAAATCGCGCACTAAGAAGATGTTCAAGTTAACCAGTGCCGTGAATAAAAGTCGGAACATATTTCGGACAATCATTCTCAGTTGTTCTATACGATTACGACGAGCTATGAAAGTAGGTAGACATACAATATTTTCCAGCCAGAAAATTATCATGAAAAGCAGACTTACATCGTTCTGGTTTCGTTCGTTTCTTTTTACAAGGTAACGTTGCAAGCTTAGCCACACTTTTGACGAGATGAGGCGTCAAAAGACGTAATGATACAACGATTCCACCAATTACGGATAGTAATACTGTTATTACTTCGACGAAGGATTTTCGCATGTGTATAGAATAAGTACAAAAACTGGGTGCGCATATTTCGTAGAAACGTTCATATGATAACAACGCATTCCATTGTTCAAGCAGCAGAGAATCAAGGATGATCGAAACAGTTGTGTTAGGAGGATAGTTTGTTATTGAATAGTGAACGAGAGGCCGAAAACTACGTGAAAGTCGACCAAATTTCGAATGTGCTATGTCTTTACGACCTAATACAGCTAATAGGGATTGAAAACAATTTGATTCGACATAAAAACATTGAAGTGATGAAAATCGAATAGAATCAATACTGAAACAGCCCTCGACCCAACCTGTTATATTGAAATTCAGACCTGTTCCAAAATTCTCATAATCTATGTTAGTCATAGCTGGCGCTTGACATTTCGAATTTACAGCACAAACACAACTGATCTTGTTTGAATTGATGGTCGATATTTCATTGAGTACGAATTGGATCTAAAGTAACGAAAAACGACGGTAGAAAACTATTTTATGTGCACGATGAGATACGTCGATATGACGCTGCGCGTGCGCTCCTTTTATAGTCTATTATATTGAATGAAACGGACTATTTCTAGAAGGGTCTCCTACACTTTGCCGACAGATCTTCTAGTCAAAAATTTCGAAAGATACAATTCTTTTCGTAACCAAGTCCTGAGGAAACCAATGCAACAGCCATTTTCAAGCAAATTCTGCCATAGGTACGATATCCTCATCTGAATCTTTGCCTACACCCTCACCTATATTCCGATTCTCAAAATAATGGTGACCATACAAAATATATTTGTCGATGAAGTGATTTTCGGCAATATGATTGCGATCCTTCTAGAATTACTGGCATACCTGCGCTGCTCGACGGTCGTTTGTTGTACTTTCTATCACTAGTCCATTGTCGACTGTTTGAACAGTTGCCCAGTTCGATTTCACAAAAGGTTGATCAATCTGCATGAGAAGATGTACGATTTTTTCCATGGAATTGAAGTGGTAAAATGTTGACTGATAGAATTGCTTGAGACTTGCATTGATTTGCTGCTCGAAATCTGTTTTACTGAGTATAGAAGAAGTAATGAAGAATTGAGAAAGATATCGATTGACAGCATCACTTATCGTCCTGTTCGCCAATTGACAAAAGTCAGATAATATTCGAAATTCCGAAGACGCTCGATTTCTCCAATCCTTCAAAGAACGATAGTCCATAAGGGACATCAGTAATTCAATCCAATCATCCTCCACGAATATGCTTGTGCATACTTGATGAAGGCGTGGAGATAATGTGAGAAATTTTTGATAAAGTATTGCACTTTCAGAACATGGACATCGAAGTATCGTAGAGTGTGATTGCTCTAAATCGATATACGTTTGTAGCGATGGACTTCGTTCTGTAATTGTCACCATTTCGCGATTGAATGACATAAATAGGATAAGTGCGCAGATTACACCTACAATGGTCAAAACGCATTTATATGCATATAGACGCGGTAGAAAGTCAGCATTACCGATTAATAAAGTGAGATAAGCACGGCTAATAAGCCGTTGCTCTTTGATAGAACTCTCCGAGCGATTATTCACGTTCTTGAATAAATTTTGTTGCTTCAGTTTTCGAAGAAAAGTCGACAGTTTCGTTCGTCGATGTTCTAAAAACTCTAATAGAAGTGAGACTTTTGCTATATTGAAATCGTACCCTCATTCCTGCCTCGTCTCAACGACTGTTGTTTGAATTTGAATACGATATCAATAAAAAATGATGATGCCAATCGAAAGATTAACACAAGACCACCGTAAAGACTAATCAAAAGAGTTGTTGTTGAAGACAGAGAGGCCTGACCGACTCGTACATATGTACATATCGATGGGAAACATCGATAAAAGTATTCAGTATAATCTATCTGGATGGACCAATTGCTAATAAAAAGCTTTTTTAAGTGTGTGAGTATACAAACATTATCATGTTTTGAAGATAGAATCGAATCCTTCCAACTGACATTCATCTAAATCGGAAATTTTAGAAAACCTAAAGAATGGTATTGCACGTACTTGGTGAAGACGAGGAAAGTAGCTGCGCAGAAGCTGAATACATTCTTCGCTATATAAACAATCCAGTGTACTTGCAAGAAATGCATCGAATACTCTGAATCCTGCGAAAAACCCATTGACAGTTGTAGAATTCGGTAACGGGATCATCTGAACTCTTCGAAGGATATCGCTATCGTCAATTGATAGCGGACTTAGAGTAGCTGCAATTACTGTACTATTTAAATCACATGACGTATTTTGGTTGTTTCCAGTTGGATGATATATTTGATATGCGAATATTGACGAATGTGCAGTAGAGTCTAACTGAATAAAAGTTATATAATTTGTATTGAGTGCTGAAACCATTCGTTGTTCTTTTATGATTGTTCTTAAGTAATTCAGAAAGCTCATAAATCGGTTTATTTCACTAGTCTTCAGAAATTCGATTGTACCATGAATTTCTTCTTGAACTGTGAGTTCATGATGAAGATAAGCAGTGATAAGTTCAGTGTTATGAATATTAATTTGAATTTGAGAAACGATCTGTCGGGAAAGTAAGCAGAAGCTAGACAGCAACTCAAACTAAATCGAAATTTTCAGAGCTGCCCTTTTCAGCATACGATAGAGAGGACAAAATTCATACGAACTTGTGATTTTGCTGTTGTTCGAAAGTCCCACACACCATATCGACTAGCGTTTAGAAAGTATAATCTCTCAATCCATTCTTTGCTTACGAATATACTATCACAAACTGGATGAATGCTAATTGTATTCGAAACGAATTGATGATAGGGTACCGTAATATTCGTACATGCACATGAAAGCTTTTCCCCGTGTTTTAAGTAGAGTTGGTTGTATATATCAGGTGTAATATTTGAAATGATAATTGTTTCAGCATGCATTTTCATAATTGTTACATAAAATAGTGTTACAAGCGACACTGAAACGAACAAGCATGAACGAATCTACGTGATGATCGACTGATGTTTTCTATGCGATTGGTTAGTTACCTGAGAGAACGAGCACATAGAGCCAAGTTTTATACTTTTGAAGTCGAAGAATCACTACTGGATCTCTGATCGCATTCTCATTCTCGTCATCATCGTCATAGTCGTCATCCTCCCGTATAAAAAGATTGTAATCGGATAGTTTTTGAAAGAACCAATTGAACACGAGCTTGAGATTCATTTTGTAATGAATCAAGAGGTCATGATTTTATTACTATCAAATCTTGGGAAACAATTGTTAGAAGATATTGTTGGTTGACCAATTAAAATTGTCAATGAGTAAGATTGCCTATTAACTTACAAAATATACTCACAGAAAAGATTTGTGCAACTTTTTAGAATGGGAGGAAAGGCGGTATTTATATAAATTATGTACTCTCTGCAGGACATATATGTTGAAAAGCAAGACTTTGATAGGCCTAATATTTAGTTAATAAAAGATGATTAATGATTTTTCTTAATGACGTTCTTAAAAATCGAAGTTGACGCATCACCTAATACGTGTATGTACTCATTACTATAAATAGAATTTGAAAAACAGCTCTTTCTGAGATCTCACTTGTTCCATGTGATGTATAGATATCTTCAGAAAAAATTAAAATTATTGATCATTAGCATCGACAAATAAAAGATATAGCTGTCATTAGTACTGCAGTGCACATTCATTTATAAGTCTAACAATCAAACATACGTAGATTACTAAAGAGTACTATACGCACTCTAATGCAACTAATCATCGGTCGATGATACTTTGCTTCGATATACAATTTGAATGAGATGACTTTCATCTATTTTCGGCTTCACTGTTTCCATCAACCACTTCAGTAGGTCAGAGTAGCAACTGGGCTCATCTTTACCCGTTATTAATGGTAAACCTATTGTGTTCAAGTATACTACTTGTAAATCGTATATCCAGATCTGTTGAGTTTCTTTAATTGAGCTTCGACTTTAATCCTGTTGTGAACGATAAGTATCTACACGAATGTCTCCAAAGTTATCATTCGATCGAACTCATGTGTATAACGAACTGATTAGTACCTTGAGCTATTCGTTACTAACTCGATGCATTTTTATCAATGGTCGATACATTGAATATCAGATTAGAGTTCTCCAGAGGGCAATAGGATGTTAGATTTTCTTTCTCTGCTTCAATGATAATTAACCAAGAATGTTTATTTTATACGATACAACAACGACAAAAAGAAGAAGAAGAAATGTTCCTATAGGGCAGAGAAATAAAATTTTTTCTTGTTTAGATATGGACGTTTGTTCTCTTTGTACGACAGAACATAATCACAAGATTAGTTAAGCATTCACAAGTGCTTTCAAGGTTGCAAGAACATCGCCGTGATGTTGCCGTAAAGTTTTCTCCGCTTTCGAACGCGGTAATTCCAATTCTTGCACAATGAAGTCCACGTCTTCCTTACGAATTTTCACATTCGCTAATGCAGCTTGTTCCGCTTTACGTTTCGATTCATCACGATGGCGTTTGTCATTGATGGCTGATAAGGCCTAAACAGAGTAAATGATCTGACACATAGTCGTTGAAAGAAAATGTTTCCTCGTTTACGTTGCCGATATTTTCTGCGCCGATTTCTTCGTCATCAACCCGATCAGTGACACGATCTAGTTCTTTTTCAACTTTGGCATCCTCTTTCTTTTGATTTGTATTTGTTTCTTGTTCTTCTTCTTTTTCGTCATCGGAACCGTTTTCATTTACAACTGGTGTTACCTTATCCGACATAGTGAGTGTGTTTTTTTCTTTCTCGTCTATCTACAAGTAAAATGAACGAAGCTATTAATAGTAGTAGTAGTTTTTCTCGTATGTTGCTAAAGGAATGTCCAACACAGCAAAAGACAATAGAATAGAGATACAGAACAAACAAAAAAAACGAACAAGAAAAAGATTAAGAAGATGCATTAATCATCAAGTGATGATTGTGAACCACGAGTATTATCCCCAAACCGACTTGATTGGGTTAATAATTGATACAATTGTTCATCGTTTAAACAACCATCGACAAATTCTTCGCGACTCAAGACTCCATCGGAATTCTTATCCATCATACGAAATATATTCATAGCACGTTCATCGGCTTCAATTTGTCGTTCTGGTTGTTCCGTATCTTCACCAATCAATTCATAAATAGCCTAAATATACATAAATTTCGCAAGGAACTCTCGTTTCTTAAACAGTATCTCATTCTTCACATACACTAATGATCCTTCGCATTTCAGTTTCATCAATTGATCCATCGCCATTACAATCGTACATACGGAAAGCCATTTCTAATTTCCTATCGGGAGTTCCTTGGGACGTTATGTTGATTGCTTGTAAAAATTCTTTGAAGTCAATTTTACCGCTATTATCTAAATCATAAATGAATCACAACAGATGACAGAATTCGATTGTCGCTCATTCAACTTACCCGAATCGAATGCGCGAAAGACATGCTCACAGAAATTTTCCGCACGTCCTTTTGGAAAGAATTGCTTGTAGATTTGAATGAAGGACTCGCGTGTCAGTTCACCAGTTGGACAATCTCTCTTCAAAAGTTCAAAATGAACCGATTACTATGGAGGGAAAAACAGTAGACATACCATAAAACCTTTGTACCAACTTTTGATCTTCTTTTCCGAATACGTTGTATGAGTTTTCAAAAAGCACAAGTCCTCAGGTGATAATTCATGCTTCGAGCTCGTACAGCCCATCAACAACAGTTGAAATCATGTGCGATGAAGAATAAAAGACTAGAAGAAGAAATAATGAACTCTAATTGAAGATTAAACTTCGATATTTGATTCAATCGTTCGGAAAAAATTCATAAATATATGAAAACGGCGTATACACAAAAAAGGCGGAAATTGCCAGGAACGATAAAGATCTCCTCCATTTTTTTCTTTCTCTCTCTACTTCTCGCTCTTTCTCTCTCTCTCTTTTTTCTTGCGCGCTCTCTCTCTCTCTCAAGTAGATGAATACGGACGATGAATGAAGTCGATGTGTCTTCCGTCATTGGTGCTCGTTGAATGAGACGATCGTCCAATATTAACACTTACAAATGATTTGCCTAAACATACTTAGCTTCTATCTTTCTAATAAAACATGATGATAGTCGAAGACATTCAATAATTAGTATTCCTATTGTGATGCAAAACGTTTTCTTCAGTTGCTCTTATTTTTATGATTGTGTGTTTTGCTCCTGTTCAAACAAACATGAAATAAAACGCTGTGAGAAACCAACTAATAGCGAGCTTCGAACAGAAAATCAATATGTAACTATTTATAGATCTAATCTGACGTGGATATGTCATTCTTGATCAACAAATAGATAGAGATTAACTAATCAGATTAGATCAGCAAATGAATCTAAGCGATCGGGTTTGATCCACAGAAGCAAAGCAGCGAAAGAATCGATTATGACTTAAATCAGAATAGGTCTCATCAACAGTGTCAAACCACTTACTTCTTGATTGAGAAATACTGTTAGTTATGGAAATATTAAAGACGACGTTCTTTGATTTCTAACTTTGAAATGAAGAAGGAAAGAGCACGTCCGGATCAAAGAAGAAAGAAAAACGCAAAACTTAGCGAACGTGGGTCTTGCTTCTGTCACATATGCTTATATTTTGAACGATAAAGACATCAAAGCGTCAAAGAGAATAATGACATTACTCTAACCGATTGAACGTTTGAGATTTCCCAAATGACGCAAATAAGAAGAGGAAAAAACTGGAGGATATTTCAATTTAAAATGAAGCGAAGAAAAATCGCATTTCATTTGATTGAATTGCTCTTGTCAAAGTAGATAAAATATTCAATTAACTCTTAAGTAGATCTAGATCAAGTAGAAAACTTTGTTTTTTTTTGTGCTATCAACTGAATGTTAACGCAATGGGCGAATACTTATCGTTATCTGTTTTGTCAACGAACGAGCTCGTTTTTATTTTTTCCGAATGTACTTTATTTGCCGGTAATCTATTCTATACGGAAGTATCATGTGAATAATGGCGATCAAAGTCAAAGAAATCTTAACGGCAAGGAAATTCATATACAATATTTAGTTAAAGTTATAAGAAAAGGAAGAAGAACGGGAGAAGGAAGAGTGACAAATATATTCCATCAGAAAGGTTCTCTGCGCACTCTCCGTTTTCATACGATCAAATTTCTTCAGTATGAATAGGTTCTGATTTCAATCAATCTCGATCTTGAAGATCTGTTCCGTTCAGCCCATATTCCGAGCAAAAGGGAAGAAAACATGCATGTACGAACTGTCGTGCTCGCCAATAATTGAATAAAGTAATCAAGCGATGTAACAATACCTTCATATCGTCTTCTATTCTTTTTCTTTGTGATCAGCATTGTCATTGGCGTGTTCCCAAATGTCATGCAATCTGGACACCTGAGCTTGCTCATACTTTCTTAATCAGTAATACCGTAATCAAATCTGAAAATATAGAGTTATATTGGATCTGACTTTCTTATTTTAGCATTTTGTGAAAAAAAAAGAAAAGAACAAGAACATTTTGTCATTATCTGACTAATATACAATAGATTTAAATAGCCAATAACAGAACTATTGGACAATGATCTGACCCATACACGCCGTTTTGTATAAGCGAGTCACATATAGTTTCTTGAAGACTAGATGATAGAATGAAATAGTCCAATCGCCAGCCAATATTTCGTTGACGAGCATTTCGAAAGTAAGCCCAGTACGTGTACGCATCGCGTTTATCAGGATAGAGATAGCGAACTAAATATTAACAAAGAAATGCTAATATTTTTGAGTTGAGTATTTGACGTGAAATTCATGTAGACACTTTTATTCAAATGTATTCTTTCGGAAAGAAACGTTTTGAATAACGATTCAAATCGACAAGTGTTAAAAATGAACTTTGTTTATATACTTACATGAATCAATGAATCCGTCAGCGAGAATTTTAGAAAAATCATCCCGTTCTTCTTTGGTAAAACCAGCTGTCTTGGTGTTTGTTTTAGGATTCGTTAAATCGATGCTTTGATGTGATACATTTAAGTCGCCACACCTCAAACGAGAAAACATTTCGATGTTTTTCTTTTCGCTCTAGAAACATTTTCTTTACCAGATTACTGGCTTCTTCTTCTCGAGCTCTTTCAAATACGTATGAAATACTCGATTAAACTGTTGTCGATAGGATAAACGCACAAGTTTACGACCACTATTAGGAATATAAGTAACGACAAGATAGAATTTATCATATTCAGCAGTAATAACACGCCCTTCGGTATCATGTTCTGCTATACCAATGCCGAATTTAACATCGACTGGCTCGACTTTTGTCAATAGACCAACGCCGGAATAGCCAGCTAAATCAGGAGAAGTTCAATTGTGAATGATCGAAGACAAATCTAAAAGAGGAGTACCTTGATCACCAGAAAGCCAATATGATTTATAACCAGCAGGTGTGGCTTCAATTGGAATCTTATCTTTGTCGCATTTCAATTCCTAAACTCGAAAAATGATTCAATAAGACTATCGACGGCTGGTTTTACTTGAAAACAGATCATATCTGGTTGTTCTTTCTCGATATATTTTAATCCACCATTTGTAATCCATGCACGAATGCCGTTAATATTCCAAGATGCCAATTTTAACGTGGACTTCTCTCCTTTACATGAAACACGTTCAGATGTTTGTAAGGTCATTGCAGCCGGTTGCTTTACATTAGTACTGGTTCCTTCAGCATTTTCTGCGTTATCATCTTCTTTGGTTGAAAGTGTCTTCTTTGCTTTCTATCCAAAAACATATTTCATTCAGTAGACAACTCCTTGAAGAGTATTTTACTTTGATGGGCGAAGTAGAAGCTTTACGTTTTTTTGTTTGCGTTTTATCCACAATTGTAACCGTCGGCTTGGTTTCATCTGACTTATCTTCGGTTACATCACATTTTGGCGCAACATTCTGCGTTGCTTTCAGTTTCGTGACTTTTGGCATCTAGAATAGATTCAAATGTACTATGGGAACGTTTTTTCTCTTATATTGACAAGAGAACATGATATAACTTGAAAATAAAAGTATCGGAGAGGAACAAGAGGAGGAAGAAGAAAAACGTCATTTGAAACTAAACACTAACTGTTGAAAAAAAAGTGAACGGTTCCTTAGAGTTCAATCCCATAATTTAGCTTCGAACACCCAAGGTTTACGCGATCCAAATTTCATTCCAATTCTTGCTTCTGGATATTCATTGGCTTGGGAGAGTGTTGGTGGATTTGGTACTTCAAGTTTGGGTGGATGTCGTTCCAATGAACCAGCTCGAAAGGGATCCGATGGAACTGGTCGTTTTGTATCATGCATGCGCACCATTGAAAAGTAACCTGGCTCTGGTCGTTCTAAATTCATTTTATCTTTTGCGCATTGTTCAAATGCATGCTGTTCTTTTTTACAACTAAATACAACAAAGCGTCATTGTTTCAGAAATGAACATAGAATGAGAGAAAAGTAACGTACTAATGGAATCCCATTTCACCTTCAGAAGCATTGTCAAGACAGGTCCAGAAAGTGGTAAACGTATCGTTACATGTATCACGTACTTTACGAAAGAAATCAATAGCACATAATGAGACATCCTTGCCTTCTTTGACACATTTTCGTGGATCTTGTTCCTCCTACAAGTATAACCGATCTTTTCATTTTCAACAATTTCCAACTGTCGTATTACATACTTGTCGGCATAGCATGAACTCCTAGAATTCGGAACGACATCATTATAAACTTCAAGCTCTGTTTCACAAAACAAACCTTAAATTGTAGATCACAATACTTGGCCAAATGAAAGCTTCCGGCTCGTAATGCTGGTGATGACACATTCACAACCGGACATTCCAGATCTTCGTAACTCGGCAACTTCGTATCCTTCGTGAAACTCATTCTTATCTACAAAATCAAAACAAAAGTTCAAAACAATCAAACGCGATTGTTCTCCAAAAAAGATCTCTCTTCTCGAAGGGCATTTTGTCTTTATTCATATACATAATTGATATTTTCACACGAACACGTACACACTGAAATATTGTTCGATAACAAAAAACGAAAGAAAAAACAAATCCACACTAAAAAAAGATTGACATTACATGCCAGAAATTGAATTCATTTAAACATTAGTTTGCTCGTAAGCTTCAGGAGAAACTAACAGATGAATGTGACGGGCAAGGTGCGCCGTGTTTGTTTCTTCGATGATATTTTCAGCTGAACATAGATCGACCTAGAGTAGAAATGCAAAGACAACACCGAAACAACGAGACAAGACACACACCGGACATGAAAATTAATGTGCAAAAAAAACCAGAACAAACATCTTAGAAATAATTGTGATAATAAGCAAATAAGAAAGTAGCTAGAGCGAGAAAGACAACAAGGAAATTAGCAATGACTTTATCAAGTGATGAATTGAAATGATTTGTACAACGTTCGAGATTATTCAAGAAGATTAATTCAAGATAGTTTATCGTCAAAAATAAACGAAATAAACCAACTTGTTGTTTTTCAGTCACATGGATTGGATCATTCGCGATGATGATATCTGTTAGTTTAGCAAGACATGGCTATAAAAACACACGCAAAAAAGAATCATGCAGGATTACTTTGTTAATTTAGTTTCGGTAAAATCATGCAAAGTAATCAAACCAAGATCAAGCACGTGCTAGTTTAGTTTAGTCACTCGTATCGAAAGTAAAACGCGCTTACCTCAGGAACGCCAATGCGACGACTAGCTTCGATAAAATTCTCGACATTTCGTCGACATTTAGCAATGGAAAGTTTCGGCTGGAATGGTAGATCGAAAAAGTTCAGTTTTCAATTCATGATAGAAAGATAGTTCTTACCACTGCTTGAGAAGGTACATGAATACTTTGAACAGAGCGTGGTCGAATTTGGTTGATGAAATGACAGAGAACAACACCGTCACTTAATGCATAGGCTATATCATCGGGTAACGTCACTTTCAAACGGTCTTCGATGATCTAAAAGACACCAGTGATCCTATTGGAGAAACAACGCTTTTTTTCTAACTTTTTTCATTTGCTCCAGTTGGATATTTTCCTCCTTTGAGTGAAACGTATGCCGTTGCATAGAAAATATTGAGTTATCCATAGACGAAGCTAGAACTCACAATCAAAGCTCAGAACGAAAAACAATTTCTTTGAGAGTGGTTACTTTTCATCGACATATGATCATACTAAATAAGAAGACAAATAGAAATCCTTTTAAATTTATTCAATCTAACTCACATTTGACGATGGTCCATCATAATATTTCAATTTTGCTACTCGATTTTCTTCGTAGTGATCATACTGCAAATCATCCTATACAAACAAAAAACTTATCTTTCACAACTCAAACTATTTGCTCACTTACCATTTGATCATAATTTACATTCGATGACGATATTCTACAATCGAGATGTTTTATTATTTGTCTATGAAGAAAACCTTCTTACTTTAATTGATTAATCGTATCTGAACTTGTGAATTGTCGGTTGATCGTCGTTGAACTTTCGCATCGACTCGTCGATCCATTAGGCAAGGATTTCTGTTGAATAAGATAATGTCGGTGATGTCCATTATTCAATTTCATCTCGTTTCCACCAGCTATCCCGTTTGGCTCAACACTAATAGCACGATTCGTTCGCAATAGAAGATCACCGACAGCTGAATTATCTATTGACATTGAACACTGATAGAAACGATGATTAGTCATTAGCTAGATCTTACCATTAGAAAATTGTTTTGTTAACGGCCAAGGACGTTCTTTCGACGAAAAATTCAGCAAATGAATATTTTTACTGAAATAGAGACGAAACTAATTCTGAATTCGTTACACTTTGCTGATATACCTGTTCTCCATTTTTCTTCGAGCATCTTCACGTTGTTTCTCCATTTTTGCCAGCTTCTCATCATGTGCACGTCGAGCTAATTCTCGAGTTTTGGCTCTCTATTCAGTTCAAATCGAAATAGTTTCACTTATCTCAACTATTCTTCTTACTTGAGTTTCCGTTTCTCCTAATTGTTGTAATAAATGAATTTTTAATTGATGCGCTTGACATTTCTTCTTGTCATATTCCGTCCTTTGTCTGGTCAGTTCCTGATCGAGCAAAATGAAACAATAGCAGATGTTCAGTGCAACAGAATGAACTTTACTTTAGAAAATTCATCGGCAAGGGTAAGCATCAAGGTAGGCTCACTACGAAGCGATTGATTATCGGGCATGCTAATGACAGAATCATCCTAGAAAAACGGATGAACAACAAGCAAGGAAGGGACGTAGGTATATTTACATCGCCAAGAGTTTTTTCACTGCTTTCGGTTGTTAAATAACCTGAATCGGATGGTACCACTGTTTTTCGTAATCGTGTTCCACATTGTAAATGTCTAAAATAAGCAGAGAGCTTCGATGTTTGTCAATGTCAGTGTGGAGAAGATCGGGGTAATCAAGAAGTTTTTTCGAGAGAAGAAAAACAAAAATACAAATTAAAGTCTAGTAAAATGTAAACAAAATAAGCAGTTAGAAGATAAATGATGAGCGTTAGAAATCTGTTTTTCTTTTCGAAAACTTATAATACTGTTCGATAGATCCTATGAGAAAAGAAAAGAAAATTCTTTAATTGATAAAACCGTAGGAGAAAGGAAATTAATTGATGCGTACAAGATCACCTTCTCATGGGAAATGAGACTATGAACAATTCATTCTTCCGGATGATTATAAATAAATTTATGCAAATACTCAGCGAAATACAATTGTTCTTCGATTTGAACATTTCAAAAGGTATTAACTTAATTGACATGCTATTACGGAAACTCATGAACAGTTGCTATCGCTGGAGGCAGTTTTCTTTCAAATCGAACATCAATTTTACCTTGCGCCTTGATATGAAAATGAATTTCGATATTTGGAATTGATTTCATTTTCTGTTAATAGACCACGTCGTTTCTCTTCTCTCATCGCTTCGACGAGAAGATAACGCATAATGTGTAGCAAACCTAACGTGCATACCTGAGAGAAACAAAGGAAATGCGTTTAATCTTTTGTAATCTTGAATTTCTTTTCATCTTACCGATGCCGGCGGACTTTCTAATGGATTATGTTCTACGTTAAACTCGATTAACGTGACCATTTCTCGTAGGTTCAACGGTAAACGGGTGAGTCGATTGAACGAGCAATCGAAATTGATCAGTTTCAGATGGCCGATTTCTAAAAATAAGCGAAGGAATGTTCGCGAAATGAAAATCTAGACGTTTTGTTTTTCAAAACCCAAACGTGCAAAAAGGAAATTTTTCTTTTTGCAGAAAAAAATTAAGCATTAGGGTTGATAAGCAATACCTTACTTCGCACGAAAAAATCAAAAGAATTCAACTGAATGAAAGACTAGTTTATATATATCTGAAAATGAAGTGTGAGGTATTACTTTACCTGCTGGTAATTCTCTAATCATATTTCGACGAATGTTTAGCGTTCGAAGCGATGTTAACGTGCCAATTTGATATGGAATTTGATTGATATCATTCGAACTAACATCCTATACGAACAAATCAAGATTTCAAATCGATTTTCCGAAGAAAAGTTCGTACTAATTCGATCAATCGTTCTAATTGCCCGATTTCTTCAGGTAGTGAGAGAAGTTTGTTATTATTAATGATTAAAACTTCTAAATTAGGTAGTTTACACAGTGATGAAGGAATATAAGCCAATTGATTTCGACTAAAATCGAACGAAAAAGAAGATGCTGAGTCAATTGATTGTTCGACAACAGCGTACCTTAAATCCAGCACTTTTAGCAGACGAATTTGAGCAATTTGTTCGGGAATTGATTTGATTGCGTTGCTATAGAGATTGAGACGTTCAAGTGATGAAAATGAGCATAATATTCGTGGAAATTCAACAAAATGATTACGAGAAAGATCTACAAACATGAATGATAATCTCGTTATATTTCGACAAAGAAAATATTCATACCAGCTGTTATGGTATCGGACAGATCACATTTATTGTTTGAATAGGAATAATTCGGAAATTCGCGAAGTTTTCTTCCATTTAAGACCAATTCACCTGTATAAGTGGCTTCATCAAGTGCACGTTCAAGACTTCGGCTTAGGCAATGTACTGCTTTTGGTTTATTTCCATTGACTGCAGTCGACGTCGATGAATCGTATGTTGTGGCCATGCATTCACATTCGATTTGAATTGAAATGAAAAACTAAAACAATGGTTAGATGACAAGTTTAGAATGAAAATCATATAGGGAAAAGATGCACACTGCTGCTTAGGTTAGTTTTATTTATTTATTTACCATACATTGCTTGTATGACTACTGTAAGCCAATGGGAACAATTTGAAAGATGTCGCATGCTTGCGAGATTATCTCGGAGATAAGGAAAAGACAAACTGAATGCCAAATGTCGAGCTGATATGTTTCTCATCCTTGTTCGATGAATTATTTTCTGCACGTTCCATCGGCAGAGTTCAAATCACTGCGGAGTTCTCTTTACGTACGAAAGAGAGCTACCGCGATAGAATGGCCAATTGACTGGCGGACACAAGGAAACCGTGGACGAGTAATCTCTTAGGAACGATTTTACGTCAGTGTATATCCATAGGGCACAATTTGTGGTGCCTCGTCTATTCATGATTTACTCTTTCGGTCTGAACGACAATTCGACTAGAAAGAACTAATGCTTTATTCTTTACGCATTTTCTTCTCTTTAGAACCTTATTCGGTTAAACAAATCACGTGATATCTTAAACGAGAATTTATCTCTGTGATATTTCTGTTAAATTTTCTTCTTTTATGGTTCTCTTCAGAAAATTATTACTGCTGAAATAGAACGTCAATAGGATAACAAAACAAGCTTCGAAGATGGCAACAGCCGAGTCGCACAATACGATGTCAATCAAAGAAAAATTTGAGCGTGAAATTTATCTATTAGATTATATACCATGTATATTGGAAATGGATGTTACGGGTGTTTATATAAACAAGAATAGATACTATTCCGACGAAGTCGAAGCACTAGAACACAAGGACTGGTCAAAATACACTTCGAAAGTCGAGAAAAACTAGATGATTTGTATGTTACAGAAAATGAACGAATTACTTCGAGTCGATCCATAAAGGTTGATAGAGTTTTTTTTACTTTAAATGATTTTTGTATACTACGTGCTTATCAAAATTATATGCTTGCCAGTGCGAAACAAGAAAACTATTATCTACTATTCCGTTCTGTACATTAACTGGAGCTGTTTTCACTCAATTCAGATTTTGAAAACTTATATCTAATAACAATACTTATTGATCTGTTTGAAATAATTGAGTTCATTATGAGAACTGATGCTAATCAGCCCTTTATTTCAAATTGGGGGTAATATCGTATATGGCGTGACTGCAAGCCAATACTATTCATAGTTGATTATATGATGAGTGCGCAGATGAAGAACTGTCTTCACTTTCTGAAACAAATGTCGAACGTGAACCTGTAGGCTACTCAACTGCTCTTGCACTTCATGCAAATTCTGCTGCTGCATAGTTCGTTTCTTTTTTGAATATAAATAAAATGCACACAATTGCAAAAGCGAGTCTACAGACATGGTACTAATATCAATCGTCGACAAGTTGCTTGGTGTATGAGACATTTCATTGCAAAATATTTTAAAAGATTATATTAGCGTTCGAGAGACTCCTGCGTGTGCACATATGCGTTGTCTATACACCTTTTTTCGCATGCATATATGATAGACATTTTGATGGAGATGAACTTCTTGAAGAACATATATGAAATGCCATATATTCGGATGTATGTCAACCTAAGTAAACACGATCGTACAGAATGACCAATACAAATGAAGGAAAGAGTCTTGAAATTCAGAGGACCGTCGGTAAATAACTGTGACGCAGGCTTTGCTTTGCCCCGATATAGTAGAGCCAGTACACAGAGTGTAACTGCAAAGAAACGATATTTAGCATGCATAAATCAATAAGTGGAGTGAGGACTCGTCATGTTCATGTCATCGAGAGGTTGACTATGTTCGTTGGGGATGGCGAAATCATGTAAACTGGAAAGAACTGATGCTATTTGACGGTTAAGACGGCTCTAAGTATTGAATCAAGTTTTTTATCTCATGTCGAGTAAAGAACTGAAAGAAAGCGTGCCAACAATATTCAGTTATGTTTACCTAGTCATATTGGATGCGAAATATAGCATTACTGATTGGATAACGTAATAAATATAATTTGAGAAAAAAATTAATTTCCTCAAATCTAAATAAAGGGACATGTAGCGTTATAAAATACGTTGAAAGGTCTAAGAAAAGATCTATTACCTTCATAGAAGTATATTTTCTTTGCCGTTCAAAATGAAATCGTTATCGAAAACTGATATGAATATTGCACCTCCGAGCTAGTGTTCATAAGGACCTATTATATCCATGAAGCGTATTATCAGTGTTAAGACTATGTTTGCAACTATTCCAGATAGATATATATCAAGGAAAATAAAAGTACACTACGAAGCTCGGAAAACCTACAAAAAACATCGACGGTAGACGTGAAAACTGAAGTCGTCAATTCAATTGGCGATAATTTAGACACATTTTCTCTCGCATGGCTCGATGCTCAAGTTGATTCAACAGAAGAAAATAAGCAAACACAACAATAACTTCTACAAATGATCAATCATCTGAAAATATTTCACGATCAACAACAATGTCACCTCATTTTCTTCACAAAATCGACTTGTCCTCATTGTTAGTGGTCAATATGGTTGAATAACTTTACCAAGATACAGTGCAAACATTGCTGATTCCACAAAATCATTCGTACTTGATGTTTCCCAGGTGAAAAATCTGCTCACACGAACCAAAGATCTGATCGATCAAATCAAGGCAGACCAGAAAGGTTGAACGAAAACTGAAGAACCACTTTCGATCACTTCCTTCAGTGCTACTGGCATTGCAGACCAGTCCACAACTGGACTCAATGGTCATTTTATTCACTCACGTCTTCTCATCGATGTTTTGTTTTTATTTCGTTTTGTGATCAAAGATATTTATCAGCAACTGAAGCAGCATCAATGTCAACTGATGAATTAGAAATCCTACGACGGCCCATTGGTGAACTAATATCGATCAACTCATTTTTCTCAACTACTCTCAATTTATCTGAAGCGTTGGCATTCCTAAATCGGTCCATCATTTCCAGTGATTTGCATCGTGTATTGTTTGTTATTGATGCTAATCCAAAGGTAGTAACATTCAAGCCTTTTGCTGATATCAGTGAATTCAGTAATTATAAAGGTGAACGCGAGATACTTTTCATGATTGAATGCATCTTCCTTTTGGTTGATATTCATCTGTTATCATTGGCCAAAGTGTTGCACAATATGGGAAGGATAGATTTAGCAGAGAGGATGCTCAAGCGTTTACTGAGCGAACTTCCGTCGAATGATCCATCACTTCAACGTGTTTACTGGCCACGCGGCCTAGTCACGAAAGACAAGGGAGATTATGACGATAGTCAGGAATGGTTTAATAAAGTATTAGAGCTTTACATAATTGTATCAGTAAGATTTACTGGAAAAAGAATGATGACACAATAGCACTGGCGCACTATAAAAAAAGCGATTGCACTGTTTCGGAACACAAATGCAGAGGATCATCCGCATATGGCTCATTTCTCCAACAATATTGCTATAGTCTATCATTATCAGGAAAAAAAGCTGGAAAGCTCTCAGTTACTTTGAGAACTCACTGCTTATATACAAGACGCATTTTCCACGCGACCATCCAAGTATTAGGTAGCTATGTCGTACAACAACATGGGATTGGTATATACCGTTATCGAAGAACATGACCTTGCTATGGAGCATCATAATAGAGCGGTTAAAATTCGGCTGAAATGTCTCCCGCCTCAACATCCAGATATAGCTATGAGCTACAAAAACATTGGCAGAATACATGAACGGAACGGTAAGTGGTTGAAAGCACTAGTTAATTATGAAAAAGCTGCCGAAATCTATTACCATTCGTTACCAGCTCAACATTCCAATGTAATACAAATCAACTAACACGTTAAAGAAATGGCATCGAAATTAAAGTGATATTATATTGGCGATGTTTCATAGCGTTTTATAAATAAGCAAAGATTCTTTGATTTCTGTAAACAGTTTAATGATAATATCATCCGTTCTTGCTTTGATGGAAAAAACCAAACAATGAAATTCTGTTTGTTTCAATACTAAAATTAACAATAGAAAATAATTCTAAATCTAAATAGTACACTCATTTCTATAAATCTAGTTCAAACCTAACAAGAACGAGTGTATATTCTAAATTCATTTTTACGTAGATACATTATGAAATGGTTGATTGGTTGTTGTATTGATATTATTATTTATACTTTCTTGACTTATGAATTATAAGAAAGAAGCCTTTCTTAGTCACCCTGTATATACATATTTCATTGTGTGAATTCAATTAAATTTTGATCAATGAGATTTTTCTTTCTTGTTTATTTTGTGTCTACGTTGTTTGTCTCTATATAAAAATACGGTTTGTTTTGCTTTTTCATTGCACAGAAAAACCGAGTTTTATTCGTATGGCTAATACCATTGATCTTCGTTCTATTGCCGTTGATTTAAATTCGTGCCCGACTGTTCAAACTCATTCGCCACCTGTCCAATTAGAAACCACCGATTATAGTGAATTATTACGAAAAGTAGCTGGTATTAATGTTACATCATTTCCTTGCTTGCTAATCTGTATTTCTATCGATCTTATCCTTACATTAATTACTTTGGGAATTGGTGCAGCGAACCAATCAGCATGTCCTATCGAGCCTCGCATTCCACTTTATCTAATCGTTTTTGGCAGTGTCAGTCTTATTTGTATTTGTTTCAGTACGATTGCTCTTATAATTCACAATCTTAAAAAAGATGAACATATGCTTAGCTTTTGTTGTGTTCATTGTACAGCAATTATGATAATAATCTTACAAATCTTTCGTTTTGTATGGTTAATCATCGGGAGTGTTTGGGTCTTTCGTATTTTCCTTGATGTCCAATATGTCGGACTCGATCAATCGACTTATTGTCAAGCAAACGTATATCAATTCACGATCTTTCAAGTGATTTTACAATATGTTCTCCCATGTGTCTTGTGCTACCTTAAAAATGTTCCATTTCGGTTTTAATCAGATGACCGAGAAGTCAATCCATTAGAAAATCAAAGTTTAATGAGATATTTGACATTCAGTTATTCTCAGCAGAGCTTGTAATATCTTTCTTTTTTTCTGTAATAGTTATTTCCAGGACAATCTGTTGACACGGATAATCTTCAAACATGACATTTTTTTTATACGTAGAAAAGGAAAGATTGCATATCTCGCGATATGATGTTGAAAAACGCAGACCAACTCAATCCTAGTGATCAACAGAAAAGAGAAACCTTCATTTTCAAGGTAGGGTAAATGATCAAAAGCACTTGGTTATACTTGATACTAAATCAGATCACTGCTTAAGACGTACCATCTATCATCATCAATGTTCTGAAACAGAGCTCTGAGATAAGAGCGAAGCAGAAGAATTAATAACAAGAATACATAAACACAGCATGCTGTTGTCTATAAGCAGGACATGTTGCTTATGTAAGATAGATGACATGTGGTTTTTCCATTGTTCTTCGGATTTTTCTTTTATCTATCGATATTGCTTATGAAGAGATATGACAAATCGTCATGTAAATTCCGTATACATCGATATAAATAGAACGATCAATTACAAAACGAGACACTCGATTTTCGAGTCAATATTCGATAGGGAAAGGAAACAGCGTGTATCGACATCGAATTAAACATAAAATCACGTCTTTATTGTTACACAAGTGAGAGCTGCGCGAATCATTATTATTATCATCATGGTTATTACTTCACCATCGTTCTATTCACTTTTTATTCGGCACCATATGATACTTCTCGTCACCTCGATACTTGAAAATCAAAACTTAGCACTCGAAACAAGTCGGTTATTAAAAGAATAAGAACAAAATGAAGTCGACTTCTATTCCTCTATCTTTCTTCTTTTCACCAATGCGATTTAAATACTATCTTACATAGATGGATGTATGTATCTATAATGGTCTATGCGTGTGCAACAGGACATTTATTGTATTGTGTATGTACATGACATAAGGACAATCGAGGACGAAACGAGGAGAAAGAAGAGACAGACATGTTTGGAGATTGGAAAATGCGGTTCATTTCTTTTCTTCTTTCTTCAATATGAAGAACATTACTATCGTCTCTGTTCACATATAACCAACATATATAAGTGGCCTCCGGCAATAAAGAACTTCCTGTAAGCTAACTCGTGTGAATGAGTGACCGCTCGAAGAGAAGGATGAGAGATAAAGAATGGAACAAGTAGAAGGAGGAGAAGAGAAGCAAAAGGATTAATATTAGACATTCTTTTGCTTGCAGTATTGTGGCATTTTGGATAGATAGTTGGTGATATGTTGTTCTTTCCTCTGTTATACATGCGTGCCATGTTAATGCTTTATGCATATCTAACTGGCCTAATAGAGAAGAAAGAGAGATGCTTGTCTTGAGAAAATCATGGCTCTCTATTCGTTCGTTCTCTTGCGTCTTGTCAATGAATCGTGGTAGTGTAGAAAAGGAAAAGAAAATTTTCCATTACATCCGATCTACTATACGGTTTTCTTAATCATTGATGAATTTTCTTTCTTTCTTTCTCTCTCTCTCTCTCTCTCTCTCTCTCTCTTTCCGTCTATATCAACGATAAAAGTCTTTTCGGATTGATACAGCAAAGGACGCCTCGACAAAAGGTTAATACAGGTAGGTGGCCTCTCTCTCGTCCTCTCTGTTAAAACGCATATACCGACAATGTTGATTGACAGTTCGACAATCATTAACGGAAAAGAAATAATAAGAGACAAATGGTCGATTGTGAAAATATGGTCGTCTTTACATTGTCAACATTGCATATGTGAGTGCGTAAAGATCTTTAATGACAACGTATTTTAGCGGTTGAACTTTCAAGTTGGCCTTCAGCATATGCAGACCGACAGCTACGATTGCGTGAGAGTCTCTCGATGGTAATTGAAAGAGAACGAGTCAGCAGAGTGCTCAGAAAGAGCAGTTACTCTATTGCCTATTTCGTGAGTTTATGGTTGCAAGCGGCATGAACTAAACAAGTTGCTTGACTAAGTTCTTTTCCTCCTCTCTCTCTTTATATACATACACATTGATTGGAATCGATACTTGTATTCCCTGCTGTCTAATGATAAATAAACATAATCATCCTTTTTTTTTGATCATCAGCGACTGTAAGTATGCATAGATGTATCTTGTCGCCTGGAATAATGAAATTAATTCTAGACAGTCTTTTCCGATGTTATTATTGTCTTGTACTCGTAGCTATCCAGATCTTCATCTTTTTCATAAATGTTGTTTTTTCGGAGTGTCTTTGATTAATACCGAAATTATCAACTGATTATCAGCATTTCAGTAATGATTTCAATTGAATTAATCGAGATGCGCATGCGTGCGTATGTTTTTCCTCCTCTTATCAAAATAAATGCGCGTGTATTTCACTCGTCACTGTGCTTGAAAGATTTTCTTCATGTCTGTCCTAAGTTTTATGTAATCATTGGATAGAAGAAGTAACGTATGTATATAGATAGATGGATGGATGTTCCTTTACTTGATTTGCTTTATGTGTGTGTCCCTCTCTCTCTCTCCCTTTGATGACGGCGGGTAGTCTTCTACTCAAGCAATAATGCTGATGATGATGATGATGATGATGGTTGTAACAGGAACAGAAATGCCGCATAGAGAAGCGTAGAATCTCATTTCTATAAAAAGAGAGAAGCGAGGATGAATGAGACATGTATGAAGTGGCGGATATAATACTATTATTTAAGTTCAAATTGTACATCTATTAATAGAAGAGAATTTTCTTATCTAAATATTATCTTATTGTATTAATTAAATAAACATCAATTAGAGGTAAAAAGAAAACGGCTGATTAATGAAATTATAGTAGAAATATTTGATGATTAAAAAGTAAATCTATTCCGTTTCTCGTCTTCTTTCTAGATCGAAGTAGATTTCGATTGATTCAGAAAAAGACTATGCCCGATGATCATCGACGGCAATCGGCAAACGAACGATATCAATGGAATTAGTCAGGCAACTCGCCGGTCTTTCTGTTTCACATCTTCGACAATTTCGCGATGATGATTCTTACATCGATCGTCTCAGTCATCGATACACCACAACGATATGCGTCGTCTTTGCGATTCTCGTCACAACTAAACAATACGCTGGTAAGATTAGTCTATGGAAACACATTTGTTCATTACTATTTTTCTAGGTGATCCAATCGATTGTTGGGTATGAGCGCATGTAGATTTTCTTTTTTAATCTTCTTCTCCGTGCTCTGAATAGGTACCAGCACAATTCAAGCCATCTTATGAAGCTTATACTGATAGTTATTGTTGGATTGCTAATACCTATTGTAAGATTAACTTGACTTACTGTCTGAGCTTCTGCATGAGATGAATTTCTCGGCTTTCTTAGATATTCCAATCGATCAAGAATTGCCTGATGATGAAGATGGTCGACGAAATAAAGATATTGTAAAAATGATCTGAACTGAAATTGATATTTACTGATTCAAACGTTTTCATTTAGCTCTATTATCAATGGGTACCATTTATCTTACTTTTCCAAGCATTTCTCTTCTACTTCCCGCGTATTGTCTGGCGTACACTCAATGTTCGGTCAGGTCTTGATGTAATAAATCTCGTCGACGCAGCGATTGTTAGTTTCATCTTTCTCTGCTTGATAAAAAAAACGATTCAAATGCATTGTTTTTCATTTAGAAATACGAACAAGTAGAACAGTACGAATCGCGAGATCGTATAATGAGTTATTTAATCATCAACATCGAACGGTATCTATCTGCTCGTGCCCAATTAACGCGTCGGCATATTGATAAACAACTCTCACGTTTTCGTCGCTTGTGTCGAGTTTTCTTCTTTTGTTCCAATCGATATTATGGGAACTATCTTGTTATTATTTATTTTCTCGTCAAATTAATGTGGCTTGTCAACGCTCTAGCACAATTATTTTTATTAAATGCTTTCCTCGGTAACGAATATTATCTCTTCGGGTTTGAGGTGATCGAAAAATTATTTAAAAACCAACGCTGGACTGAAAATAAACATTTCCCGAAAGTAACCTATTGGTAAAAATATTCTCAGATGATAGAACGAACAAAAAGAATTCATATTCTTCTAACTTTGCTATTGTAGTGATTTCAAAATCCGAGAAATTGGTATCAATCATTTCTATACCGTTCAATGTGTCTTACGAATCAATTTGTTTAATGAAGTCATTTTTATTATTCAATGGTTTTGGCTTATATCAATCAGCGCTGGTAAAAGGATGTTCTTCCGAGTATTCTTTATACTTCTGTTTTCTTCCTTTCAGCCACATTATATGATTTTCTACTATGGTTGTATCAGTGTACTATACCACGTAAGTAGAAGATCTTGTCGCCAGCTTTGATATTAATGAAATTTGAGCGTCTATTGAAGAAATTTGTCAATGTAGTTTAAGACCTTTTTGCATAAAAGTATTGACGTTTAGATTAATTTTCTCGACAGTTTTTCGACTCAGTTAAATGATCCGAAACATTTTCAAGATAATAGTCTGCTTGTTTACATGCTTTATTGGTTTTCTCGTCGAAGTCCGATCAAAGACAGTAGATCGAGAGGAAAAACGCTTTTTTCCTTTTTGAACAAATGAGAAAACCAAATGGCACTTGATTATCGAGAGTTCTTCATCAAAATTGCCTCTGGCGTATGTCAAGATTGTTAGTCGTCAACATCCATTTGGATTTGAAATTTGTTGAAAAAAAAAAACAAAACAAGTTGCCTTCTTGTTTGTCTTCTAGGCGAAAAAGTTCAGTTCATCAAACGTCATCTCGGTATTATATCCTCCTATAATCCACAGGAAGAACGTCAACAAACACGTGAATTTGTCTTACATTATCTAAAAGACGATGGTGTATTTCTCGCGCGTTTACTTTCAATAAATAGTAGCGATCTTGTGGTTACCGAAATCATCAATAAACTTTGGACGCGTTATAAGGATCTCAATCGGCTTTATTCGACAGTCAATTCTCAACGTCATCAGAATAATATTCCAATAACGCAAATAACCAATGACGAAGCAAATACGAGTACACCAGGAACGAATACAAATTATCAAAACGGAAATCCGAATCATCGACATCGACCAGCACGCATTCCACCACCACTACCACCTCTTGCTACCTATATGAATCAACAACATCAAACAAAGAAAGAAAAATCCGACAGCAAATCATCGAAAGATACAGATGTTTAATATTTTTCTGTGATACTCGTATTTTACATAGAGAAATAGTCAATTGAGCTCTCAGGAAGCTTGCCATTCGTATATCTACAACTTCCTCTGGTACCAGTCACACATTGTCTCATTCTTTTCGTTTTTTTTTTCTAATTGTTTTCTTTTTTTTTTGTATATCTAATCTAGATCATATGTGCTCTCCCTCACCCAAGCAAGTCAATAAAAAAAAGATAACTAGACTCGTACATTTTCTAAGTCGAAAGTGTCTTTATTACATCGTTCTTATCTTTTTGGTGTGATAAAGAACGGCTGATTATGGTTATACTTTGCTTTCTTCCCTTTGAATTATTTCATCATATATCAGGCTCGAAAGAAGGTACGATTAGTCTCGGTATCTAAAAATTCGTATCAGAGAACAAATAGCTTTAAGACGAGTGTGAATCTTTGATGTGAAAAGAAATAAATTCTGTGTACGTGCGCATGATTTAGATTCACTTCAGATAATGTCGATTCTGTATCGAAGTAGTGTTCTTTCCTGGCGTCGAATTCTTCAACACAATCAAGGTATTCTTAGTTCAAGGTATGTTCACATAACAAGTCGAAATGATATGAAAGATGCTCGTCGAATCATTGTTAAACTTGGTACCGCATTAATAACACGTGAAAACGAAGATGGCGTTGCACTTGGTCGTCTAGCATCGACTGTAGAACAGGTTTCTCAACTTCAGAATGAAGGTCGACAAATGTTGTTAGTTACCAGTGGTGCCGTTGCATTCGGTCGCCAAGTTCTTCGTAAAGAAGCGATGATGACCATGACTATGAGAAAATCACTTTCGCCTAAAGATATTCTTCACAATAGTCGAGTGGCTATTCAACGACAGGCATGTGCGGCGTTTGGTCAAAAAGGTCTGATGTCGCTGTATGAACGTATGTTTCAACAGTACAATATCGGCGTGGCACAAGTTCTGGTAACGAAGAGCGATTTTTACAATGCCGATAGCCGAAAAAATCTTCAAGCAACATTAAATGAATTACTCAATCTGAATATTGTACCTATTTTGAACACGAACGATGCTGTTGCATCTTGTACAGACACCGATGATGAAGTAGTAGCTGCTCGAGATGGTATTGTGATTAATGATAATGATTCGTTAGCAGCCCGTTTAGCTGTATTGATATCTGCTGATCTCTTGTTGATTATGAGCGATGTTAATGGTTTATATACTGGTCCACCAGATTTAGCAAATTCAAGATTGTTGCATACATTTTGTCCGAAAGAAGATTCTCAATTAATTTCGTTCGGTGCGAGATCTAAAGTGGGAACTGGAGGAATGGAATCAAAAGTGAAATGTGCATCATGGGCACTTGATCATGACGTTGGTGTTGTTATTAGCAATGGTCAAATCGATAAAGGTATTTTGAATATTGTCAACGGTCAACGCATCGGAACATTTTTTACAAATACATCCGCACAAAGAACACCAGTTGATGTGCAAGCGGTAAAGGCGCGCGATGGTAGTCGAATCTTACAGCAACTTTCTGCCGAACAGCGAAAAACGATTATTAACAAAATGGCGTCGAACTTGATCGATCATTCGAAAGATATCCTACGGGCAAACAAACGTGATCTAGACGAAGCTGCGAAAGAAGGACTTAAACCATCGTTATTAAATCGTCTTGGTCTATCGGAAAAGAAACTAAAAACTCTAGCGGTTGGTCTTCAACAGATCGCCAATAAAGCGAATGTACTTGGTCAGTAGACATATCGTAAAGTAGAACCTGTCGAATTTTGATATTTTCAGGTCAAACTATTCGACAAACACGTTTAGCAGATGGAATAATGTTGAAACAAATCACGACACCTATCGGTGTACTTCTGGTCATCTTCGAATCTCGACCAGATAGTTTACCGCAAATTGCTGCTCTCTCCATATGTTCTGGCAATGGTCTGCTACTTAAAGGTGGTTCCGAAGCGAAATATTCCAATGAAATCCTAACGAAATTAATGCAAGATGCATTGGAGCCTTTCGTTCCACGAGAAACCATTGCTTTGGTCAGTAATGAATATGTTCTGTTCGTCAATCTAAACAAGTGAAAGCTATTTTTAGATTAACACCCGTGAACAAGTATCTGATTTACTTCAATTAGGAAAATATATCGATCTTGTTATTCCTCGTGGTTCCAACGACCTCGTTCGTTCTGTTCAAAAGCAAAGCGTACAAATACCTGTTCTAGGCCATGCAGAAGGTATTTGTCATGTATTTATCGATAAAGATGCAAACTTAGATATGGCATTACGTGTTGGTAAGTGGTTAACATCCTCTATTCTAATCTTTGCTGAATGGTTTTCTTCTAGTACGAGATTCGAAATGTGATTATCCGAGTGCATGCAATGCTATGGAAACACTGTTAATACATAAGGATTTAATTCGAACGCCATTCTTCGAGTCATTAATCGATATGTTTCGTGCGGAAAAAGTTTGTGAAGTTGCACATAAATTCAATTTTATGTTTTGCCGACTTTTAGGTGAAAGTGTATTCCGGTCCACGTCTTTCTGCTCTGCTTGCATTTCCACCACCACCAGCAAGTTCGTTGCGTGTTGAATACGGTGATCTACAATGTTGCATCGAAGTGGTCGATGATGTTAACGATGCAATTGAACATATCAATAAGTTCAGTTCCAATCACACAGATTCAATTGTCACTGAAAATCGTGAGTCGTTCGCTCCTCGATATAACATTAGAGAAACAATCGAATTTGATGTTTTAGAAAAAGCCGCCGATGAGTTTACTGCAAATGTTGACAGCGCGTGTGTTTTTCACAATATCAGTACACGATTCTCCGATGGCTACCGATTTGGCTTAGGTAAGAGACGATAGAGAACTCGAAATATTATTGATCTTTAATTTATTCATGAATAGGTGCTGAGGTTGGTATTAGTACTGGACGTATACATGCTCGCGGTCCTGTTGGCATTGAAGGTTTGTTGACAACCAAATGGATTGTTGAAGGACATGGTGATGTTGCTGCTGACTTCACTGAAGGAAAAAAACAATTTGTTCATGAACCGATTGATCATCGACAACGAATATCAAGTTAGAGAGGAGCAAATAAACATTTCTATCTTTCGTTTGTATATTTAAATCAAGAGTAATTATTCAGAAAAAGTTAATTTAATAAATCTCTATGCTGAAAATATTTGTGCGTAAAACTATCCTATCAGTATCAAACCACTGCAAATATTTGCATAAATACGAGACGACTAAAGAAATTTTGCGCTATACTTAACTCTTTGACGAGTACGATACAGACTCGTTTTCCATATCATCACTTGTATATAAAGAAACATTTTAGACCTAGGATCATACTGATAGTAGCGCTTTCAACTGATAAAGGTTTATTTATTGATCTTACTTTTCTTGTTGGGCTTAGATTTACACGTGAATCATCGCTTTGCTCGTCGACATTCCGAACACGACTATTTACGTACAATGAGTGTAACTACGGTTGATCGTCATATTACTGGCGACACTTTATTTCCATTGAGTTTGAAATGCGAGAATAATTTAGAAAATTATCTTGTCTTAATCGTCAATATCAACGACGGTCATTGTCTTTATGATGCTCTTCTCAAAATTATCAGTGAAGATCGTTTACAGGAATTTCATGATGTCGAATCAAGTCTTTCATATATTCATAATTTACGCTATTATACGAATATATTTTTAATCATCTCAGGAACGTCAGGACAAGAGTGTGTTTTTCAATTCGCTCAGGAAGTCCAAGTGACAACTATTTACGTATATTGTATGAATGTTGACAAACATCGAACATGGGCAGAGAAAATCAAGAAAATACGTTGTGTTGTTTCAGATCCAACAAACCTGTTGACTCGTCTGCATGCCGATATCAAAGAATTCAGTGGTCGATGGCCTCTTGGCGAACAATCCTTCCGGCAAGCGCTTACAGCTAAATCAGAATGGTACCATCTATTTCTTCTCGCTATCTGCTATCGTCCTAAACATATACAAAGCTCCTACAAAGAAATGTTTGCTGAATGTCGTGCTTATTACGAAAACAATCCTGGGGTAATTCGACATATTGACAAATTTGCACAAACGTACAAAGCCGAAAATGCTATTTTAGAATACACACGAGACAGTTTTCTGTATCGGATTGTCAATCATGCTTTACGGACGCAAGACATAGCAACAATCAGAAAATTTAGTCCATTCATCTATGACATGTACTCTCAAGTCTCTGAACATTATCGTAAATACCGTCCTGCTAAAGATGAATCAATTCGTGCTCTGTATCGAGGACAATACTTAAGTACGGAAGAATTGGCGTATCTCGTCTCAGTAGTGAAGTCCAGAAATCCGATTATCAAATTGATGACATTCTGTTCAATGTCGCTCGATCCTAATGTAGCACTAAATTTTGCACTCCCGATAGCGAATCGTATTCCATGCCTATTTGAAATCATCATAACGCATGAATATTATGATCAACCAGGATTTACAACGTTTGGCACACAAGCATTCGCCGATATCTCTTCTATATCAGTTATGCCTGAAGAGCAAGAGGTGGTGTTTGCTCCAATGGCGAACTTTCGCGTGAAATATGTTGGTGACCCGTCAATCCATTCTGACCGTCCTTGGGTACCAATTGTATTGGAGCCTGTATTGCGTACGGCACGTGATTTTAGTAATCACTATTTCAATATAATAAACTGTATCGAAACCGAAACAAACCCAACCTATTATACCGCTATACTAGACATGTTGCAAGAGAATATCACCGATGAATCTAACTTAAAGCAAACTAATTGGCAAATGTGGTGGAACAACTTGATCGAACAATGGGGAACAGATAAAATTCGTGAAGATCCAATAATCCTTACGTTCTATGATTGTTTTACAGACAATAATTACTGGTTACGAAAAGCGATCAAATTACGAAAGGAAATCTATCGTACTGAGTTCCATCGGAACTTGGATAACTTTTCCAGTTTCGCTATACTATTTAAACAATACAAGTATTCACAGCATATTCCCACCAGATGCATTGCTTTGTACGAAGATTATATAAAACCATTCTGTACAATACATTCGAGAGAAGTTATTGAATGCGTCTATCTCACAGGTCAAAAATATCAAGCGATCGGTGAATGGAACTGTGCGTTAGAATGCTATGAGAAATGTCTTTCGTTGGACATCGAAAATGAATATCTTTTCAAGAAGGGAATAGAAGAGCATCTGAAAAATGTACGAAAATGTCTGGAAAAGCCTCGACAAACGAAGAAACGTCCAAACGCAACGGTGCCAAAAACTATTGTGAAAGAAAATATGAATAACTATGAAGTATACGAAGAACAGTGGCCAATCCATTGGACGTTACAACATAATGGAAGTACGAAAATTCCCATAGACAAAAGACTTAGTTCACTAGAAAAGTATCTGATGAAAAGAAAAGATTGGCTCTATGCAGCTGATATTATGATTGTTCTTTGCATACCATACCAACAAGCTAGATATCTGCCGAAGAATATCAATCACTATTTTGCATTAGCAATGACAAGAAAGGAGTTTAATGATGATCACAAAGCAAATGCAATAAACAATCCGGCTCTCTGTTTATGGCGCTATGAGAAATACGTACGCGAATGGATGCTATTCCATGAATTAGAAAAATTCTTACGACCATTTGAAAACAAATCGAGGCTCCTCCAGATCTCAGTTCTTCCTAGACTGGTTAAATTGTTGGCTCAATTGAGCCTGCTGATCACGGTATGTGCTGCTTATGTGCGCAATGGACAAGGAAATCTTGGCATGGATTACGTTCGATTTATTAACATGAATAATTTGAAAATTCAACAATTGATTTTTTTCGATCTTAATGATCCAAATTTACGAACCGAGCTCGAGGAATATAAAGAAACAATTAATGATGACTCATATGATGACACGGATTGGAATCACACTGTAGCATCTTGGGATATTTACAGTAGACGAAAGAGCGTTGATGATTAAAAATAAAAATGATTTGTTAAAATATTTCTTTACCTTTTCTTCGCAACTTGACATAAATTCTATTGTATTATGCGTAAAAACTTGTATTGTTTACCTTGACTACCGATAAACAGCACGCTACGACAGCGAATTGACATTTGTTTTTTGTTAAATATGGGTTTCGGATGCAGTAAAATTGATCAACCTACTAATAGTATACAGCGACTCTCAATAACATCTAATGGATCCATTTTTAGTGCTGCTAGCCATACGACTCATGCAACTACTAAGAATATAATGGACAATATAGTTCATGATATCGACACTGAGCAATTAAAATTGAATGCATTCTATATTCGATTGACTGAAAACAAGATTAAAATCAAACAATTACTTGAACCTGTGTTGATAAATCATGAATTGATTGTTCTATTGAAAAAACGTTTGGTGAGTATCCTCGAGAAATGGAATTTATCTCCGACAGAACAATTGGATCAAACAGAGAAGTTAACTTTTCGAAATATAGCAATCTTCTTCTCTGAAATCGCTGAAAGGTTCAACTCAGACACACCGCCGACCATCTATCGAACTTTTCTATCGTCTATGCCATGTATATCAATCATGCAGCAGTGCTTAGACAACATGGCTGCTGATGGAAAACATATGACTGATCCGCATGATCAATACAATTTAGAAAGTTTCTCATATCTGCTCAACACTTTTCGAAGTTTCGACACTTCATCCGGTGACCATTCTATTGACGAAATACCATCCATATTTCCCTTACTCATATCTGTTAGCGATCTCATTCGTTCAAAATATTACAAGCAAACATTTCTTAATCTGTCACATGATGCCAACGAGTTTACCATCTTAGAACGTTTTCTCCTAGAAAGATGTCCTGGTTTTGTAAATGCCTACAAAGGAAAACGTTCGTCAGAAATCCATAATCGACTATTAGAACAATTATTCGATCAATCTGTGGAATTTTTAGAATATTTCTTACCGAATGTTCAAACCTGGACATCACCAGTCATTCTTGCGCTGACCCATGTAATCGATATCATGGTAAATGCATCATCCAGTGCTCAAACTCATATTTTTCAACATCCAAAAATCATTGAATATGTGCTAATCATCCTTTGCAATCAACGTCTTTGCTCGAAACTACCGTCCAAACAAATGACGCCTGAAACATGGCTCATCAATTCGATTCTGACTGGTCTTCATAATATGATCTACGATTCTAAACTTCTCGCAATTATACAACAGAAAACAGTCACATCGATTTTCCTGAATATTACTAGTATTTCCTCTTACGATCGTATTAGAATACATGCCTATCTGATCTTAGCTGGTATTTTGAACGAAGCTGAAATCAAACAATTGAACAATGCGAAAGAAATTACAACGGTTTTCCTCATATATTTGACGAAAGCAATGCAGTCGCCTGATCGAATGTTTCGAGGTGTGCCGCTGATAGCGATTCTTTGCGGCTTGAAAAGTATGTATTTACTCAGAAGTTTTCAATGGTATCTTTCGATGCGATTTATCTATTTGAATAGCTCTCGTGCAACATGATGAAATCAAGAGTGAAATGTTAGCACAAAATGGAAATTTAGAAACACTATCCACTGTTATTTTCAAAAGCAACGGTCAAGAATTAGCGCATGCATTGAGTATTCTGTGGACACTATCATTCGAAAAGAACGTAGCTTTAGCAATCATTAAGAACGACAAGCTAATCAGCCGAATACAAATTCTAGCGACAGAGACGACATCTAATACACAAATCGGTAGCACCATATCAAGCGCTGCACAAGGAATTCTGTGGCAAATTCAAGGTGAGAAAGAAAATGGAAAAGTTGTAAATGAATCTGATGAGCCAGTCTCGTCGTCGAATAAAGATCGTAAAACGTCAGGGAAAACGAAGAAATACGATCTTATGATCAGTTATGCGCATGACGATAAAGAGCTATGCCATCGAATTGCCGATCAATTGATTCGTGATGGCTTCAGCGTTTGGATCGATAAGAATAATATGACTGGTTCAACCCCCGCTGCCATAGCCGATGGCATTGAAAATAGTGAAATAGTCTTACTTGGAATGACCTACAGTTATAAAATTAGTCCATGGTGTCAACGAGAGGGCAACTATGCATTTCAACGTCAAACGAAAATCATTCCGCTCAAACTACCTCCTGCCTATTCACCAGATGGCTGGCTTGGTCTACTTGTGTCTAATTTGAATTATATCAATTTCTCCAAATTCGACTTCAGTACCGCATATGAACAACTGAAAGCAGAAATTCGCAAACTATCCAATACCAAAGTAGCGCAAGGGCCTGCCACGACCGATCCCGTAGGTGATACTGAATACGTCTATCCTCCACAATCGAATGGTCTCTACGCAACAATTCCGATTCAGAATTGGTCACAGCAACATGTCATTGATTTCATGAACGATAAAAAATTATACCCGTTAATTTTACTTTGCAAAGGAATGGATGGAGCTGCTCTATATCAGTTATACACGTTTTGTAACGACAATCCAACTGTCTCCTTCGACTCGCTACAGAAGAAACTGGAGAAAAAATTCAATAACTATGATCTTTCTCCGATTGAATACACAATTTTCATCAGTGAAATGAAAAAACTGACTATACTTGTTTAGAAATATACTTTTTATCGTTGTTTTAAAAGAGAAAGTTGCTCTGGCAGACTGATGTTTCCACCGATCTGCTTCTTTTCGTCATCGCAACATGTTTTTCCTATCTGAAGGAATCTCTACCTCTTGGTAAGTTGTAATAAGCAAAGTTACTAGTTTTAGTAAAACCGCGACATCGGCTTTGTCTGTACACATCCCACTTTCATATGTGCAGACGAACGAAGTAGCCACTTATTAGACTATACCCTCAGAGTTAACCATAAGTACAAGAAAAATTCTGTTGCGATGATGAGAAGATGCAGATAGGTGGAAATGCCAGTCTACCAGAGCAACCGTTTGTTCATTAAATCAAGGTGAAAAGAAAATGACTAGTACTATTATCTTCTCTTCTATTTCGTCGATATCTACTGTGCAGAACGAAGTTAGGACGAAGAAAGAAAGTGAGATGTGTACAGACAAACCAGATGTCGCGGTTTTACTAAAACTAGTAACTTTGCTTATTACAACTTACCAAGAGGTAGAGATTCCTTCAGATAGGAAAAACATGTTGCGATGACGAAAAGGCGCAGATCGGTGGAAACATCAGTCTGCCAGAGCAACTTTTCTCTTCTAAATATGAAAAGTGTTTCGTGTTTGGAAAGGAGTCCCAGAGCTCTATATGTAGAAGAGGGCAATATCGTGTGCTGTCAGAAGAAGAAGTGTGTATTATTCTATCGTTAGAATTTGGTATCATTTATTGCCTATTGGCCTAAACGCGTGCAACACGATGACGATATAAATAGAGTGACTTTGAGCGTGCTCTCACGATAGAGTGATGATGAATAAAAAAGTTATTATTGTGTCAAAATATGTGCCTACTAAGACAGGGTCAAATTTCTTGATCAACATATGAAATCTCCAACTCTTTGAATAAATCGACTAAATTCATTAAGAAGCCAAAAATTGAGCTTTTTAGCAGATATTAATGATCTCAATAATCTTAAGCATTAGATGAGATTTACTACGGAAATAAAGAAAACGAACTATGCTTCTTCATACTATTGACTATGCTTTTATAAAATGGCAACCATGCGCCTTCAATTTATTGACTTCAATACCATACCCTCCGAGGTGACGCGTTACGCGTATAAGCGGATATACAGCATAGATTAACAGCAGTTACTCATGCATTTTACTATTATCAACAATTTGTATCCTTCTATGCGTTCTATTAGCTTTATTTATTATCTATCCAATATATTAAAGGAAATGTTTATAAGGGGATGCTGGATTATCGCCAATATTTCTGTTCATCAACGTTAGTTTTTCCAACTGATCTATTTCTCCACGGATTGTGTCATTTGGCGAACAAAAAAAAGAAGACCGTCACATAGACTCGTTGATAATATGCGACAATCCAGAAAAACACATTCTCTCTTATACTGTACTGATGCAAACCTGTTCTTATAAGAATATAAATGCACTTTCTACAGAATTTTAAAGCTATCCACTTTTGGCGCCATTTATTAAACTGAGTTATAACTGATGGGTTGTTTCTGTATTATCAAATGAAGATAAAGACGCCAAAAGAATTCGCATATATATCCCATGTACAAATATAAAATGAACATATTGATTTTTCGTTTGCGAGCAAAAAAAATTTGTAAACAGGTACGTTGCTTTTCTTTCTCTCTTTAGTAATTTGCAATATATTTCAACATTTTAACCGCCAGAATACTTGGATCATACACATTCTTTTGCTTTTATCTCGTATTCCTTAAACTTAATATAACTGACGCTATTTAGACATTTCAAATATGAATAACGGAGGTTGTCGTGGTGGTCTTTTTCTAATATTGATTCAGAGGTACAATACTAACAAAAATATAACCGCATGGTTTTTTTTCACTAGCATTTGTTTGCATGAATTCATTTAGGAAAAAGCATCAACTTCCGTTGGAATAAACCATTTTGCAATATGTTTTTGTCTTTATGAATCTTTTCTTTTAAGAATCAATCTGTAACTACTAATTCTGTTGAAAGTGTTGTCAAGGCTGCGACCGCAAACATTCGTTTGCTTTATCAATCGCATTCGGCCACTACTCAACGACGACTTCCCAGGCCAAGCAGTCTGGTCCAGAACCGACTAGTTCCGGGATCTTTCGGGGATTTCATGGAAGCAGTGTTCCGATGACTAGATTCTGCCATCGAATTTACCTGATTTCTATGGGAACCGACGAGAACCTATCATAGCCGGTAGTCGGATATGATCCCCGGTAACCTGCGCAGATTTACAGGCAGTTTCCCATAGTATCCAAAGCCGAAAAAATAAATATCTTGCAAGTATTTATCGAAAATAAGCGGAATCCTGTTTCGAAGAACCATTGTTCTGGTTTGTATCAGAAAAAGAGTTAGAAAACGAAAATAAAAAGTGCATTGAAGAACTATGTCTTTCAGTAGGATAGTATTGAAATAATGATTTATTTCTCCGTTTGTCTTTTAGAATAACAAAGAACAAGTTCAGATAGATCAAATGATGAGCGATTATTTTCATATAGTTTCACAGCCCAGGTCGATCATTCTGGCGACTGGATTCGATTGAACCTGAGTTGGTTTCGGAATAATTCCAGCCGGACTCCAGCAGCAAGCAAGTCATTGGAGAACGAACTTAACCGGCTGAAAGCGACCGGACCACAATGCCCTGTGAACATCAAGAACAATTTGATCAATAAAGAAAAATACATTGATGAACTTGACAAACGAAGTAACGAAACTCAGAGTATGTGAAAATATTGTTTCTATATTTAAACAACTTCGTGATATGTTTAGAAGAAAGAGAGGTCAAGAAATAAAACAAATCTCAAATTTGGACTTGCCATATTCGTTTTATTACTGTACATATAGTTTATACATTGGAAGCAATTCAATTCAATTGAACGAGTTTCAGTATCCATCGACACATGCTCATCTATATGTTTATGAATAAATGATTAGTACGAATGATGCCGTAGTGAAGATAATTGTTATTATGCAGATGATTGTCAGGACATTTAAAAATTTCTCAATTGTCTCTTTCCTCTCTTAACAACAATCCTTCACTGAAACGAAATCTTTACGTCGTTTCTCCCTGACAATATTTTGATGATGTTCATTGTATCGTATCATAATGATATTGTACCAAATAAACTGATTCATGATCGAAAATGTTCATAGTTTATATAGAATTCTTTCAGAATAAAGACTCTGATCGATCTAACTAATATCACTGTTCTTCATATTCTTTTTGTAATCAAACAAATCTTCTGATATAAAGAAAATATCCTTAAGATGTCTTAGCTACTTGTCCTCGATCAACTTTTTCATTGAATTTAATTGCTGCTTCAGGTGATATATCAAATGAAAATATTTCCGATGGTAAAGAAAGTGTACAGCATGCATTTGGAACATCAACTATTGATGAAATACGACCTTCAATTGGTGCGGCTGCTAATAAACAATAAATTTGTTCTTCACTATAACCAAAATGTGTTAAATAGCGAATTGCTGCACGGCAGGCTTGACGATAAGCTAATGTTGCATCGAGAAAATGTTGTTTATTTTCGTCATCAACTGATATTCCTTGAAATGTTAAATATTTTGAATAACGTGGTTCAATTGGACCTGGTTGAATTAATGGATTTGTAATTGATAAACGAGACATTCCATTCTTGATTACATCAATATGTAAATCAATATAACCACTCTAAAATCAGAAAGATTGAAAAAAAAATACATTAACGAATATAGTACCATTTCAATAGCACCACAAAAAGAAATTTCTCCATCACCTTGAGAGAAATGAATATCACCTAAACTTAATTTTGCTCCTTTAACATAAACAGGTAAATAAACACGTGAACCACGTGAAATATTTTTAATATCATTATTTCCTCCATGTTCACGTGGTGGAATTGTTCGTGCTCCTTCATTAGCAATTTTTTTCCAAAGATCTTTATTATCCTGATATTTTAATTGACCCAATAAAGCATTTTTTTCATTTGGTGGATTAGCTAAAACAGCATCTTTATGATGCAAATGTGAACATTGATTAATTAGATCTTTTTCACGTTTATTCCAATGATGTAATAAATCATATGATGGAGCACAACCAATAATACCTTAATAAAAAATTCTTCATTAAAAGAAAATAGATTAGTTTATTGTAACCTGGATGTGTTAAACCAGCAAATCGAACATCTTTTATGTGACGACTTGTTGCATAAATTCCTTGAAAATCCCAAATCACTTTTCTTGCATGAGGATAATAATCACTTAAGAATCCTCCACCATTTTTTCTATCAAAAATTCCAGTAAAACCCCACATTGAAGATGAAAGTGGGCCAACATCAAGAATATCAACAACAAGAAGGTCACCAGGATGAGTATCTTCAACTTCAATCGGGCCTGATAAATAATGAATACGTGTTAAATCAACATTTTTAACATCATCAGCTGAATCATTATTTTGAATTTGTCCACCTGTCCAATCAACACATTCAATACGAAATATTTCATTTCGACGCACAGAAACAACACTTGGAATATCTGGATGCCAACGATTATGAAGTGGAATTATTTGATCAGTTGCTGATCGATTTAAATCAACACTTATTAACGGCTTTGATGCATAAGATACAGTCGTGGATAATGCTCGACGAAAATGTAACATTACTTTAAACATTCTTTGCTTTTCTCATACAAATAGTCACTGTGTCCTTTTAGATAAAGTCATTTGATACGCACTTTGATAAATCTATATATATATTTAACCTTTTCTCTAGGCGAGAGATTCTTTTATAAGAAAAAAAGATAAAAATTTCTTTCTATTTTATCGACTACGTTCTTTATTGTATTTATATCAGTAACAAAGTAAATAAATTAAAATTTTAAGATTCGTTATTTTCATTTTGTATTTTATATTTAATTAAATAAAATTTATTGTGTACTCAAAAAGTGAGTACACTACTTGAATCGGCCAGTGTGTCTGTCCCGACCGTTTACACGGTAGCTTTCGATAGCAGAATTAGATTCAGCTGAAATTTTCTCGAATCCTTGTATATAAGTTTGCATGTTTGTGTGCTTATTCAGTGTGCATTCATTTTCCATATTAATTATGGTCGCCAAACTTTCCATGCTAATTCCTTAGGTCTTAAAATACATCGAGAGGGTGGTGATTAACTAGTGAAAGGTTGGTCATGGGTGTGACCTGAGGATGGGATTTCACCCAAGTAGTACTACAGTGAAGATGACGCGCAAGTTTGCATGCAACTTTGGTAGGTCGAGGAAAACCCTTTGGTGAACCAGTGAAGACAACTCAGGCGAAAGTTCTCCATCTGACTTTGTGACAGAGAAACCCACAAATCATGCAACTACATGATAGGGATCCGCTGGAGGATCTAGGTGTATTTCGCCCGAACCATTATAGATGTGTTGCCCACAGTACGTCACTGACAACAGATTTGAAGCATCCTGTTAGTATAGCCAACTGAAAGCGTGAGTGCATTACTAGAACTTGCCCATGGATGGACAATTCGTCGCAGAGTTAATTAAACGTAATAGGATTACGAAAATATACAGGTAGATGGAGACAGGCATACGTCTCCCGAAAACAACTATGTCTGTAAACAATTAACACAATCCGGTGTGACAAGTTTAACATGTATTACGTCAAGGAAACCTGGACACCGTTGAGTAGTATACATTTTATGATTAGTTTTCATTTGAGGCTTTCGACGTAAGGAATTTCAAAGTCTCAATAGATGGTAAAAACAGCTATTTGTATTCTAGTGGAATGTGGTCTATCAGAAAGATAATGGTTGAAAACTAATCTCGATTTCATGAGAATAACTTCTCTAGTTCCATTAACAACAGGCAACACATTTCAAAGGAAAGAAATGGAAATTTAGTAAATAAACTACTACGAAACCCATGAACGTTTTCTTAGATTATTTTTTCATAGGCAGACACAAGTTGATCTTCTCTGTGATCTATGCTACTGGAAACCACTTGCTAGACGAAAGAGAATCGAACTTTGCTTGGTACTCGATAAATTAATATTTCACCTTGGAAAGCTTTCGAACACGTTTTTTTGAGGGTTTAAACGCTGTTTTAGTTTTTTGTACTTTGATAATATCTGATCTTAGATCCTTTCAAATTTGTTCAGATTTTGTTGTTGGAAATACCATCAGAGCATTGGCTTCATTACACATTACCAAAAGGATTATTGACGAATGAGTAGTTTTCGTATTAATTAAATAACGTTTGCAGCTATGTCAACCAATAACAGATCATTTTTCAATGTATAATAATTATAGTATACACGTGCGACGAATTGCCCATGTGCCGTTATGATCAGTTACGCGGATCACGATAAAGAGCTATACCATCGAATTGCCGATGGCATTGAAAATAGTGAAATAGTCTTACTTGGAATGACCTACAGTTATAAAATTAGTCCATGGTGTCAACGAGAGGGCAACTATGCATTTCAACGTCAAACGAAAATCATTCCGCTCAAACTACCTCCTGCCTATTCACCAGATGGCTGGCTTGGTCTACTTGTGTCTAATTTGAATTATATCAATTTCTCCAAATTTGACTTCAGTGCTGAATACGTCTATCCTCCACAATCGAATGGTCTCTACGCAACAATTCCGATTCAGAATTGGTCACAGCAACATGTCATTGATTTCATGAACGATAAAAAATTATACCCGTTAATTTTACTTTGCAAAGGAATGGATGGAGCTGCTCTATATCAGTTATACACGTTTTGTAACGACAATCCAACTGTCTCCTTCGACTCTCTACAGAAGAAACTGGAGAAAAAATTCAATAACTATGATCTCTCTCCGATTGAATACACAAGTTTCATAAGTGAAATGAAAAAACTGACTATACTTGTCGAAAAATATACTTTTTATCGTTGTTTTAAAAGAGAAAGTTGCTCTGGCAGACTGATGTTTCCACCGATCTGCTTCTTTTCGTCATCGCAACATGTTTTTTCTATCTGAAGGAATCTCTACCTCTTGGTAAGTTGTAATAAGCAAAGTTCCTGGTTTTAGTAAAACCGCGACATCGGTTTTGTCTGTACACATCCCACTTTCACATGTGCAGACGAACGAAGTAGCCACTTATTAGACTATACCCTCAGAGGTAACCATAAGTACAAGAAAAATTCTGTTGCGATGATGAGAAGGTGCAGATAGGTGGAAATGCCAGTCTACCAGAGCAACCGTTTGTTCATTAAATCAAGGTGAAAAGAAAATGACTAGTACTATTATCTTCTCTTCTGTTTCGTCGATATCTACTATGCGGAACGAAGTTAGGACGAAGAAAGAAAGTGAGATGTGTACAGACCAACTAGATGTCGTGGTTTTACTAAAGCTAGTATCTTTGCTTATTACAACTTACCAAGAGGTAGAGATTCCTTCAGATAGGAAAAGCATGTTGCGATGACGAAAAGACGCAGATCGATGGAAACATCAGTCTGCCAGAGCAACTTTTCTCTTCTAAATATGAAAAGTGTTTGGAAAGGAGTCCGAAAGCTCTATATGTAGAAGAGGGCAATATCGTGTGCTGTGACGAATATGTGATAAATAACTGTTTGTTTTTGAAGCAATTATTGATGAATATGAGCGTAGAAAAAATATGACGGTTGATGTATTTTTCGTTCTGTACAACGTGACGAGTGTTGTTTGCGAACATAACGAACGTAGAAAGCACTTCTTGGTCTGTGCATCACAATGGATGATTGTAGAGATGAGGTGTTACCGCTGAATACGATACGAACGAATTCACGAGAAGAGATGGAGGACGAGTGTTCGAAGGATCACGATAGGATCTACTGGCGTCTTTTCTTTTTGAGTATAGTTGCTCTATGGATGTATCAAACGCTGGTAACTGCACAAAATTACTATGTGAAGTTCTATCCAACAAGCCATGTAGAATTTTGGGGAGTTTTCGTCTACGGAATTTGTGTGTTTCTTGCGAATATATTACAATTAACAGGTGTTTATAAATATGGTTTCACCAAACGAATAATATCTGGACTTATCGGTTGCATTGTTGTCGGCACTTTTCTTATATGCTGGAGTAATCCGAACATATTACTGGTTGCTTTTGCAATTACTGGTGGTTTGAACACATTAATTGAATCGCCTATATATGCCATCGGTGGTTTCTTTCCTCGTGAATCATTTTTACAAGCTATTCAAGTGGGTGCTGCGATAGCCGGAATCGTTAATGTTATAGTCAATACCATCATACGTCTAGCGGTTCTACTTGTTCACAGTAGTATTGATCATGATCAATTAGCATTTTACATATTTATCAGTGTGGAAATTTTTCTATGTTTTGTTGCCATGTATGTTTATCATCAATTGATACGTATTCCATCAGTGGATATTCGAATCAAACAGCAAATGTTAGCATTTCAGCAAGAAAAGACTGGTACTCGTACTCGGGTTGAGCTAAATTTGATTGAGGATGAACATTCTTATTGGGCGTTGATTAAGATTGTAAAAATTCATTTATTTGTACAATTCTACACGCTTTTCATTACGTTAGCACTGTGGCCAGGCGTATCTTGTAATGTGACTACACACGGTTGGTTCAAATATGATGGCCATCTTTGGTGGTGTTCACCATTCGTTGTAGGGGCGTACAATTTAGGAGATTTAATTGGGCGGATCTGTGCAAATAGTGTCAACCAGTATTTTTCATCGAAAATATGTTTATTTTCATCATTACTCAGAACTATATTTGTTCTGATTATCTTCTTTCGTCATAGTATAAATAATATTCTTTTTCTCATCATTGTTACTTTACTAGGAATCACCAATGGTCTTGTAACAACTGTTTCGTTGATGAACTGTACAAAGGTAATCACCGGAATTAATAATTATGAAAGAGCCATGTATCTGATGGTAACAGCGTTATACTTTGGAATTGCTTGTGGCTCGATCTTCGCGGCAATTCTAACAATCATCAATTTTGTTTAATGTACCTTTTTCCCTTGGAGGCTTTGTCAGTAGATGCGGAGCAAAGTATTCAAAGAAATACCGTTGAGTAAGAACAAGGTTTGACAGAAATGTTATTAATAATTAATTAGATTTGGTATAACAAATAACTTGCACAGATGTGTGTGAAAACCAATAGCATGATTTGGCTGTATATGGATGAAGTTATTTGTGATTATAGCACAATTTTGAAATAGATTGTTTATAGTCTTTGAGTGTGGAAGACAATCGAAGTCATAAAGATCGCTCGTTTATCAAATAATGTCTTTGCAGTACAAAAACTTCAGTTCAATTGCTGGGCATCTCAATGATCTTACTATCATTATCAATTCTGTCTGCTATGATAGTCTAATTTTTGCCATCAGAGTAACGTAGAAGAAAATAACTGAAAATTTTCCAGTTCTCGCATCTAAAACAGTTCAGATATGTTCAATTCAAAACAGATAACTACAATGAATGAAAATTATTACAAGTGAACGCCAGTTATCTCAGTGATGTATCATCTTGTACACCCTCTGGATGCAGTTTTTTCTTTTTCTTCCTAAGCCGAAGCGCAGCAGCTATCAACTTTGATACTCTATGCCAAACACGCCATGCTGGCAGAAAGAGACGAACGCAGGAAAAAGAAGATATTATTTTAGTCACACAAAATGCATATAATTGGTCTAGAGTTTTTCATCGAATATTACTCATTGCACACTATACGTGAGTTTCCATGTGGCAAACAGAAATTCAGCTGACTGATACAGGGCTTGGACAGAGTTTATCGAGTAGGAATGTAGCTATCGTGACGATACATCGAGAGTAGAATGAATCTAAGTTTCGTCCCTTTTTCTCCAAAATAAAAATATCGTTACATGAGCTTACTCCATTTTTGTACTCATTTCAATATAAACATGACATATTGGCATAAGTCAAACTTCAAATAGAGCTTTTTACGTGTTTCTCTTTTCATGTCGTTTGCTGAGCCGCGACTTGTTCTTTCTGCGCGAGTCATGAAGTCAAAGATTTGATCTTCATTGTACTATATAGCGAGCGACAGAAGTATCGAGCGAACACGTCGAAAAGAATCAATGATCAAGGACAAGTTTATTGCTAAACTATTAATTGTAGATTCTTGACTTCATGAGCTCTCATCATGGCCCGTTATTTTCGGAAAAGAGCATCTGGTACTAGTCCTGAACAACACGTGTGCACTTCTATGGAGAATGCTCTGATTAAACTAACACAACGCTTTCATGGTGTCAGCCGACTGGGAGAAGTTCTTTATTTGCAAGGGCCATACATCTCTCTCGAGCAGCTGAACGCAGCTGCTGCTCGTGTTCGAAGAAGACGAAATGCTACAACTACCTGTAGAAGAACTACCACGCAAGCGCGAGGAACGTGATCGTTTTTGGCTTCAAGAATGGCCCAGACGAGAAAAGGAGCCCATCAACATCGGTGATTCAATGGCTAAACTGTGGTTGTTACAAGTAAGAGTCCAATCACGCGAGATTATAGGAAAAGCAATACATGAAGATTATTTTAGGATCCGAATGATAAAGACGATCCAAATGGATTTCGCGAAGTGGTGCTCATGTGTGAGAATTGCATTTCTGATGGTCAGTCTGTGAGTAATGCTGCACATCCTCTCGAACAAGACTGTGCATGCATGCGAGCAACCGTTGCCTTGGGGATTTCGATGGAGGCTGCGATTCGTAGCAGTCTGTCGGTTGTTAATCGAATTCTCACGCTGAGTCGATTCTCTTTCTCCACAATTCATACACTTATAGCTAACAGATTACCCGTTGCAAGAGTGTCCTTCGCCGAAGTTGATTTCGATATCAATGAGATGGATCAATATTGCCATACGGAAATTGTTCACGGCGTGTTGAACAAAGAAATGACGGCCAAGTTACTAGTAAAATGTCGTCAGAAAGGAGTAACGGTGACACCTGCTGTGACCAGCACTATCTTAGCGATAACGGCTGCCGTTCGTTGAACAATACGGTCAATGGTGTCCTGACGATGATGTTCGGCATCGCCTATCCTCTCATTCCTGCGAGCGCATTGATGACTATTCGCAATCGATGCATGGACACACTACAGCAAACAATAGACAACTAGATTACTTTATCGGTGTGACCACTACCAAGCAGATCATCTCGACAAATCACTCGTGCCTTACAGGCTTATGAGAGAACCGAACCGATATCAGTAGTTGATTATATCTCTTTTCTGATCCTTTCGAGAATAAATCTGTGAAGAAAAATGTTTTTCTGTCAGACGAATAGTTCCGTTCATCCGCACACTATGGTCATCGAATCTACCTGTGTTGAGGTTTTGTAATAAGCGATTTTATTTTATAAAGGACTTTGTTTTGCACGTATCATTAGATCGGATTCATAATTAATGAATAATGGTTCATAATCGCCTAGGATAGAATGTCTCTTAACGAGTTAAGAAATGTAAAACCAAGTATTTTGGATTAATACTGTGCACTTATTTTAAGTATAGGCAACGCGAAGAAATAGGTAAAGTGCTTGCAAGAGATAACTCAGCTGTACTGTGGTGTTCTATTATAAAACTCCTCTCTTTTATATCACACGGATGTTTTTACGCATCTCTTTGTTAAGGAATCTAAATATGAAGAGGTAATTGGTTGTTTTGTAACTCTAGTGAAGTAAAAGGCCGAGATGTTAAATTGTAGATTCATTTTTTCATAGTCTAGAGAAATTATACTTTAAACTTTTCCTTTCAATCCGTATATTTCACAAGAACAATATACTGAAATATAATCTTCGCTTGAATTCGCACACAGAATGTGAACCAATTGATATTATAGATGTTACAATGACTCCATAAGTCAGCAGTAGTAGTATGCTTTGCAAACAGATTTAGTTATATTTGATTAGCATAGCTCATTTATTCATGCATAAAAGACAAAGAAAAACAAAGTATCTGGTTTTTTTATTTACGACAAATCCAAATTGAATCTGAATGGTTATTTTCTAATAGAATATGTGATGGAGGTAAACTATCGCGTAAGAATTCAAGCAGAACATTGGTTTCCAAAAGTTCCCATCGTGAGAAAACAGGCTGATAAAATCGACACAAAACATTCAATAGCCGAAGTTGCGGTAAGTTAAGAAGAGTTCGTATACTATTATGATCGTTAACCCTAATTAGAAGTTCTTCACATTGCCAGCCCAGTGATACTTCTGCAATGGCTTTACATTCTTCGACGGTGAAAACATGCTGTAAAGTGGTATATTCAGCCATTCGGAGATCGAGCCGACGCAGTGATGGACTTGTGTTACCTACTATAGGTGTTTGAGAATCTGGCCATGACTTTATACTCAATGAATAAAGACAAGGAGCTCGATCGAGAAGGAGTTGTAAACAACGATCAGCATTATTGTATCTTGATGATACGGTTAGCGAATTTAATCGATGAAATGTTGGAAGAAATTCAAAGAGACGATCATTAAACGGTAAATCAATGGTCAGGTTCCGAATATTGTGTACTTGTATACGAAGAATAAAAGCATTTTTAATTGTATGCACTCGATCGTAGTGATGAGAAGAATTGAGAGCTTGTGGCAGAGTCGATCGATCGTTGCTCGCACTAACGTATCGAGTTAAGTCATTGAATACATAAGGTAGCGTATAAAGATAAATATCCAGACTATGTGATGTCTGATAATAGTGAGAACGAATATACCAATGATGCTTTTCCAACCAGAAATACGAACGAAATGAATTGATAAAATCGTCTACATTTTCATGATTTTTTCGTTTAGCAGATAATTCAATGTACATTCTTAAATGAAAGACGGTTAGTTTTGGTAAATATCGATCAATTAAAGATTCCAATCGATGTCCACCACAATAAATACAACATGCGTCAAATCTTTATTGAGTTAAGTTAGGTGTTGATTTCAAAACTTTCTCCATGACATCGAATGACCGAACATCGGATAAGTTTAACATAGATATTGACGGCCATACTGGAAGTGTTTGTTTATGATCTTCATTTAAGTTGTTCAGAGGTATATGAAGATATAGAAGTGATCGCGTTTGTCGAATGATACCATCGATTAGTGTCAGATCACCGACATCACAGAGAATCGAAACATACGTCAGCGTGACTGAGATAGTAGTCGGCAGGGAAAATCTGTCTGATGTCTTTAAGCGAAAATGTGCCAATTTAGGTAAACCCCAAACCGCATTCGAAAAGTTCTGATCTATCGCAGAGGGTCGAGAAGATTGAAACACTTTCAGATGAGTGAGATGTGGCATTCCATAACAACTAAGTACCAGACTAAACGCGTCGCTGCTATTAACATATAACAACGAAACGGATCGTAAATGCGTGAATTCTTCCAGTGATATACCAATAGAGGCGAATATGTTCATTTGTGATGGATATTCATTGCTCTCACCAAATAGACGTAATGAAATGATTTGATCAACGATTGTTCTTAGATACGACTGGCATTGACTAGCGTAGCCATATTTCATCATGGAATGGAAATTAAGGTGAGAAGATCGACATTTATCGAAAAGGATTGTATTAAAACGATTATTAAGACCATAGAATATTTGAAAGAGTTCTGGAGCATCAAAATATTCGAATAGTTCAATTAATAACTCATCGGGCAATCTTTCCAACGTCATCTTGAATGCGTTTTGTAGGTATGTATGATTTTGCAAAGGAAATCTAAAACATATGCATAAGTAACTTAAATCGCAAGGAAAGAAAGAAAAAGTATTTATTTAAGATATTTTTATTCCGAGCAAAACTCTCCTCAGAAGTTGCAGATTTCAATGAGTATTCGTTGATAACATCTGCTCAAAATATATATCATTGTGATACTCAAGATTGCCTCAATGAAAGAGTAACCAATGAGGAATTTAATTATTCGCTTAAATGATCTGATCGCCGATTATTCTGGGCAAATTGTAGCAGACTGCGATCAAAAGTGATTGTATATTCATTGACAAACTTTTCCAATCGCTTTTATTCTTGGTTATATATACCATGAGATATTCGTGTATAAAAATTAAACAATAAAAAAACGAATCGTTTATGTTGTTTTATATTTATCCATATAGATCGTCATCATCGGCGTAAGTTTTCGATGCTTGTTTACCTTCAGGATTGTCAGCAGATTTCGGAAATAGGAAATTGAATCTCTCAAATGGCTGCCATTTTTGAGTAAAAACTTCGTATTTTTTATATTCATCATTGGACAGACACAGACGGGGCAGAGTTCGCCATATTTGTTCAAAATGATCTCTTCGGATGCAAACATCTGAGTGAATATCTGGATTCAATCGCTCCTTCTGTGACTCGTTTTCAACCATTTCTCGAATAGCTATTTTACATGCTCTTTGACAAAATTCGACAACATCAGCGCCTGTAGCTCCTTGTAAGGCTTGGGCTATAGATATTATATCAGCACCTGTCATTTCAGAATAACTTTTCAATGTGATATTGATGATAGTTTCTCGAGCTTTTTGATCAGGAAGTGGAACAAACACTTTCTCATCCAAACGACCTGAAACAAAACTCAAGCAATTAGCATTATCAAAAAACAAATGGAAATTTGTACCGGGTCGAAGAAATGTTTGGTGAAACAACTCAGGCCGATTTGTTGTCGCAATTAGAATGACTTGTGACTGAGGAGTGAGTCCATCGATCTCCGTCAACAACTGATTGGTAATATGATCCATTGTCTGGTTTTCAACTGTAGATAGGTGATTGAAATGTAATATTTATGTTATATATACTTACACACATAATCAAGTTCGTCGATAAGGAGTATGCACGGAGCAGTCTGACGAGCTTTATCGAATGCTGCACGAAGATTAACTTCGGCAGTATCCCATCGCGTAGCAACTAACTCAAGCCCTTTGAGCACCAACAAGTTTATATCACATTCATTAGCAAGTGCTTTGGCTAACATTGTTTTACCTGAATAGAAAAAATCGATCACTGATGTGAATTCCTAAGTCTTTATGCTAAAAAACCTTACCACAGCCAGGTGGGCCATATAGAAGAATACCCGTTGGAAATCGTAGACCGAATGTAAGAAATTTGTGGTTGGTATTTTGAAAGTTTAAAATCCCCTGAACACTTTCTTGTAAACACTTTTTGATATCGTCATAACCAGCAACATCAAGAAAATCAACTTCATTGCTGGAGTATTGTTCTTCGATTCGACTGATTGGTTCACCTTTGTAGTCAATGACTGTTTCTGGTGCGACGATACAGTACGGATTTGGATCTGTTTCTATAACTTTAAATTCTACTGTATTCGTTCCTATTTGACGATTGAATGTATCGCCAATGTAAACTGGTCGATAAGCATCACGAAAATAAGATTGTAAATGCTCGTTTAACATATCATCAGTAATATCACTTAGAAGATCAGCATATGGCAAAATATAAACACGTTTACCATAATTAACATGTTGACATTCTTGAAATGTAACAATATCACCTGATTGAACTCGTAGATTATGCTGCATGACTTTATTCATTCGTATACGATCGTGTTGGCATGAATCGTCCGATAATACCAATGAAACTGTTTGTCGTCGTTTTCTTCCTTTGAATTTCGCAGCATCACCGCAAAATAATTGTAACTTTTCCATTGTTTCCGATGACAATCTAACCACACTATTATCATCATCAAGAGCATCTTCAACGATAAATCGATTTGATTGATCTGTCATTGATACTGTGAATGAAATTACTCAATTTGCGAGTATGATGACATAACGTACTTATATAGGGTGGCAAAATAGCATTGCCTGTTATATAGACGAATCGTTGTCGTTTTGCCTTTTCCGTTCTTTCATAGTAAATCTGACTCATTCGACATGCTCATAGAGCACACTTTTATTTTTTGTTGGTGCTGAGCCTCATTTGAATCCCATTTGTCGTCATCTCGGTTGACATCGAAATAGTCTGACTTGGTGTAGAATTTTTCAAAACAATACTTTTTAATTGGGGTATGGAAAAGGTTAATGTTACGCTTAATCCTGTCAGACACACACCTGCTATCAACCATGTGACGCGTGATGTTAATGGATGGATATTTCCGGTAATCAACGATCGTATTAGGAAAAACACTACAGGAGCACCAGCTAGTGTTAGCAAACCAACTGTAATAAGTATCCGTTGAATGACTACAACATCACGGCTCTGTCGACGTCGAATAATTTTTGTTTGAGTCTTCCGTTCTCTATAGATATACATCGTAATACGAATGTAGATTGCTAGTATACAAACGATTGGAATAATATAAATACTAAATATCGCCCATAGAATACCCCGAAAATTCGCCTGGGAAACAAAGCAATAATGTTCGCGGGGGAGATAAACCACCGCCTTCCAAAAGAAAAGTGGACAAAGTAGTACAAGCGATAGACTAATCTGAACTAATGGTGTTATTATATAAAATCGCGTACGTTGAAAGCATCGACACTGTTGGTGAATTACACGAGACAACCGATAGAGCGCCTAGAAAGAGAAAACGACTTCTTCAATCTGGAACAAAGTTCCTAGTTGTCTGGTCTATACCTTAGAAACCGAAGCCATGTAAATATTTGAACTAGCAACAATTAGAAGATTTCCTAAGACTATACATCGTTTCGATTGAAAGTGACTACCATACACATCACCGATGATTGTTTGAGTATGAAAGATTGTCAAAAGAATTGTACATGTCATTATGAAAAAGTACAGATTCGAACTATGAAGAATAACTATTTTGTCGTCTTGACTGACACGTTTTAAAAAAAGGTGATAGATACATTTAATCAAAACAATCAATGATACGAGACATGTAAATGAACTATTACCAATTGTAATTAAAGTTAAAACAGAGTGACAGACTTGACTTCTATCCAACATATTCAGTGAAGTACAATGTGATTGTCTACGAAGTATAAATTGTTCATGGGTTTCTAGAGTTCGCCGGTGTTGACCAGATTTTAGTCTGAAAAGATAAAAACATGAGGTTTATTTTTATATGAACCATGTAAATATGAACGCTAAGTGTAAATCGAGAACTAAGCTTTTTGTCCTTGTTTGAATGTAGTGAACAGAAGTTCTACTCGATATTAGGTACTGATATATGATTAAAAATGAACATTTCTCGTCTAATACGTTTACAAGATATGCTCATGATTTCCCTAATGGGAAAAGGTTTGCCACTTCCAACTTGAACTAAATACTAAGTAATACTTCATGAGATGGTAAATATATCCGTTGAAATAAAGAACAGAATACGAAATTAAGTGTGATTATACTAAATACTTAGGTTAAGTATATTCATAATCTTTTCTTAGTAGTTATGTATTATTTAATCTATTGAAGCCAAAATAAACCATGAAAATTCTTAAAATAATTCTTTTTAATAACTTTAACCGTGGGCGATAAATCATAGTTGGTCATTCGCTTCTCGTCGTATGGTGAACGATCATTAGCTTGTCTGCTGATAATAAAAGAGTAGAATTGACATTTATATTCTATTAATAAAACGAGAGAATGTACTTTGTCTTTTTCAAATATCTAAATCATTCTCATCAGCGTTGATGTGTCAAAACAACTTAATTTGAGCATAATTAGCCGCTTCAAGCGTATCGACTAAATCCTTTTTAGTGTTAATAATAGCTTAGATTAGTTGACGTCAGTTTTAATGCAACATGGGATGGGTGAGGATGAAAGAATTAAGAATATCGATCTAGTGATAAGATACGCAACGAAGTCGATACATTAGGTTGGACTATCGAACCAAATGAATAGAAGCTTAGCGTTATCCTCACATTGTTTACTTTGACTGAAACGGCCGTAAAAATCCATCTGAAAGGATCTTGAAATAAAAACTAATGCGAATAATAGCTGATAATCCGTTTCTTTCTCGCTTGAATAGTCATATTCATGATGGTTTACGGTTGTGAAATTACAGCTTCAAGAAATGAAATATCAAAGTTGTATAGATTGGTATTTCTCGTATGAGAAAGATAAACATACCCCGCCGGTAGACGAATTGCTTTGTTGTTTCTTTCTGTACTACAAAGAAACATCTGCATTCCTAATTGCAAGCAATCACATAGCTAATTATCTTCTAATCGATATTTCTCACACCTCATCAAAGTTATGTTAGCCAGACGGTATCCCATGACGAGCCGTTCGTTTCATCGTATTTATAGATGTGTACTCACTGAACATTAGATCGTACCTATTGCAGAAGGGAAAAAGATGAAGTCGAAATTGTTATCTACATTGGCAATAGTTACGCTACTGACGCTGATGAAGGCAAATCCTATATGTAAGTTAATACAATGAAGTCTTTATCATAGAAGGTGGTATTCGTTGTTTTTCTTGATTAGTTGAACCAACAGAATTGAAAAATACGTATGGCAATCGCTACGAAAATCTTTTCTTCGGTATCACGATTGACAAGCCGGAAGGATGGCATCTGATGAATACAACACAATTAACTACTGTAGTTCAGCAGTATGGTGATGCAAGAGTGATCAATAGTAGTGATTTGATTGGATTAACCGCTGCAAGATTAAAAAACAAGTTATTACCTCTCTTCAGTTTTGTAAAATATCCATATGGAACACGAGATAAATCCAATCCAACTATTGTATGTATAATTGAAAGTGTACCAGAGAATACTGGACTGAACAACGAGTGTGAACCCGTTCCGTATCCAAACAATGCTAATGAAAGTAATTGCCGTGTTATTACCTTGAATGGCTATACTTTTACTAGAAAACAGTCGATGATGAACTTAGATGATGGCAAAGTGATTAAACAAATTCAGTATACAAGAAAAACCAAAGACGGCTATTATTTCTTGTTTACATTAAGTTATGATGATGATACGAGCAAACAAGATCTTGAAAATGTTATGAAAAGTTTGAAAATATCGCACGAATAAATGTGTTTTTGTGTGGTACATTTTGTTGTTGTTGAAAATAAACTCTCGTTCTTTATTGACCAAAAACAAAATTAAGGTCAACAGAATACTAGTACACATGTTTTCTGCCTATAAGAATGATGCAAAGGGACAGCAAAAATGTCCAACTAGTTAAATCAGCAGTATCTCCTGTTGATTCACCAACACAGGTTCTCTACTACATTTGTGATCATTCGACCGTTGCGTCTTGTTTGTTGGCAATTACATGTCATTGTTAGCATGTACGCTCACTATGAACTCGACATGGGTTCAGTGTTAAAATCCGGTATGACGTGTATCCATCGTCAAGCTGATCCGTCAGCTATCAGATCATTGATAGTAGCTCTGAACACATGAAACGTTCAAGATTTGTTTGATATAATGGCATTAAGCACAGTAATTGTAAGTTACTTGATGGATTGTAGCAAAACAAAGTAATATACATATGCGGTTCAATCAATCACCATTTGGCTACTTGTTTTTGATAGACACTTACTTCGTTGTGCCACCGAGTATATGACATGGAAGACAATGATGCTGATACAACAGAGCAGAGTGTCAAACGTGTACTTGCCGTTTTCGTCGAACCCTATCACCTTCAATCTACGATTGAATAAAATTGATAATACTACGGTGTTTTGTTTAGTTGAAGTATTGAAAAAGTACTCGCTCAGCCGTTGGAGATAAGCATTGGTAAAGAGAAAAATATGTCACATTGATGTAATGCGACATCCACTGATTTTTCTTTCTCCCATTCCTATTGCATCACTTTTCCTTCCAATATTTTTCCTTCGTGAAACCCGTTTGCATGATATCGATTCGTTTTCATCGTTCAGTTTGATAATTAGAAAGTTTTACTTTAATTATCGCAATGAACCCGAAAATTGTCATCATCGGTGGCGGTTTAGGTGGATTTGCCGTTGGTGTGGGATTGCTGCAACATGGATTCACTAATGTCACAGTATACGAACGAGATACCGGCATGGACAGTCGTCGTCAGGGTTATGGATTAACTATTCTACAAGGAATCAGCGCATTAAAACGGTTAAATGTATTCGAAGAAGTGCATTCACTCGATACACCTTCACGATCACATTATATTTTTGATAAAGACGGAGGTATGATCGGTTTTTTCGGAACTATATTCTGGCCAGAAGCGGATAGTCAACCAAAAGCAAATAAGAAGCATAATCTACATAGTGAAAGACAAGAATTACGACGAATTCTCATGAATCGATACATTTCCATACATCCACTCGGCGCAGGTGGTACTCAATGGAATTATCGACTTTCTCAGATCGACCGTGCTGCACGTACAGTTTCGTTCACAAACGAATGTACAGTGACGGACGTTGATGTTGTCATCGGTGCTGATGGAATTAACGGTTTAGTTCGTTCATTTAAATACGATCCAGCCATTGATAAACCTTTAAACTATTTGGGTATGCTAGTAGTGCTAGGAATCACGGGAAATATCGATCATTATCTAGCGAAGGATCGTGTGTTTCAAACCATGGATGGATGCTTTCGTCTTTTCGCTATGCCGTTCTCCAAATCTCGACCAGACGAATCGATTATGTGGCAACTTTCGTTTCCCGCTTCACAAGAATATGCTACGGAATTATCTCGAAATTCGGAAATGTTAAAGCAAATGCTCGCGGACAAATGTGCTGATTGGCACGCTCCCATACCGGAAATGATTGCGAAAACAAAACTAAATCTTCTAATGGGTATACCAGCATTCGATCGAGATTTAATGGAAATTCCCGATGACGACAAAACTGGTATTCAAATTGCTTTGATTGGCGATGCTGCCCATCCAATGTCTCCATTCAAAGGCCAAGGTGCTAATCAAGCTCTTCTCGATGCTGTCGATTTAAGCGACACAATCGCTCGAAATCAATCCGACTTACCTGCTGCTGTTAAACAGTATGAAGATCGAATGATCAAACGTGTGTATTCAAAGGTGATGCAATCGCGAGAGCGTGTAACAAGTTTTCATCGACCGGAAGTGCTTTCAACAGAGAACTTTTCCTATCGTGGTGTGGATGACGCATTGATGCAAAGGCTAAATAAGCTCAAAATTAATGCTACATGGAACGATCCCAATATCTCCATTGAACAGGCAATAGCTGATGAATTAAATGAAAATATTTCCAGTGCAGAAAAAAGTAATGAAAATCTGTTCTGTTACTCGTCGATATGAATGAATGTCTTCACTTCAGATTGAATGATATCAAACGTAGTCCATTATAGTGGTGATCCAGCGATGTGGTACGAATTGAACAATTGAATTAATTTGAGAAGAGTTTGATCGAAACTGCCATCAACGAATCCTTTTCGCTCAAGAAGTTAAAACCTATTGATAAATGTTTCGCAATCAGATATTTAAATCCGATGTTTGTTTATTGAATAAACAAAAGAATCAATTTTTAGCATATCTTTTATATAAAACTAATAAAAACGGTATAACCTATCAATGGATGATTGCTTCAAAATCAATATGTATATCCAGTATCTCGTCTGCCATCCACGAAATGATACTCTTCCCAATATGTCGGATCTTTAAGTAAGATAGTTTCGGATATGCTCGTAACAATGATATCAAATCTTCAATTTTGATCACACATTCACAGTTCAATTCTTCAAGGTTTGGAAACTGTTGACAAATTTTTATGTTGATTTTCTCAGGAGCATACGATTGTCTGTAATCACTCACATAGACATCTAATTTCTTTATACACAATCCTTTCAGAAGTTTGCATAATTCAGCATTGGTGTAAATATTGTGATATCTTACAATGACGATAGATTGCCAAGTGCGTAACATTCGATACGTTAACGATTGAAGGAAGGAAAGTTCCATACGTTAATCCTGATTGATGGTTCTCTGGAAAGATGTTTAGTTCCAATGATCGAACGTTTCGAAAGTAATGCGGCAGATTTCTCGGATTTTGATCGACTTCAACAGACAATGTCTTGACATTATCGAATATATGTGTATCATTGGATAACACAGAGTTTTGTAAGTCTATTGGTGAATATAAATAAAAATCATTTCCTGGATAGGGAATAGTGTAGATTAACGCTGAATATTCATGGATTTGATAATTGGTATACCAGCGATGTTGTTCGTGCCAGAAATCACCTTGAAATTTGCTGAAGATATCTAACACTGCCTGTATATCATCAATGCTACCAAACAAGGAAAACACGAACTCAAAGCTGGATAAATGTTTCAATGAGAATTCGATAAATTCTTGCCAGCGGATTGCATTGATCATATCGATATTATCAGCATTCCTTAAAGACAATATCCGTAGGTTTGGTGTGTGTTTCAATAGAAATTCAAGTTCTTTAAAACTACTTTCACATGAATAAATACTACATTTTGTCAAATGGACAGCATTCACAGTAACAGATGTGAATTCCTCGATTTTCTTCTCAGATTTTAACGCTCGGTCAATTTGCAATTGTTTCAATAACGGTGCATAGGCAAACAATTGCAATACGTGATCTACATCACATTTGGATATTGTTACTGATGTTAAGTTGACCGTGCGTTCCACACATGTTAAAGTATGATAAAAATAAGGTGTTGATAATCGTCGTAAATTTATTAGTGGAAAAATCCATGTGAAATTCACTGCTTGAGGATTTGCGAGACCATATCTACTGATGAGACAATTATAGCCAAACTTTTCGTTGTGAGTAAAAGAAAAGTGAGATAAGTTTGCTAACGATGGTAATACAAACGATATGATTTTCACATCAGTGTCATCAATAGCAAGTAATGATAATGATCGAAGATTAATGAAACTGTCCAATGGATTTGCTAGAAGAAAATCTTTTATGTTTGAAAAAGTTTCACCATTTGATAATCTTAGAGAGACAACATTTCTTTTGACTTGTGAATTTGACAAGATCAGTTGACAAAACTGCTTGTAGATCAATTTTGTCACTCGAGAGAATTCGATGTGTAATGGAACATCTCGAACAAGACGAGTAAAATGATGATTTAGTTGATCAAATGAATAAAATAAATCGGCAGCATTAGTGTATTGAAAAATCTCCCGTAAGATTTCATCTGGTAACGTTTCTAATTTGCTCATGGTCCTATATCAGTAAATAACAAACATCTTATGTGAACTAAACGAACGCCGATCTTAACTTCATCGTTGGCAGACCAATAAGAAAGAAGATGACGTCATTTACATGTACTTAACTTAGTTTTAAAGATAATGTTCACAATAAAAAGAAGCAATTCTTCCAGTGTGATATGAATGAACTGAGAAAACACCATGGACTATTGTTTCAAAATCAATCCGTACATTCAATTTTGATGCATAGTTTTGTATCCATGAAGCCATACTTTTTACTAACTTCTTTGATCTTTAATAACACATCAGTTTTGTTCACGAATACTCAGGATGCTTCTTCAAGTTTTGGTAAAAACGGTATTTAATTCAAATGATTCAGCTATCTTACAGTCTGGACGTCTCGAATATAAATCAAAGTTATAGCGCTGAACTGATCCTTGCTGATGGAAGAGAGGCAATGAAGTTTCGATGATGGTAATAACACTGACAGTAATATATTTCCGGATCTTTTGTACTAACCTCAGTCAACGATAGTGATCGAAGGTTTGTGAAATTATTTAATGAAATCGTTGAAACAAAATTTCCGATTTGCCATAATTTTCCAGCATTGTATAATCTTAGAGAAATGGTGTTTTCTCTTTTATTTGAATTTGATACAATCAGCTGACAGAGAACTCATCATAGGTGGATTTGGTCAGTCGAGTTAAATCCACGCGTAATGGAATAATTCGAATTAATCCATCATATGAGTAGAGCAGCTATGGAGCATTAATATACTGAAAACTCTCGCATACGAGTTCGTTTGGTAGTACTTATAATCTACTCATATTGATTGATGAATGTGAATCCATCCTAGATCGACAACGACGCACACACACGCATAAGAAAAGTGTTATATATTTATAGGAGATTCCGATCGAAATAAACCAATAAGATTTCTAAGGAAATAGTTCGAAACTTTATATTTCAAAAAGTCATAGAACGAATAATATGATTCATCTCGTGATACGTTTTTCTGGCGTGTAGTTTTAAAGCAAAATCAAAAGATTGCTGCAAGCAAAAATCCATTATCAGTATTCAGAATTGTCGCCTATGCGAGAATAACAATATGAAACTCTCGAAGTCGCGATGGCTGGATATTGGGATTCGTTACTGGATTCATCTATTGCTTATATATAAGATTGTTGCAAATAAATCAGTTTTTATTGATCGCAAGGGAAAGTAAAAACAATAAATATCTTTATACTCTAAAATCAAATTCTCGACAGGCTTCACTGTTGTTATTCACTGTCAGGATTCGGATCAGACAGCATTATCATCATCTGCACTTCAGCAAGATCACTTACGATTGACTCAAAATCAATACGTATCTTCAATGTTGATGCGTTTTCTTCTATCCATGAAGTTATATCTTTACTAATACGTTTCGTCTTTAAGTATGATAATTTTGACCATTCTTGTAAAGCTAATAACAAAACATCCACTTGATCCACATATGTACAGCACAACTCTTCAAGATATGGAAATAGTTGACAAGTCTTTATATCGATTCGATCAGGAGCGAATGACGGTCGATAAGAAGTAACAAAAATGTCTAACTTTTTAATGTACAATCCTTTCAAGTATTGACATAAGTTTATATCATCATAAAACTTGTTCAAGTGTTTTCGATGTACGTGTAAAGATGATAAATGAGGTAATATTTTGAATAAATCTAAGAATTCTGACTGTGCTGTAAAGTAATCTGGACGAAGTTCTAAGCATGTCACATTTGATGTGTTAACGATTGAAGAGAGAAATTTTACATAGGAAAATTCATATTTATCGACATACCATTCTTTTGAGAGAATTAATGATTGAACATTTTGAAAATAGTACGGCAGATTATCTGTAATTTGTTGATTTCGTATGCTCAATCTTTTGACATTGTTGAATGTACTTGGGTCATTTGATAATACAGAATCCTCTAAATCTATTGGTAAATCCAAGTAATATTCACTTCTTGAATAAGGAATAGTGTAAATTGCTCCTGAATAGCCACGGCGAATTGTGTAATTTGTATACCAATGATGTTGTTCGTGCCAGAAATCATTCTGGAATCCATTAAAAAGGTGTAAACCATCACTTGAGTCTCTCTTGCAATGAAATTGGAAACAGAAGTTAAACACACGTAAATGTTCCAGCGACGATTCAATTAATTTTTGCCAGAAATATGCAACAGGTTCATCAACATCGTAATAACTTGATAGAGATAACGTTTTTAGGTTCGGTATTCTCTTCAATAAGAATTCAAGTTCGTCACATTCAACATCACACCAATCAAGCAAAAAATCTTTTAGATGAACAGCATTGACATCAACATTCGTTGGTGCATCGCTTTGCATACAAGGTTTTGACAGTTTTCGAGCACGGAAATGTTTTAATAATGGTGCACTAATAAATAATTGCAATACATCATTCGTACAAGCGTAAAATAATGTTGCTGATGTTACATTCAATGCTTCATGTATCGATATTGGATTACAAATGAAATACGGCAAGGATAATGTTCGCAAGTGTTTTGAGGATAAAATTGACTTGAAATCCAATGGTTGAGGTGCCGGAGCACCAAATCCACTTTGAATACAGTCAGATTCAAGTTCTGTCTTGCGGAGAAAAGAAAAGTAACATAGTTTTGATAGCGATCGTAACATGGGTAACAGCACTTGTACACCAGCTTCGTCGACTTGATCTAATGTTAGTGATCGTAGATTGTCAAGATGATTGAGTGATATCACTGAAACGAAATCTTCAATTCTTCCTACTGTTTCATCATTTGACAATCTCAGAGAAATTATATTTTTCTTCATTTCTGCATCTGATGCGATTAATCGACAAAATACATCATGACTTGACTTTGTCACTCGGGAGAATTCGACATGCAATGGAACATTTCGAATGAGATATGCGAATCGGTTGTTTAGGTTGTCGAATGCATGAAATAACTGTGGAGTAGTAATGAATTGAAAAACTTCACACAGGATTTCATTTGGTAATGTTTCTAATTTAGCCATACTGTCATCAACACGATATAACGACTGAAATAAGACAATCGGTAAAATTAATCGCTAATCCTTTCTGCGATATAATGACGTCATTGGAATATCTCTTTCTATAGATATCCTACAAGGATATTCCATGCAGACATAGTCCTAGTCCTTAGAGAATATTCTCTGGATATTTCCCCACTTCTGATTATATATACAGTCACAGTTCTTTCTATGTTGTTGGTTCAGTTTTCGTTTATTTCTAAACAAACATCCATTTGCGTCAAGACGTGACACTTTCTTTCTTTTGAATAGATATAATATCCAACAGATGTCATTCTTAACTGAAAATGTAATCCACATATTTCTTTACTTGGCCGAGATTAAGTAAGAATAAATAATTGATATGGACAATTACAATATCGAGTGAAGGTGTTTTTATAGCATGAATGAAATAAGATCTTGTTGATTCTACCCTTCCGTCATCATATTTGTAGATATTTGATCGGCATCGCTGCTTTTCGGTCAGTACTTGTATAAAATGAATCAATAATTTTACTTTACTCAGTGTATTTTGAAATGTATAAGAAATATCGACGAGCACAAAAAAGAAATTCAGCTGCGTTATTACCTTTAAGCACATTGAAGAAAAGAGAAGAGAAAAGGTTGAAATGCCTCAGTTGGACCAATGTCGCGCTCAACGTTTTAGTACCATTGATGATCGGTATCGCAACCGTGATTATCACTGTTCGTCAGCAAGAAACTGATGATCGTCGTCAACAACAGGAACGTGAACTAGATGATCGACGATATAATTTAGAGCAAGAACAAGCTGATGAGCTTCATAACCAAGATGTTTTCAAGAATTACATCGCAGATATATCGAACACCATCTTCAAACAATCACAGCGGCAAACAACTACATTTACTGATGATCGGGCACGATCGGCCTATATTCGAAGTCAGACATTGGTTGCTTTGGATGATCTCGATTGGAAACGGAAAACACGATTATTTCTGTTTCTATATGAAAATAAACTTTTACCTCGCATTTCCTATAAAAATGGTATTGACGACTCGAACCAAACATTCAATCTTCTCGGAGCGAATCTAGCGAACATTACACTCAAGAGTACTCCTTATAGTACACTTCAATTCCATCAATTATCGTTACCATCTGTAGATTTAACAAGAGCATCATTCATTCGAGGTATCTTTTCCCATGGGTTCACTTTCCATCTATCCACAATGGCTGATGTCAAGTTCACCGGATCTGAGTTTCAGTGTTGGGAAAAAGTTCCGGAAGAATTTCAAAAAATTCTTTTCTTCGCCGAAGTTATACTAACGCGAGCCGATTTTCACAAAACCTCTTTTTGTGATATCCGCTTTTTCAAAACAGATCTAGCTTATGCAAACTTTAGCAATGCTCAATTTAAAGGAAATATCATTTTTTCCAGTACCAATTTGACACTAACTGATTTTCGCGATGTTGACTTATATCCCTATGCTTTTATTCATATTGTCAACACGGATATGACCGGTTCTTCTATATTAGACAATACAAATCTACAAACAGCATTTCATAATGGACGGATGCAGTTCAGCAACGTTATTTTACCAAATGGCACATGGAAAATAAATACGGAGAATTTAATTACTAATGGGGATGCAGAAATATGTGTAAGTGGGATAACTCCAGACAGATGACACTATCTATTTCGCGATTTTAGTGTCCTCCAAGACCGAACCCTGGCGTATGTCATTGGTTTGCTTTTCCAGTGGGAAAAGATGATGCAAGCACTTCACTCAACGAAAATTTTAGTAAGACTCGATTTGGAAAATGCCATTTGAACTTCACACTCACTGGCGACGACATAGAAATCTCTCAAATTGTCGATGTCATGAATTTTTCGTACGTATTTGCTAGTGGACAAGCCAGATACAAACTATTGATTGATGTTAACTGTATCGATGGTATTCTATCGATAGCTATATCTTTCGCTACTGAGTTAGGCGAGTCCATATTCAAATCAAGTAGGTTCCTATTGAGTCAACTGCCTGAACTTCACTATCTATTCGTTTTTTTAGAGTTTCCAATTCAAGGAACGAATACATCGCAGTGGACTACTCACACTTTTGTGGGAGAAATACCGGTAGATACAGATTACTTAACATTAACCCTTGATCGAATGCACCATACAGGGCAATGCTACGTAGACAACATTCAATTACGTATTTTTCGACAAACTTGACGTTTTGTTTTTATTGTTAAATTCTGGATGTGAGGTGTTCGTTAATATATTCAGAATCAAATTATTGGCAATAACTTTACCTATATTGTCGTATCAAGTGAATTGTAAAGAATGCCGTCCTCTATATTTTGATGACATCTTGTTCGTTTTGCATCCTACCAAATCCGGCTTTTTAAACATTTTAGTCCACAGTATTAAGGAATATTATGTGAGTAGTCTGGAAGATTGTGTCGCGCTTCGACACTTCGCAGCGTATCGAAGATGATCAATCGTTCATCCTGAGTGAAAAATAATGACTGGTATCATTACTTTAAAAAACACAGTCGACCAAATCCTTACTTTTTGCCGCCCTTTTTCGTACTTTGAAAGCACGAGTTTTTTGCAAATACTTAAATTTCATTTTTGATGGGAAACTCCTTAGCAGGGATAGAAATTAGTGAATACGGAATTGCGTAAGGGATCAAAAAGGAAATTTTCTTTTTAAGTTTTGATTTGCTGAGATAAAATGCCAATAAAATATGGTCAGAATTATGAAAGACGTCCTTCGTTAAATTTAAATCTTTAAAAAGCTTATCTGCAAGATAAGACAAGCAAATATTTTGACATATCGACATCAACATGACTGAGCTATTGCAGAATGGCAGCAGCATTTCTTTGTATATGAATAGATGTGCTCGGAGATCATCTAGCGTGGCAAACAACACACAAAGTGATAGAAGAAAACAGCTGTAGTGTTAGGTTTTCACGTGTTTCATCAGTGTAAGTCTACATATCATTCCAATAATTTTGCATACTCTGTTACTTCATGTCCATAGAATCAATCCAGCAAAACTTGATTCTGAAATTCAAAAGCTTGTTAGTGGAATAGCAAAGTAAGAGGAAAAATCAATCTGAGATATCGTGATTTCCTCCGTATTTGTTTTTGCATATGATTTGTTTTCAATAGCTACAGAGGTAAACCCAGTTGCATTCGTTCATTTGATCGAATGCCATTAGATCAGTTTAGGAGATTGTCCACCGCCCATCGAACCGTTCGCTATAGTCAAGCGACGTGAAACAGCTGCTCTGGAATGTTACGCCATCGATATAACTGAACTATAGACGAAAAGTATACTTTCACTCCTACGTACATCAGCGTGCGTTAATTCCTCGTTTTCATAGGTCCTTTTTTGCTTCATTGCAACAATTGAATCGTCTCATTCGAGATTCTTCCTGTTTATATATATGCCAATACTGAATATGTTTTAATCTGTCGAAGTTCCTGTATGGATTATTTACCTGTTTTTAAACGATTCATTTAGGAATTCGTTTTTTGAAAGACCATATATGGAGTACTGAAAATTACACCCTATTTTCTTGTGTTATCCTGTATCGGTGCAGAATTGACCGTTCGCTTTCTTTGTGATTCATGTTGTTCAACACATTGTAAGGCAAAGTCAAAAGTCGCAGACAAATCATCGACACCATATCCTGAATCACATTCAACAAATCCTGCCGCCCCCGCTACTAACAATTCTGGCTGGTATTCAAGATATTGTTTACGTATCGAAAAACGTGTCAAGAAGGTGTATCCAGGATGGAAAGATTTCAATTTTATTACATATGCAATGAGTGCATGTGTGCTAGCTTTCGTTTTGATTTTCTACTTGACATATGTTTTCACATTTCAATCAGTACTGGGCACAAGCTCAGTCTCATTTATTCTATTCTGTTTAAAAATACTTTTGATATTCGTGAGTGGAATTCATTCCATTGTTTAGAACTTGATGATTGGTCTTTTCGTGGTCAAATTTTGTTGAGTGATATATTAACACTGGTGATTAATTATAAGAGTCATAATGAAAATTCAAGACACCATAATTACGAAGAGATACCATCGAAAATGACAGTAAAAGAAACCGACGCCGGTTCGTAGTCAGCCGGATATACAAGTCGATCACAACAAACTGAATACCTGAATTTATGCTGTACTGACATACTCTACGCCTATTTTCAGTATGTCGTTCTCTAAACCATGAATAAACAGTCATATACTCATGCTATAGATTTTCATATAGCTTTTCTCACTTCCGGTTGATAAACGGACTGTTTTGGAATGTTTTACTCATGTCTCATATTGACTGTAGTTATCTCGGATGAGTTTGCTAAAAATATGGTACGATTTCATTTGGATCAAATACTTTTACAGCATTGTGATTCAGATAGTGAATTCATCACGTATGCATCTTATCTACATATGGAGAAAGATCACAAACAGCCGAACTACTCGCCATCATTACCTGCTATTGATAATAGCCAAGTAGAACAATCAATCGAACCATTACCAGTCAATTCTACAGATACAATCAGACAATAGCATTGAAAATATTATCTTCTGTAATCCAAGTTACGAATCATTACACATCCAATCAGATGAAACAAATGAATCGGATCGCTCACGAACAAGAAAACAACATCATAGTCAAAATTATCACCTGATAAAGAACAGCAATCGTTGATGTTAACAATAAATGCCAATGACAAGATGAGCCATGTTAATACATATACATTGAGCAACAAAAACGTTTCTAGTCACAAAAGACGCAGAATTAAACACTAGGATCCGTTGTATCCAATACCTATTCTAGACATTTCCCACAGTAGTTTTTTTTCGAGGGATTCTACAGTGTGCGTGTTTCTCTCATATCATGTCTTCTTATTTATTTGTCTTGCATTATTTCGAATTGATCGAAACAATGTTAGGCATCAAACAGTGTTAGTATAGTCGGTATGTTGTCATAGTATTGTCTGATAAAATCAGAATATCATTGTTCTTCAGCGAAATTCCGTACCAAGGCACAGGATCATATGTAATCTTGTTCACTAGCTCTCCTTCGGCAGAAATATGAATTAGTGATGATGAATCAGGAGAAATAACCATCCAATCATTGTCGTTCACTGAACAACATCGAATATTTCGATGACCAGGTACCAAGTCTAATTTTAGAGACCAGAATCGTTCCATGTTCGTTGGGGAATACAGATTCAGATAGATTTCATCTTGACAGTTTTTAATAACCATAGCCAATACTTGATAATTCGATGTACAATGCATAATCAGTTCGTCGGTTGTGCAGGGAAAAGGAGATTGATATACTCTTTTCAGTTCAAGCATAGGTCGAATCTCATATACACGTATAGACGATCCCCAACCCCACGTAAACAAATATAGAACATTTCCTATGCATGTACCACCATAGAAATTTATTGTTTCTGGATTGTCAGGCAGCGGTAATGGACTAAGTTGGGCTGTTTTGGCATCGAAAACTAGGAGGTGCTGTTCGCTGATCAGAATAAATTGATCAAGAGCAGAACACCAAAACATATCATATATTTCGCCATATGTCCATGGAAGACCACGGATCGGTGGCCATGAGTGTTTGTATAAAAATAGAATATCAGCTTGGATGATTAGAAAATGTTGTTCGTTTGCCGCTATGCAACCGTGATTCTGTTCTAGCAGAGCTTCTGTACCGATTTTTTGAAAAGGTAGGATATTTTTCGACGCTGATCGATTCGACCGAAAATAAATCTTGTCATTGTCAATTGTTAGCGGGGAAAATATCGATTGCATCGTGGTAGGTTTCACTGCTGTCTGCTGTTCGTGACGTAATTCAATAAATTCTTCTCTTTTTTTCTCACAATAGTGATCGATCATTCGGTACGCTTCCTGACGCCATACTGCACAGCATGAAAAGAAATAAATTTCATAGAAAGATCAATATTACTGCTGAGAAATATCTCACTTACGTTCCAATGCTGACGTTAACTGAGGATCAGTAGTCTCACTGTCAATGATCGGATGCTCTACAATGACAAATAAGACAATCGCGTCGCATGATGGAACTTAGCATACCCAAAGTTTTTATGGTTGATGGTGCCATCGGCATTGCACTCGGTAGGAATAGTTTGAAAGTTAAAGAAGGTGGATGAACCAATGAAACACAACCTCCCATTCTGGAAATTTGAACGAATAAACACCATGGGAACGGAGTGTGATTAGTGTCAACATTCAATTCACCTCGTTCATTTGTATTTTCGTTGATGATGTTTAATTTGTGTTCGTCACAGTTCAGCATCAACACAAAACAAATGACGCCTGCGCTTTTATTTGTAAAAGTACGCTGAGCAAACATTCCGTTCGAAATGCCGTAGCCGTTTGCACCCCAACCATATATAGAAGGGTTCGATTCATAATTTCCATATACCATGTCGTCCGGTATCAGTGGTTTACTCCGTGAATGAATACCGAAGAATGTGATGCCATAGTCTGATCTGAGTCGAATACGATGAATACCGGATGAATATGAATGATGCCCAAGAACACATCCAAATGTCCCTCTTTTCACCGATCTACATCCTCTGCCATTATCAAATAATTCGATGGTGTTCTCAACTGAATTGTGGATTTCTTCAAATCTTTCATCGTACACTTCATTCACGCCCGTCGTCAACTGAGTATCAGAGGAAGCCATAGCTTATGGATTATATTTTTGTTCGAAACCATGTGCTATTTATTGATATTTATATGCGCGCACTACCTTCTCCGTTCTTTTATTTACTTGGAAGAAAGAAATCCCTTCACTCACTTTTTTCTTTCTTCCCTTCTAAGAGTAGAACACGAGACATTTATCCGAGCATCTTCTATAAGAGGCGATGGTGCAGGTATGAGTTAACAGGTGTACTTATATCCTTATCGATATTCTTACTCTTAAGTATAGTTTAGCATAAAATTAGTCATTAAGTAAGGGTGAGGGTGTGGGTGACGAATTAGGCGAATACGATGGATCTAACATACGAAATGACGGGAGAGTGAGAATGAGGTCAATGAGTGAACGGGTAGAGCGAAGAATGAATTCCAGTGAAAGAGAAAATTTTTAATAATTGCTGATGCAGGAATTCGCTGCAGCAACTCTTTTACATTCAGAGATATAACTGAAAGTACCGTTTTGTGCGATGCACAGCGAGAAAGATAAGGACCGTAAGCGTAAAAATTTGAATTATACTGGTTTTTCTATCTGTTGTAGCTTTGCAACATATAAGACGTTCGACATAGATATCTCTTGTTTCTCACCAGATTCCTGGGCTAGCTTTCATCATAAAATTAAATCAAAATTTTGGATTTGGTGATTTATCCAATCATTAGCATAAAGATCTGTCTATCATAATCGACAAATAATCCAAAAGGATCATCCAACTGATTAAGATTTTTCCTTTACCATTTTTTTCTAGCTACAATCACATCTTTTTTGCATATTTTTTTTCGATTCAGTACACGATGACTCGAAATATCTGTAACATAAATCGATTGTTCACCATTAACAAAGATAAAAATAGGACCAATTTAATTAACTTGACGTCCTCATTCATTTTCTCCAGCAACCGTTTTCCCTCTTGTTTCCATTTCTTCCATATTATTCCTAAACTTATGAGTTAGCATTGAAAGGCAAATGACTTCATTTTTCATTGACCTCGGGTAACAAATCGAATGCTCATTACATCGATAGTGACGAATACAAATATAATTTGAATCAGAACATTTTTGTAATGATTCACATGGTATAGGTTGAGATAATAAATAAACCTGTACAACTAAAATAAAATACATTTAGTTTTAAAGAAGTCGAAAAACGAGACAAGATATGAGTTACCTTAAAAGGATAAAGAAAAAATATTCTATTCTGGTTCTCATCTTCATAATCTAAATTCAAATGGAATAAGAAAACTTCTTTTTTTGAATGAAATTACACTTTTGATTCTTCTCAATGTATAGCCATCGTTGATAATTGAAAATATGGTCTTGTTTCGATGCATTTCAATGTATCTAATCCTATCATTGGCGTGAAGCTAGCACGAACAAATGATATGTTTGCTAAAACCTTTTTTACTAAATATGTTCCGTCCATGAAAACTACACCATTCGACTCAGAATTTAATTCTGCATCGAATGATGATACTTTTATTCGCGGGACATATTTAGTAAAAAAGTTTTAACCTAACATATCGTTTTTTAGTGCTAGCTTCACACCGATGAATACAATCTGGCTTAAAGTGAGCTATTGACGAATATTTCGTTTTCAACTATTTGATTATCATTTTAAGAAACGTCATGTCAGTTATAGAGATGATCAAGAAAACAAATTTCATGATCTTTATTTTGACGTAGCTAGCTTTTCATTTATCCATTCTTTTCTTAATTTTCATCTTATTAATAAGTTACCTTGACAACACTAATGTCATTCCTATTTGTGATATCTGTAAAATAAATCAAGGACGTGACTTCTTTCTGAAATCCAAACTAATCTGCTTATATTCTCTTTGCTTGGTGTGTTCGGTAATAGATATGCTGTTCATCACACATACACAGATATATCTGGCTTTTTGTCTTGCCTTCAGCTATATTTTTCAGTAATATTTAGAAAATAAAAATGTTTGTTTTTTGAATGTGTCAGTAACACGTAAATAACTCTAACTACGAAGGTTAGAAGTCTTGATCAACATTTCGTAATAACTAGAAATGTATTGTGTCTCGTGAGTAAGTACATCTTGTGTTGAATGACAAACAAGCCGAGAAACTATGAAATGATTCAGCCAGTGTGATAAATCTGCTTATATTTAACAACCCCAGAATACCTTCTTATTATTCCACTACTCGTTTTAGATTAGACATCCGCGAAGATACAATCGAATGTGACAAAGGATGGTTTTTTTAATTAACCAGTAATCTTATTAATTTTCAAGATTTCTCTTTCAAAATAACATATCGAAAACATTTATGTTGAGTTCAAAAGAAAAAAACGCAACGTTAATTTCCTGTTCACTCATCAAAAATGAGAAATTATCCTTGAGCAATCTTTTCCTATAAGAGTTGGACCTAAAAGCTGAATTCTTTTCATTTATTCACATAATTTTAAAAATGAATGCAGATTATATTTCATCACTTTATAATTCTCGATCTCAATTTTCTCGCTATGTTGCCATTCCAATTTATTTTTTAAGTTTCATGAGTGAACTTCTCACAATTGTTATTTTTCTTAGTTTAAAAACATTTCGACAAAATTCTTGTGCATTTTATCTTCTTTCCATGTCGTCATTTAATTTTATTCGATTAATAATTAGCACGGCATTAGTTGTAATTTCGATGTCATTTACAATCAATTGGACTTCTCTTATTGTATTTTATTGTCAAATTCGAAGTCTTGTTGCGTTATCATGTCTTATTAATGCAGTTACACTCTTATGTTTAGCCGTAATTGATCAATATTTGGCAACTTGCGCTCGCCAACGATGGCAACAATGGTCAAACATTAAAGTTGCTCATCGTCTTACAATTCTTGTTTCCATTATTTGGTTTTGTCATGGTATATTGTATGTGATATATTTTCGACAATTATCGCCAATAAATACTGCCATTTGTATATCAGTTGATCCTGTTTTTCTACAATATCATATTTATGGATATGTTCTTACGCTAACCAATCTTTTCCCCTTGATTGCAGTAATATTTGGATTGATGGCCTATCGAAATACGCGAACATTAACAACTCGAACGAATCCATTGGTACGTCATGAATTGGATAAACAATTAACAATAATGGTTCTCGTTGAAATTTGTGTCTATGCTTTTACACAAATACCTTATTCAATTACAAATGGATTTTTATTGTTGAATACAAATCGCGATCCAGTTTTTATTGCTCAATGGAATTTAATCAATGCTGCTACACTCACTTTGAATATTTTTACCAATGGAGTAAAAGATTTCGATTTCGGAAAAGAAAATCCTATTTTTGTTTTTATCCTTTTAGAATTCATTTTTTACATACATTTGCGTATCAAAACGTTTTCGTCGTCAAGCGAAATATGTTTTATATGATATTCATCTGAGTCGGTGGCAACAGAATCGAATTCATCCTGATCAAACTGTAATGGAACGAGAAACATGAATTTATGATTAATAAATATTCAAATTTTTGCCAGAAATGATATATATATTTCATTTCGATGATCCGAGAGTCGGAGTGTGTGAAATGGCGAGTAGTTGAATGATTGAAATACTTTGAAAGTTTAATATTCGCATAGACTTGATGTCTGCCATAAGTTTTCTGTTTCACAAGAATAGACTCCGTTTCTTCTCAACACTTGAAGATTTACAGTCCGTAGCAATAGAAAATCGCACACACTGCTATAGCGATGATAAATAGTCTGCTACACAAAATGATGTTAAGAAATTAAACATGGTCAAATTGTCAGTTCAGATAAAAGTGGGTGTGGGTGAGGGTAATTGTGATCTCCGTTGGTTGCATAATTCGGCATAGAAAATATCATTGGCGAAGACCGTCTGAGCGCTCGTTCCGAAAAATCCGCATATTTTCTGTTTCTGCGCTAATTCTATAATTCTTGAAGGTGTGTGTGGCTACTGAAAGAGTGGATTCGAGAATAGTTGACATAGTTGAATAGCTGAAGAGATAGCTGAATTCAAGTTTCGAGTTTGACACTGCTGGATCTGTCTGATATTTTGTAAAGGACTGACAATAATACGAATTATTTAATAATAAAAGACATGCTGTGATAATTCAATGTTAATTATACCCTCGCTTACTATATGACTTCCTTTTTCAATAAAAATCACACATCATCAATTCGAATATTTCGCTATAAATAATGATCAAAATAGCATAATTTTTTTAAAAATGATTAAAATCAATGGAATATTGTTACTTGTTATTGTTAATATTTCTGCAGAAATCTTACAAATTGATTTATATCCTGGTTATGGATGGGATCATTTACGATTTCTTGATATGTTACCTATCTTTGATATTCGTAATTCATATAATTCAACAATAATGCAACAATGTATCACACATATCCCATTACGTCAAAGTGAATTTGATATTCAATCACAATTGATTGATTTATATAATAGTTCAACAACTACATATGAATTAGAAATAAATCTTGGTGGCGAAATTCCTTTACCAGAGACTGGTATTGGTATTGGTGGATCGTTTTCTCCAACATATCAAGATATAAAATCTCAACAAGGAAGAGATAATACGATAACATTACGAAATGTAATTCGTCATGATTTCGCTGATGTTTTATTACTTCCAAGTTGTTCTTTAGATTCTCGATTTAAATCTGAAATAATTCAAATAGCAAATTATATTAAAACAGGTGAATTAATAAAAGCTAGTTATGCTGCACAAATGCTTATACTTCGTTATGGAACACATTATACAAATCGTATACGTATTGGTGGACAAATAATTCAAGATAATTTTATTCGAACAAAAGATTTTTATACTAATGATGCAAATATTTTATCAACAGAATTGGCAGCGAAATTAAATTTTCTGTCAGAACTTGGTTTATCATTTAGTAGTTCAATAAAAAATACATTAGTAGATAATAATATTAAAAAATTTCAAGAACAAATTATTAATCGAAATCTTATTGCTTATGGTGGAGAAGCATATCTTATGAATATGCCATTATCACAATGGCAATCAACAGTGAAAAATAATCCAGTTATACTTAAACGTTCATTTGAAAATTTAACAATGGCTATCGATATAAAACAAATAACTGAAATTGAATCATTGTATGTCAATGAAGCACTTAAAGAAATAAATAAAGCAATTAATACTTATATTGAAACAAATTCTATTTTTGGTTGTATGGATAGAAATTCTAATTCGTTTAATTGGATTGCTAATATTAACGATAAAACATGTAATCAAAATGTTGTTAATATACAATTTGCTGGTCTTATTCTTTCTTGTGATATAAAATGGAATTCAAATAATGATTCAACATATCGTCTTAATGATATGTGTACTGATTTTAAAAAAACAAATTTTTTTACAAATAATGAACAATGTCCATTTAGTTTTACTAAAACACTTATTTATTCATCGATTAAAATTCAATCAATTGAAAAAATTGAAAATTATGGTTGTGGATTTTTATGGTTATCAACATGTACAAGATCTATTCCAATTGGAATAGCAACAAGAACAATAAATTTATATAGTTGTACAAAAAATAATTCTGGATTAAGTCAATATATATTTGGTGGTTCATATTCATCAAATAAAATTAATTTTCTTACTAATGAAAAATCATGTCAAACAGGTTTTACATCTGTATCATTAATTAATGGCATTAATGTTTGTCTTACACAACAAATTGTAAATCCACCAAATATATTTAAATTTGGTGGAATATTTTCATGTCAAACAAATAATTCTGATATATGTCCAATTGGGTTTAGTCCTTATCCTATCGGTTTAATCGATACAGATTGTAATTTATATGCATGTTTACAATTAAAAGCACAAGATATTACATTATTACCAACAATATCATTACCACCATATTTTAATATAATTGATCAATTAACATCCCCGTCGATAAATATTAGTAATAATACAATTAATGGAAAATTAATATCGATATTACAAATGGCTCCAATAACGATTGATCAATCTTTGAATTTAGCAATTAAATCTGAATTTATTTCATGGATTTTATTCTTACCTATGGTTAAATACTTCATTTTTTAATGTCAAAAAGCTAAATCAATACATAAACATGATTTCTTTTTCTTTAAGTCTATATCATAACTTCTTGAATAAACCAACTGATTTCAATTGAATCATAAACAGAATGAATTATGGTTTTTTTTTCGCTCTGTCGTATTTAATTACACGTGTTCACTAACCCTTTCAGACCCAATATCATCTCGTAGATGACATGACAGAACGCAAAAGAAATATATTTCGTTTTCTCGTCTCCTTAAAAGGTAAATATCATATATGTCTCAAAAAAATTCTCACATGTTTCTTGTATCACGATACTCACATTATATTCCAAAACAGCTGATTGAACGCCAAAAAGAGAGACCTTCTTTTCCTTTTCATGTTCATATAGAACGCAAGAAATTGTTGAGCTCAAAAGGATTAAGAGAGAGAATAATGTTTTATTTTTCTTTCACTGCTCTGTAAGAACGTAAAATTTATTACAAATAACTTCTATTTTCTTTACAGAACAGTTTAAAATTCAAAAAATAGTCAATTAAAATCAGAATTTGATCCTTTTTCTAACTATGTGTTCAGATTTTTTTCTCGAAATTAAAACGAAATCATTGTTAACAAAGCTTTAATAAGAATTAAAAATGATGTTTCTACAGAATATTTCACAGACTATAGTTGTATATTTTGTTTAAAATCGCTTCAATTCAATTCTTAAGGTCACACTTTTGTAGAACGAAGTTACAATTTACCTGATTTCTTTTGTTTAAGGAGATGTTATCAAGCAATTAGCTTTCGCGTTTTAATGGTTTTAAGCTTTGACTCATCGAAATCTGCACAACATAGATAGTTAGAACTATTCCTGATCATTCTTTAGACAAATAAGAAGATGAAGATTGATCATATTATATTTAGGTTACGTTCTTTTTCATTCAAGTATTTTTTCTTACAACTAACTATAAAACAAAAGAAAAGATTAGAAATAGCGCACTGAACTTCGACCATAATCAAGTAGTTTTGATTCGTTTGAATTATATATAAACATTAAAAAATCGCAAAAGAAACTCATACATCATCGAAACCAATCATTTTTAATTCCTATTAAAGATTTGTTAACAATGACTTCATTTTATTTTCGAGAAAAATTCTGAACACATGGTTAAAAAGAACATGAAATCCTAATTCTAACTGAATATTTTTCAACTTTCTTCTTAGTGACTGAAAAATGAACAAATATTCTGTGTAAAGACTATTTATTAGTTATCTTCTGATCAATATAAATTTCGCGTATCTCATATTTATGGCCATGAATGTGCTCTGATTCCAAGTTGTCTTAATTTTGTAAATAATAAATATGAATCTTTTAATGAATTCGATGTATCGTCCCAATAAGGTATCATTTCTTTCACATTAACATGATGTTCAAATAGAAGTTCATCAATAAGACAATGAATAGTTGAATCAATTAATATTTGATTAATTAAAATATTTTCTAAATGAGTTGTATCAATATCTAATTTAACAATAATATGATCAAATGGTTGAGCTATTGTTTTTAATATTGTCCAAGGATTAAATCTTCCATTTTCTTTTAAACCAACATTAATAAATGTATAAATAGGATAAACATCATCAGGTAATTGTTTCCAAACAATTTCTTGATTTAATAAAGAATATTCAAATGCAATAATTCGATCAAATTTTATATTAAAACGTTTATAATATTCATAAAACCATTGTCCAGCAGCAGCTGTTTTATCATTATTCCATCCACTAAAATATGAACTACCTAAATCAAAAAGAATTATTTTTGGATTTTGTATATTCTCATGTAATGATTCTCGTTGATACATCCATGGTAATATCTTATTATCATCAGGTATATCATTTAAATGTGTTGAATCTGATAATAAAGAATGTGTATAATATGGTGCTGATACTGATAATAAAATAAATCGTTTTGATTGTAAATGAGCTGCATTATAAATTGATAAAGGTACTAATGATTGATCTAAATGTGGACAAACACTAAATGGATCACGTAATAAGCCTATTAAAGGTTCAATTGTATGTGATACTTCAATAATATTTGATATTTTGAATGTACGAAGATTAATACATTCATAACGATAAAACATTAATGAAAAAATATCATTAATATGTATATTTGTATCATATCGACCTAATTTTTGTAATTTTGTTATTAATTCTATCATTGAAATTGTTTTATTTAAATTTTCATCATTCGATAATTGTTCACAAACATTATTTTGAAACATTTCAATGTTATCAAACCACATATTTTCCCAATTATTCGATGTATAATTTACAAATGACCAATAACATTTAATATCAGTTGAAATTTTTTTATTAAAATTTATATTTAATAACTTATGACGGAAAAATAGACTTATTATTAATAATATTAGAAATAATAGAATTATTATTCGATATGATTTCTGCATTATTATTTATAAAATAATCATTTATTGGATATACTATTTGTTTCTTTTAATACATGTTATGAAGAGAAAGTTAATGATGCATGACTATATTTCGTTTCTTCATTATAAAAAACTATGATGCATACACTGAAAAAAAAGGTGTTTTACCAAACCAAAAAAAGCAATCGGTCGACAGGTGCAATCGCTAAACCTCACATGGTTTGGTCGCAAAAAGGTTTCGCACATCAGGTTTCGCACGAAACCTTTCCCAAAAATATTTTCAAAAGGTTTTTTCTGAGGGTTTCCATATGCAATACCTCTGGAGAATTTCCCACCACTGACGCCCTTGGCGAGTGCGTAATCCTTTTCTATGAGAGTCTTTATCTATCTGATCCTGCGCAGTACGATAAGACGCCAGCACAATAGAGTATTTCACCAGTTCTTCCTGTGAAAGTCATATTTACACCATCAGACATCTGATCCTCGACGATCTAGAAGGTTTATACATAGATGAGATTGTTTTGAGTTCTATTCATGCATGTCATATATGATATACACAAGAAACTAGAAAGTTACAAATGTTTCGAACTGCTTCAATTCAGTTCTCACGCTTACTTTTACTCAAGTAGCGCCTAGAAACATTTGTAAATTTCCAGTTCCTTGTGTATATCATATATGACATGCATGAATAGAACTCAAAACAATCTCATCTATGTACAAGTAACGCTCATCCTTTGGATTCGCTGACCCTTTTCTGAAAGAATTTTCCGAATGCTGAACACATTCAGAGACTTTGATAGAGAAAAAATGCACTGCGATTGCTACTAGTGCTCAACTGAATCGTGGCACTATGCCACATACTAGAATAAATAGGATGCAAAAGTCTTTTTAGGAATCAGACCGATTAGCTATTTCTCAGTGGATAATTCTCCAGCACTAACTATGTTGACTTAAAAATTCATCGCTCAACGACTAGTGAGACGGCCACTCACGGCCAACCATTGACCTTTGTCATCTGTTTTTCTATATTCACATCACGCACATGGAAATTTCATAAATGCTTTACTAACTCACTCATAGACGGACAATATACAGTAGACTACTTGAAAAGTTTGAACATTCGCTTGTGTCTTCCAGCGATAATCCGATTCTTTTCTTTCCTGTCAACAAAATGATACCTTGTCGAATATTTTCATTCAGGAATATCCATTCGTCAAATCCCTTTCAAAATTATCTGAAGCCTGGCAAGGTTATTCAAAGCGTACACTTTATGATTAATCTAGCACTTAAATGCCTAGTCGTTCGTCGACCTCCCTAAGGTCGGTCACTCACGGCTAGCCGCTGCCATGCTGTCTCTGCTATTCCTTTGGCCTTTGATTAACTTTCAAACTGAATGATTGGGCTTTCTTTTATTGTCGCTTCGACAGTCATGATCTTCTATTCATTCGACTACCAAAAGAAACTAGATAAGAATAAATCTTATTGTATGATTTGCTTCGAAATGAACATCTTTCATAGTGCTGCATGTGTTCAGAATACTGTTTCAACAGTCCACGCGTCTGTAATTACTAAGATGGAATTTCACCGACGGGTATATCACTTTGCGAACTACTTCTACTAAATTCCCATGAAAAGACATGATGTATGTAGCCTAAAAAGCGAAGATGATACTAAGCTCATATCACTTTTTCGGATTTCTTCAATTAGAAACATCGTCATGTACAATGCATTAGATCTTTTCGTGTAAGTTCTTGAGCTACTATCTTTGTACGCATAACGTCCGTGAATAGCGTTCAGCTCACCATCTTCTACAAAAGATTTTAGAGCAGATAAAGAAAAAACATCTCCTTTGTAAATAGGAAGGAACAAGCCCAGGCTCAGCGAATAAGACGAAATTCACCCTCAAATTCGAATTTCCTGACATCAGAAACCCTTCGATCTACTCTGACAATGGATGTTAATAAGTCGTGGTTATTTAATCAAAAAGTAACAATTAATTAAGCAACACTAACCTCGGATTCGTGATCCTCGACCTCGATTACCCTACAAGTAATCATTTTCTAACAACTATCGATCAATTTCATTGATTTTAGAAATGTTGATTCTGTGATTGAATCGGACAATCAGAATGACCGACAGGCAAACTTTGAGCTTTTTAGCCTAGCATTTAAACGCTGCATAGTCCTTTCTTTCAGAGAAGGGAACTAGAGACATAATCTTAAATCAAGGAGTGGAATGATGTAGAAAATAAATGCGGAACCTTCGGATTTTGTCCGAAAGTTAGGTGTATTGCTAAAAGTGTGTCAAATGAAGCACATTAGCAGTCATAGGGAATTAGTAATAGTTGTTCAACAACTCAGAAATCACTCGTCCGAACGGCCTCATCATTTAATTTTAGCGAGATTCTGATGTGACAGTATGCCATGGGAAATTCTATCACATTCAAATTACCCTGTCAGAAGCTGTAGTATAGACCAACGGTAGAGACACATTGATTGGTTCTACATAGGTCGGTCAATAAGTTCTTATACTTTCAAATAATTATTTATTGTTAGAAAAAGACAATCTTCAGGATATAACTGCTTAGGATATAATTTTAAGGGAACGCGCAAAAAACTTATCGACAGACCTATATAGTAATGCACTCACTTTATGAGTGTCCTATAACACTGAAATGCTTGAAATCTGTTCTTAGTAGCATATTGTTGACACTTTGACTGGCTTCAACTGATGCACATATTTTTACAAAAAAATCGCGTTTTTGAGTGCATTTTTACGGTTTACATCGCTCAGCACATCTCGAATGCATTTTTTGACGTTAACGCATACAAACTTCTTTTGGGTTAATTTCACCTAAGTCTAACGCCCACCCCCACCCCTCATTTTTATCACTTATTAAATCTGAATTCACCGCCCAAACTTTAACTACGATGTCTATAATAGAGATCCATGACTAGTAGATGAGTGGTCTGAATGAAATATACCTTCACCCTCATCCACACTATCAAGATCCTTATTATGGCGTTCCGAACCAAGTTGTGCTCCTTTACTAAAACCGAGCAGTGATAGGTGAGTGTTTCATGCACTTATCTGTCACGAAAATGGTTTGATAGCAGTTTCACCCAGGTTACCTCAAATCCATCTCCTTACTAATCTGCCAACATCCTTCGACGTTTCCCGAGGCTTACGACAGTTACATGGAAATGTGCGTCCGTTTTCCTTCACAGAATCGCTTGAGTGAAATTTCACCCAGACTACACCCAGGTCAGCGACACCTATCATCTTCACTACTGTATAAATACTCATTCCGATGTTCTCTAGGCATACGGAAGTAGCATGCACCGTTTCGCGGCGTTTTTAGCCATAGAACCACTTGGGTGAGATTTCACCCACGCCATCCTGATCGACCCCTCATTACTAGTCTACTAACTCTGTCTTGATGTTTCGCTCCGCTCACGGAAGCTCTATGAATGCTTTCGCGCCTTTTTCTAGTGCAGAACTGCTTGGGTGAAATTCCACCCAGATCTCACCCAGGCCTACCCCTTCACTGGTCAATCAGCACTTCCTCCATGTTTTTCCGGATCCAAGGAACCCATATATTAGGTTTCGTGACCATAGCTGATATAGAAAGTAAATGCTAAACAAACAAGCGGATAAACACGCAAATCTTCAACTTTTTCATATAGAAATTAGAGAAAACTTTACCAAAAGTCAGCAAGGGTACAGCCGATCAGGCTCATCTTCGAACTCGACCCGGGCATTTACAAGATAATGCTATGTAGCAAATTTCATGAAAATTGGATTATTCTTTCAGGAGTTATCCGATTAACGGCCGGACTTACTGACCGATTTTCTAGTGTACTCACTTTTTAAGTACACAACAAATAGTTCGAATATATTTCGATATTTTTTTAGACAGGGTCATTTTTGACTCCGCCCGGTACGACTAGAGTTAAGCAAACGAACTTTGAACGCGGCTATAACGTGTTCTTTCAGAAAAGAAAACAATGACTAATATCTTTCTTTATCCGTCCTTTCTCGATTCGACGTTCATTTTCTCTCTTCGATCACTTTCACTCAACGGGTACAAACAACGAATGAAAACATGGACTGACATTCTCTCTTTTGTATCTATTCTGTTCGTCTTCAGTCTATTCTAGACAATGGAGAGTCGTCCATATAAATATATATCGATTTCCTTCACCTTCATTCCTATCAATAGCAATCAAGGCCTCGTTCAACAACGCAAACAAGTAATCCTGTCAAACCATACATAAGTCCTCACTTTTGATACCGAGCACTGTTTCAAACACGATTATGTCCGTATGTGTGTGTGTTCCGGCCATGTTTCATCATTACTGTCTCTATACAGAGCTCTACTCTGTACGCGCCCACGCGGGCAAATCATTTCTTTTTATTTCAAGTAAAAAAGGTAGAGTGATCTTTTATTTCTTCATCGCTCTTTTACAAATTTCGATACTTTCTTTTACGTCTTTTATATGAGGGTGATTCGCCGGTAATGCACGTTGACGAATGTCCAGAGCGCGTTCGAAGCAGGTAAGTGCTTTCCAATAGTCCTTAGTGTTATAGTACATCCCACCCATGTTGCCGTACGAACTAGCCAACGAAGGGTGATTCGAAGGAAGAGTTTTTTCTCTAATTTCAAGTCCTTTTTCATAGAATGAAAGTGCTTTCGAATACTCTCCCATGTTCTTGTACACACCACCGATGTTGTTGTACAAAGTAGCCAACGAAGGGTGATTCGAAGGGAGAGTTTTTTGGTAGATTTCCAGTGCTTTTTCATAGAATGAAAGTGCTTTCGAACACTCTCCCATATTCTTGTACACCAAACCGATGTTGCTGTACGAAGTAGCCAAATCAGGGTGATTCGAAGGAAGAGCTTCTACCTGTATTTCAAGCGCTTTTTCATAGAATGAAAGTGCTTTTGAATACTCTCCCATGTTCTTGTACACCAAACCCATGTTGTTGTACGAAGTAGCCAATAAAGGGTGATTCGACGGAAGAGTTTCCCCTCTAATATCAAGTGCTTTTTCATAGAATGAAAGTGCTTTCGAATATTCTCCCACGCTGCCATACACCGCACCGACGTTGTTGTACGAAGTAGCCACGCAAGGGTGATTCGAAGGAAGAGTTTTTTGGTAGATTTCAAGTGCTATTTCATAGAATGAAAGTGCTTTTGAATACTCTCCCATCCTATAGTACACCGCACCGATGTTGTTGTACGATTGATCCAAATCAGGGTGATTCGAAGAAAGAGTTTTTTCTCTAATTTTAAGTGCTTTTTCAAGGAATGAAAGTGCTTTCGAATACTCTCCCATGTTCATGTACATCAAACCGACGTCGTTGTACGATTGAGCCAAATCAGGGTGATTCGAAGAAAGAGTTTTTTCTCTAATTTTAAGTGCTTTTTCATAGAATGAAAGTGCTTTCGAATACTCTCCCATGTTCTTGTACACCAAACCGATGCAGCTGTACGAAGTAGCCAAATGAGGGTGATTCGAAGGAAGAGTTTTTTCTCTAATGTCAAGTGCTTTTTCATAGAATGAAAGTGCTTTCGAATACTCTCCCTTGTTGTAGTACACCCCACCGATGTTGTTGTACGAAGTAGCCAAATCAGGGTGATTCGAAGGGAGAGTTTTCTCGCATATTCCAAGATCTTTTTCATAGAATGAAAGTGCTTTCGAATACTCTCCCATGTCGTAGTACACCGCACCGATGTTGTTGTACGAAGTAGCCAATAAAGGGTGATTCGAAGGAAGAGTTTTTTGGTAGATTTCCAGTGCTTTTTCAAGGGATGAAAGTGCTTTCGAATATTCTCCCATGTTCTTGTACACCCCACCGATGTTGTTGCACGATTGAGCCAAATCAGGGTGATTCGAGGCAAGAGTTTTCCCTCTAATTTCGAGCGCTTCTTCATAGAGTGAAAGTGCTTTCGAATACTCTCCCACGTCGTAGTACACTGCGCCGATGTTGTTGTAGGATTGAGCCAAGTCAGGGTGATTCGAAGGAAGAGTTTTTTCTCTAATTTCAAGTGCTTTTTCGTAGAATGAAAGTGCTTTCGAATACTCTCCCACGTCGTAGTACACCCCACCGACGTTGTTGTACGAAGTAGCCAAATGAGGGTGATTTGAAGGAAGAGTTTTTTCTCTAATTTCGAGTGCTTTTGCGTAGAACGAAAGTGCTTTTGAATACTCTCCCATGTTCTTGTGCACCCCACCGATGTTGTTGTACGATTGAGGAAAATCAGGGTGATTCGAAGGAAGAGCCTTTTGGTAGATTTCAAGTACTTTTTCAAGGAATGAAAGTGCTTTTGAGTACTCTCCCATGTTCATGTACACCCCACCGATGTTGTTGTACGAGTGAGCCAAACTAGGGTGATTCGAAGGAAGAGTTTTTTCTCTAATTTTAAGTGCTTTTTCAAGGAATGAAAGTGCTTTCGAATACTCTCCCATGTTGTCATGCACCAAACCGACGTCGTTGTACGATTGAGCCAAATCAGGGTGATTCGTAGGAAGAGTGTTCTGGTAGATTTCAAGTGCTTTTTCATAGAATAAAAGTGCTTTCGAATACTCTCCCATGTTCATGTACACCCCACCGATGGTGTTGTACGATTGAGCCAAATCAGGGTGATTCGAAGGAAGAGTGTTCTGGTAGATTTCAAGTGCTTTTTCATAGAACGAAAGTGCTTTCGAATACTCTTCTATTCTGTGGTACACCGCACCGACGTCGTTGTACGAGTGAGCCAAATCGGGGTGATTCGAAGGTAAAATTGTTTCTCTAGTTTCGAGTGTTTTTTCATAGAATGGAAGTGCTTTCGAATACTCTCCCATGTTCATGTACACCGCACCGACGTCGTTGTACGAAGTAGCCAACGAAGGGTGATTCGAAGGAAGAGTTTTTTCTTGGATTTCTAGTGCTTTTTCATAGTATTCTATAGCCATTTTATAATCGCCTTGTCGACTTTTCAGCAAGCCAAGTTGATGATAATAGAGTGCTCTGTCACTCTTGTCAGACGCTTGTCCCAGTAGCACAGTGTACAGTTCTTCTGCTTTATCCAACTGCCCGAGTTTAAGCAATAATCGACCCAAACGTTGCCATCCTGTATCACCTTTAACTTCACTTTCAATCCGGTCTGTTAACACACGGAGTTGTGGATCATTATCAGCAGGCAACTGAAGTTGCACCTCATGATAAAGTTTATTCTTGTCAGCCACTTGTCGAATTGTACCGACTCGAAATACGCTGTGCCTGGAGAACAGGAGCTCAGCGTCGTCTTTGTAGTAACTAACATCCCCAATCGATGCGAATGGAGTAGTACCAATATTCGGATCAATTGTGATCACAAACAGAACACCCACCTTGTCGGGATCACCTTGAGCGCTGTAGGTAAACTCAAGAGATTTCTCTTGTTTGATACTGGTGGATAAGAAGTTGGCGAACGATAAAAGACCAGCTACAGTTTTTGATAGCTGGTCAAAATCTTTCTTACATAGTCCCTGTCCACGGTAGACTACGAAAGGTTTTCCTCGGTAATTACTGACCTGTTCTTGGTGTAGTTGTTGTATTTGTTTTTGTAGATCATGAAGAAAGAATCCCATGTTAATAATGACTTCGCCATCCAAAGTGCGAAGTGCTTGATTGAGCATTTTGTAAGTAAAACACTCACGTGTATACCACCAAATGGCCTTATCCGGACGATATTCACCTTCAAACTCATCGATAACCCTTTGCTCTTCTTTGTTGCCTTGAAAACGCTGACGACAATAATCAGCCAGGTCTTTGATTGCTTGCTTGTCATGCTCCATGTTAAGGAGAATCTTCCTAAATATTTGTGTGTACATAAAACTGGGTTCCAGTTGATTGAGATTGACATTGGAACCCTCTCCTATTACGGGAACTAAACTCATGGCGATGGAGTCTTGATTATGTTGTTTAACACCCGTGGTCAGCGCTTCACAGATTCCTTCAATATTTGTGTGAACACCTTTAATTTTTGACCAGTTCTTTGTCCAGGTTTCATGTTTGGATTTGTTGTCACAGAAGATGTAGATGGCACTCACTTGTGGAATGCCGTGAATCTCGGGCACCAAGTGTTGACCTAAGGATCCCGATGTGATGACGAAAGCTTTTTCGTCACCAATGCTGTTGAGGAATTGAACGCAAGCATCTGGTTGAGTGTATATATTGACATCATTGACAACACTTTGTAAGTGAGTCAAAGTGTTCCGACAGTCTTGGTCCTTTTCATCGATGTTGGCATTCACCCAAACTAAGAGGTAGTTTTGAACCATGCGTTGTCGCGGTTGATTACCATGCTTCCTTGTCGTGGAACTTGATTTTGATTTTTGTGCGTCCATTCTGTTGAATAAACTGAAATTCACAGTATTTGTTTTTTTTGTGAAAATGAAGAAATTCGCTTCTCTTTTTATATCGACAGCGGATGACGTCGTTCTCTTCTTGAATCTTTTCGGGGAGAAAAATATTTCTGTTATCTGTTGGTTCTTAAACAAACTCTCACAAAAAAAGTAGAGAAGATAAGAAAAACACTCACAAAAAAGCCACTCCACTACACTCGAAACAGGTAAAGAAGATAAGAATTCAGTTAAGAACTTGGATATTTTTTCTTCCAACTTTGTCTTGTCGACATTTCTCAGGTAATACAAGTAACGGTCATCGGATGAATTCGCTGACTCTTTTTCTGAGTGAACTACATTTGAGGGTGAGTAGAAACAAACCGCGGTTTTAATTACACAAGGAGTATAATTTAAAACAATTGTTGTAGTTGGTATGATTGAAAAGGATCGAAAGTCAAAACGTCGAAAATTAATGTCGAAGGGAAGAATGTCGAAAAATTAATATCGAAGAATATTCTTCTATAGAAAATTAAAAAAGACGCATTATCGTTGTAGTAAATATTTTATTCTGTATTAAAAATTTTTATTAAAGACGATACACAATTAAAAAAATATGAAAGAACGTGTACAGTCCTAAATCACAAGTTTCACACCGATTTTTACTTTTTCCTTCCGACCAATAATGATAAGGCATTTAACAATTGTTCACTATTGATATCCTGATTGTTATATCGACTATTTAAAGTCTCGATTCACTTTTGCATTGTATCAGCTGCCTTTGCTTTTGGCAGTTGTTGTGTACCGGCATTAATTTGACTATATAAGTGTTGAAACCGGCATTCTTCACCAATAAGACAATTGATGAAAGACCATATGTTTGAATGAGAACGTTCATACGTCTATTCAATCGGCCATGAAAAGCTAAACAAACAGAACATGTTCGAATGTTCAAAGAGAATGGAATGACATACCCTCACAAATATTGTTCGTACGATGTGGAGTATCATGAAAATTCCACATTTGGAGTGGTACATCAATCATCCAATGATTTTGAAAATATAAAAATAATTGACGCAGTTCCTGCTTTAATCGTGAATCTAATGATGCTCGTAAGTTATAAAATTGATTTTCAACTTCTTGAAGTGGCAAAAGACAAAGTGCCATTAATTTACGACAGCATGGTCTGATTTCATCGTCTTCAGCATAAGTTGTGCTTAAGCCTAAACTTTGAATACGTCGATTAAGACACTGATTGTAATGAAAATAACAACCTTGATGAATAGCTTGAGGAAATTAAAATATAAAACAAATACAGCTTGGCACAATGTGAATATCATGACTCACTTCAGCTGCTACAGCTAATATCAAACCGATTTCAAAATCATTAACAACTCTTTCAGGTTGAAATAATTCGTTTTTCAATGCCGCAATACTTTTTAATTCTTTAAAAAGTTGTTGGTACGTTGATTTTTTTTTCGATCTGGTAAAAGATCACACACACAAGAAAGATCTGTGATTAAAAAGAATTATTTTCTACAATACTAAAAACATCTATCATACTTGATCAGACATTGACGGCGTTGCTAAAAACTTACCATCCATGAAAATAATCGAGCTATCAAATAATATCATTCTTGTTTTGCGACGAACCAAGGCATCGCAAAATAAAAGCTTTTCTCCAGCAGACGTGAATTTGTTATAAATCAGGAATAATATCAAATGAACAAGACGTTGGAAGAACTGGTGTACGTTTTCGTCGTGTTCGATTCAATGCAGAATCTATTTTTAAAAAATCATAGTAAAAAGTACGTAAAATTCTCACAATGAAATATTACTTATACTGGAAACCAGTGGTACATTTGCAAGAGTTTCTGGTGATAAATGAGCTTTAACCATCTCTTCATCATATAATATCTTCGAAATCGGTGTTGTTTCATTGATAACACGTACTTTAAGAGCTTCTTGAAAAAGTTTAACTCCGATTTGTTCTAGTTGAACGAGATGATTATGTTTACCATTTGATTGCATATAATTACGGTTGAGATCAGTATGAATATTTGCATTACAGTTTTTGATTTTGCAGATTCAGTAGATCTTCGTTAATGTCTGTTTGCTGCTTTTATAAATAAAACCTTCTTTTACCAACATAGGATTACCTTTGTTAGAAGAAACAAAAGACGTGGTATCAACAGCATCAAACATCGTACAATGAACGTCAAATAGGTAAGATGGAAAAATTGTATGTATAAAATCGTCGAACGCATATGTAGGCGATGATAAGAGAATGTGTTATTTGTACTCTTTGTTTTCATATATCCTTTATATTCCTATTATTCTAGAATATTCGCTATTAGAACGACAAATTCGAAATATGTGTTGTACAGTACATGTAAACCCTGGACAGAGATTACAGACGAAAAAGAAATCGATATTATTTGTGTTCGATACCTCGAAATTTTCGACATTTTTTTCTTCGACACTTTCCTTGTTCGATATTTGCTTTTCGACATTCTGTTTTTCGATGTTTCGACAGTAAATCTTGTAGTTTATTTAGAGCGATCCTTTTAACTATCGCTTATGATCTTAATCAATGCATATGTAAAACACAAAACAGACTTAAATCAATAGGAACATTTCGGATATTATTCGAAAGTTAGATAGACTGCAAAAAATGTATCAGATGCAAAACAAAAACAAAACGCAGAGAATTATCGATATTTTCTCAATAATTCCAGAGTCAGATATCCAATCAGTCTGATCTTTGAGTTCCAGTAAGATTCTGACGTAACAATACGTCATTGGAACTCCATCACAATCAAATAAGCCTTTCAGCAGTTATATTCTAGACCGACAATAGAGCACAGTGAGTGATTCTACTAATACACTCGCTTTCTCAGTATATATGACGTGAAAATGTTTTTAATCGGTTGCGACCAACATATTAGTGTTACTTTAGCTCCTCGAAATCAACAACAGACTTGAACGCAAATCACCTTTGAGCGGATTTTCGGGCTTTACAGCATCTAGCACATCTTGGCTGACTTTCTTAGCGTTAACGGACACAAAAATAGTTTGGGTGAATATCACCCTCACACCCTCGAGACTAATAAACGACAAATTAAATATAAAGGTACAGTAGTTTCGTTGTTGGACTATAGCGCTTATGCAGGAGACTTAGTTGGATGCTGAATGAGCCCATGTCGCCTCTTTTTCCAGGACTGCGTCGCATTTGCGATCGCATCTGCGCCACAGCTATCACATAAATGATACTGCGCTTACTGTATCGCAGTTGTGCGCATCTGAGACGCAGTTACCGCATTTGTCTAACTCATCTATTGGAGAATTTTGAATAACAACCGTTAGTGCTAGCAGTCGAGTATAAAAGGAGATGCGAAAATCATTCAAGTTTATTTTTTCAGTTTTCAAATACCATACCACTTGATGCTACAACGATGAACTTCGAACGGTAAGTGGTACCTATCATATGTATGAGTCAGTAAGATGAGTGATCGAAAGAATGAGTCACCTTTTTTTAACCAATGAGATTTGAGATCCCAGTTTTTCTCGTTAATATGGTTCGAGATACTATTTTTTCAGGTACTGAGTATCATATGGCCGTTCGTGATGAATTATAGGTAGCTGGACATCGCTGATGAGTCATATGTGAGTGCTTTTTATACATTTTGCGTAATTAATAGGTTGGTGGGTGCTGCTAATCAGCCATGGGCCAGTGAAAAATGGGCTATTGTTCTTGGAAATTGAAGAATAATGGTAGGTGAGCGTAATTATCGCTAAAAGCAGGATCTTTCTGCCGATCAGGCCCTTCTGGTAATATTATTTCACTTGTTACAGATGCTTCTGTTGTGAAAATAGTGTGCTTCTGATCATTTAATAAATAAGACAAGATAGATTATAATGCAGAATAGTTTAGGTGGTTTGATCATAGTGGCGTAACCAGGAGGTAGCCAGGGCAGGCTCAGCCTGTCCACCGAAGGTTTGAGCTTGCCCACCGGAAATTCGAGTTGCCACACACAAATTTTTCCAAAGACTTTTTCATTGCACCCACAGTCACCCATAGTGATATGCAGAACAGCGAAGATGATTATAGAACGATTCTTTTCTATCTTATATTTGATTCGATGCTGTGGAAGGTGAATGATCGCTTTTCTGATGACAATACTCTTATTCTGAATGGCATATCGGCGCTGTGTCCGGAGAGTAATAATTTTCTTCACCTCAAATCGATTCAACCATTGGGAACACAAACAAATGTTGATTTTTCAGCTTTGTACAACAAGATACAGGTTCTGAAGCCTGTGTTGAAAGATAAAACAATGGATAACATTGTTGATTTATACACCGAGTTATTACCATGAAAACCAACTTTTCCTGAGCTGACAGTGCTTCTTCTCGTTGCAATAACAATTTCTATCCCTTCTATGATGTATGAACGAATATTCAACCAGATGAAGCTAATTTAGACAAAAAGGCGGAATAGTGTTAGGATGTCAGTCAAACAGCTGATAGCAGATGTTGGTTCACTCACATGACGTCACATATATATACATGGATTTGTCCATTCTCTCGTATCATGTGTTTGTGACGTCATATGTATATGTTCGTTTTCTCACATGTATGCATGACATCACTTGGATCTCTCCCATTCCTTGTTCTCCTGACAACCGTTTTCACACATATATATGTAACGTTTTTCATCTAATAAACGAGAGGTCTTCATATAGCGATCTTTTCTGACTACGGAAATATCCTTCGTCACAATAGTGTGTCGGACATGAAACCGAATGATTTGTGCGTTTTTGTCGTTATACGTGATTTTGTAGCGGGTTTTGAAAACGTAATTGATCATTTTGCTGAAAAGCACAAAAATAGTCGAAATTTTGCTGAAGTAGAGCTACACAGTGATGTACATTTTAATTAGGTTTAAAATAAACGAATAGCATAGCACTTCTTCACGATCAAGATTTACACCCTCTGTACCTCTGGCACATGTTGATTTTATACTAAACAAATTTAGAAAGATAGGAGGGCGTGAGGCTGAGCCTGCCCACCGCCAATTTCCCGGTTACGCTACTATTTGATCACCACTTATGATTGTAATAGTTGGTGCAAAAGAGTCGGAATAGAGACAAGTAACGCTCGCCGAGGCCGACTCGCTAAGCCCTCGACTGATTCACTTTTAATTCGACTCTTGTCATACGACAAAAGCATCTAAGATATTCAGTGCCTAATTCATGCATCCTAGACACATACCTAATTTCTCAGCCTTTTTACATCGCGTGACACCTGATTGGTCAGTTTTGTAATCTACGATAGCTACCAATCAGTCTCAGCTATCTCCCCACGTTATTCGTGAAGTTTCTGTTTATATTGATCTTGAATCATGATGCAAGCACACACCATTCAAACAACCTTTTCTCATACGATTCTCCCTTCGCACGAAAGAACATCTCATTAGTCCTCGTACCACTCCTCAATACACTACTGATATAGTCAAATTAGAGATTTAGTAAATTTCGAGCTAATGCAGTACGGCATTTCTCTCGGATATGCAAGCGTTGTTCGGTCAATGGTTGAACCCATTTCGAACGATTTTTTTAAAAAATTAAAGCATTTCGGAAAAGGCGGGAGTGTTTTTTTACCTTTGGCGTCGCCGCCACAGTTCTTCTCATCCCGTCCATTACTCCACCATCAATATCCTGCCCCAAGACTCCTCCCAAACCATGTTTTATGAAGCGTTGAGCTTTTTCTAAAAAATATTTTTTTGACCTTTGGCCCTGACACAAACCCACAAATTTTTTTTTTCATATGACCCGCCTTTCAGTCGAGGGAATGAGAGGTTATGCGATCATTGCGTCGCAATCTGACCGCAATAGCAAACATGGGCTAATACTATATTTCTTTTCAGAACCCCAATAACATTTACGATGGGTAAGAATGAGAAACACTCGTATGTCTTAACTGCAGTCAGCTAATGAACTTCAACTATAAGTTCATATCATTATATTAGAAATTCGGTATTGATACGAGCATTTGCAATGTCGCGTTTGTTCGCCTTATACGCAGATGCTACAACAAATTTCTCTCTTCCTTCCGGAGAGTGCATGTAAAGGAAATGCAGCAAGTTATGATTTTGCGAAGCACATTAAAATATAGAACAGAAAAGAATGTATACGCATATGCTTCTGAAAGTTTGATAAAGAAACGCTCATTTTTGCACTGAAATATTTCCATTTATTACAAAATGATAATTATACTAACGACGACCTTCGTTCTCAGTCTATGCATATCAGTAGACACATCTTATTTTATTTATCATTCAACTATTCTTCAAGGTTCCTCTCGAATCTACGATTGTTTGTACGCTCATTTAGTCGACAGTGGAAAAGCACTTGGAAAAGTCTATCTACAAAGCGATAATCTAATTCCTTATTGTCGGCGACCCGATGAAAATGAAGAGCAAGGTAAACTTCGACATCCCGTTCTTGAAAATATTGTACAAACATACAGTTTTAAACAATTGAAAAATGAACATATAACTAGTGAAGAATTACTTCAGTGGTTTTCACCTATTGATATTGCAGAAGATTATGAAAGATTTATCAACGAATCTGATGTATTCCATAATTGTTCAATACCTTGGTTTGGTTCAATGTGTGAATATAGGTTTGTTTTCGACGAAAAGTTATCATTCGAAACGATTATTGATATGACCAAGGCAAAGCAAGATGGGATTAAACGAAATATTTCTCATGGAACATGTTACCAATTTCTAACGAATTGCAGTGGAAGATCATGGCCATTATGTCTTCATTGGAGCGATATTTGTGATGGAAAATTTGATTGTTTAGATGGTGCAGATGAAGAATTTTGCGATCGATTAGAAATGACGAAATGTAATGAAAACGAATACCGATGCCATTATGGTGGGCAATGTATTCCACGCAGTTTTTTAAAAGATGGCACATTTAGTATTGACTGTCTTGATGGAAGTGATGAAGGTGAATACATTCTCCTTAATACGGGACTAAGAATCTCTAATTGTGAATCTAACACACCGTTTCGATGCAACGAAATCATTGGTCGGTATCCGAATTTTTTTCAATGTGATGAAGGAAACTATATTCAAAATAGTGCGTTACCAGATAGTAGATCAGTGTGTGCAAACGAGAAAGACAAGAAAGTATCGATTGCTTTGCTTACAAACATGGAACATATTTTAAGTATTGATTGCCAAAAAGCGTTCTACTGTGCACTGCATGCCAATCGAACATTTGGGTTTCGAGGTGTAGATGGCTCAAGTGAAGAAATATTCCCAATTTTAGAAGATATTAGAAACGAAGATTGTGAACCTTTGTCTGAACATTGTGAATCGGAATGGTTGGTAATACCTACCGTTCCTAAATTATTCGACTTTTTTCAATTTGTTTATTTTACGAATCGATCAGTTGATGATTTCAAAATATCGATAGAACCTGATCTCGTATGCTTTCCAGCAAAAGCATGTCCTGTATTGTTAATGGAAATACGTCCCATTCAACATATAAATGGATTAACGTGTTTTTCCCCTGTGAATTTTTCAGTTTATAAATTAACCGACTTTAATGAAGTATTTAGTGCATTTGCACATTACAATTATTACTGTCGAACAAAGGGTATCGATTTGTCCTGTGAAAATTCAACGAATTTCTATTGTAATGAATCCATGAAATGTATTTCCTACAATCGTGTTGGCGATGGTCACGTTGACTGTTATTATGGTGAAGATGAACAATTTAATACATGTCATTTGAACGATTCAAATCGATTTCAATGTTTATCAGATCCAACGAAATGTTTACTAGAAGTTGCAATGGGTGATGTAACAGAAAGCTGTCCTGATAATGAAGACGAACTATTCGTCTATACCCAAGAACTTTCTGTATTAATAACTTATCCACACATATGTGATCGAGATGAAGATATGGCTAGTTATTACTATCCATTGAATGAAACAGATGAAACAAATTGCCAATGGTGGCCTTGTAATAATACTTACACACGTTGTGATAAGAAATTGGATTGTTCCAATGGTATCGATGAACTTAATTGTCCAGATTCGAACTGCTCTTTGAATGAATTCGAATGCCACAACGGAACATTGGGAAGATCTTATTGTATACCGTTGAGTAATATGTACGATAAATATTCCAATTCATGTGATACATTACCTGTAGAACGTAGTGTTTACTTTTATAATGGAACAGACGATATTAGTGAAGATTACTTCTCTTGGAATCATAGTCAATGTGTCAGTTTAGAGAAACTCTGCCGATTGAATTCGTCAACCACCGAAAATATTTGTCTTTATGTTTCGATATATTATTTCTATTGGGCAATCGATTACCCGACCAAACTGATTCCGAATGACGACAATTTTTGTAGGCATACTTTTAATCCTTTTCCGGAAAATACTCCTCGTTTTCTCAAAACATCTCGATTAGGATATTTGCCTTCATCGCCAGTCAATCATTCGAAGCTCGTTCTATCGCAAACCGCGAATCCAACTAAAAGAGTCCTAACCGGTATCGATACTGAATCCATTTCATATTGTCATCGTGGTATTCTCGCATTACAGGGTTCAAATCAAACAAAAACATGTTTTTGTCCACCAAATTATTTTGGATCGCAATGTCAATGGCAAAATCAACGTGTTAGTTTAACTATTCAAATCGTATGGCGTAGTGTAACATTTCAAATGGCTATGTTCGAATTGATTATCATGCTTATTAATGAATACGGACAAATTGGATCATATCACGAACGAATTACTCATATGCCTGCGCGTGATTGTAATAAGAAGTATAATCTTTATTTGTTGTATCCAGATCGGCCGAAATCTTTAACACAGAATTATTCAATTCGTATCGATATTTATGAGAAAACATCTTTAACCTATTGGGCTAGTTGGCATCTACCGATACCTTTTCAATTTTTGCCCGTCAATCGAATTGCAGCACAAATTACTATTCCTGATTTGCAAAATCGTGATATATGCACTTCACCATGTGGCGAACATGGTAAATGTATGAATTACATCAATGAGAAGTCGTTGAGTTTTTGTCTATGTGAGCAAGGATATTCCGGTACTTATTGTAACTTTAAACATGAATGCCATTGCGCAAATGATTCATTCTGTTTAACATCATCGATATGCGTTTGTCGGCTGAATAAATTTGGTTCATATTGTTATTTAAACCATTCGATTTGTCAAGCAAACTCGAACAATCCGTGCGAACATGGTGGAATATGTGTTCCAAGTGATGATCGAATAGCTTTAAATGACTTTACTTGTTTCTGTTCGGAAGATTATTCAGGAAAACGATGTGAAATCCAAAGTAGTCGTATTGATATAGTATTAAATGATGAAATAAGATCTGCTACAACACTTTTATTATTACATTTCATCACAGCATTTGATCATACTGAACATGAAAGACAAATTTTATGGAAGAAATTCACTCTGAATCAAGAAATCTTGACAAATTATATCACAAAACCATTTCATATACTTTTCCTAGAAATTCCAAATCCGAATTCTTACTATTTAGCAATTCTTCGAGAAGTCTTTGAACCTTCGGAATATATTCGTACAAAAATACAAAGGGAACAACGTTGTTTGTCCATCGATCAACTGAATGAAAGCCTTCGACATTATGAATATTTTCGACGAGTAAAATATTATCCATTACTATGCCGACAAAATCTCGACTTAAAATGCTTTTACGATCCCGAACATATGTGCTTGTGTGATCAAGATCGATTTGCCAATTGTTTTCTATTTAACCATACAATCAATCATGATTGTTCAGATTATAATTACTGTGAAAATCAAGGTCGATGTCTTCGAAATAATGCGACCTGTCCAAGCAAATGGACTTGTATCTGCCAGGATTGTTTTTATGGTAACAAATGTCAATTTTCGACGAGCGGTTTTATATTATCACTTGATACAATTCTTGCGTATCATATTCAACCAAAAGTTTCCATTGGTCGGCAATCACTACTCATCAAAATAAGTATTTTTATCAGTTCGACTCTTTTCCTTCTTGGATTTTGCAATGGTTTATTAGCATTTGTCACATTCCGTCGAAGTAAAGTCAAAAGAGTAGGAAGTGGTTATTATCTTCTATCTTCATCAATTGTTTCAATATTAACGATACTTCTTTTAACATATAAGTTTTGGTTTTTACTTATGTCTCAAACGTCTTTCATTATCAATCGAACATTACTTCATTGGAATTGCTTGATAGTAGATATTCTTATTCGAATATTTCTCGCGTTAAGTGAATGGTTGAATTGCTGTGTAGCAATTGAAAGAGTGTTCAGTGTTATTATGGGTGTTCGGTTCCGAAGAACGACAAGTGTTCGATATTCAAAACGGGTCATCATAATTATAATCATCTTGGTCACGTCGACACATATGCATGAACCACTTCGTCGCGAGTTGATCGATGATTTCGATATTGATGAACATAGAATTTGGTGTTTCGTTCGATATTCATCTTTGATTGAAAAATACAATTCAGTTATAACTCTTTTTCATTTCCTTATACCTTTTACCATTAATGTTATATCTTCTCTTTGGATCATTATAAAATTAGCATACAGACGACGTAGAGTTCAACGTGGAGAAACATTGAAAGATCATCTCAGATACCAAATTCAACAACATCGACATATTTTATATTCGCCATTTATTTTAATATTATTAACATTGCCTCGTTTGATCATTTCATTCATACGCACTTGTATGAGATCAACACAAAAACCATGGTTACTTCTAATCGGTTATTTCCTTTCGTTTGCACCATCAATGTCGATATTTATTGTTTTTGTTTTACCATCAAAGATATACAAAGCAGAACTAGATGCCGTCGTCGAACAGCTCCTAAAAAAATTTCGTACAGCTCAATAATCTCGTTGAAATCCCTACACTTTTTTCAGCTTTATATTACATCGTATCAATTCAGTCGTTTTCATTGAATGTTGTGATAAAATGTGTTGAATATTATCCTGTTCTCAGAAAGCAATCATAGGACAGTATGATGTGAAATATTGCATGTAGTTGCGGAAGATAATGATCGTTGTCGCACAACTACGACGCAATCACAGGAAACTGTGGATAAGACAAACTATGTTCATTTGAAAATACTTTTTATTTCAATCCAATAAAATCACCCAAACTTTCTTCGTCGTCAGCAACGAAAATATTTTCATTTTGAATTTTTGTTAAATTCATTTCACCTTTATCTTGATCATATTCTTTTGACAAGTAAATATTACACAATAATTTTGAAAGCCGACTCGTCGCTCCAGTCCATATACAATCATAGCCACCTAAACAGACGATTTAAAGTATGACTTTCATGAGATTTTACCCATAAAATACATACTATCAAGCCAGAAATGTTCGAGAATACACATTCTGTTTGTACATCGAAATTCATCATTTTCACATTCATTGAATTCCGATAAATCTCAACTCTCTTCATCGGTGTTACCTGCACATCTTTGAACACTATCACAGATCTCTCGCCAGTCAAGACAAATACGACCTTATCACATGATAACGTGTCCTAAGAATCGTCATTTTGTTTCTCGAGATATTGACAGTATTTTCCGAAGGTTGTTGATGTTGTGCCATTACACAAATAATGATCACTAGCATACTCTATCAATGACTGATTGTAAAAGAAGCGAGCATATAGATCAGCCAATTCTATACTGGAACTCCTATCAGGAACAACACTTGATTTCACATCTAATTCAATCAATTTACGAAAAGATAGTCTTACTCCTTCATGTTTACATTCCTGCTGAAGTCTTTTAAATTCATTTGTTATACCGTTACGTCGACAATGTGAGATTACTTCTCCAATGGCATTTGAAAAAATCGACAAATTGAAAAGTATTTATGAAAATTTCAAATTAAAAATCTTCACGGAAAATTTTAATTCGACATGGTGAAACTGATTGAAATATTGAAAAGAAACTTCAAGGACATTTGGATATTCTATCGAATCAAAGCGAAATTTTACAAAGCGACAAACTTAAAGGCAAACTAAATGGAATCAATTTTTCCAAAATCATCTCATCGGATTTGCAACGAGCTCCTTTAACTGCTGAACAAATTTACAATTCAAATCAATTCTACTTGGACAAAAATCGTTTGGTCAGTGGGAAGGAACATCAATTGAAGAACTTCAGTCGCATTTAAAACAAACATTCGATCTCGGTCAATTAACGAAAGAAGAATATTTATCTTTTAAATCGGATGCACATACCGAAAGTTATTCGGATGTTTATCGAAGAATTTGCCAGGCAATTTATTCATTGATTATCTCCCATTCATCTGATCTGAGCAGTGCGGTACTATTTTCAACGCATGGAGGAGTTCTAAGAACGAGTTTATCTCATTTTAATTATTGACAAAGATTCAAATGGAAAGTATTGAATTGTGTTTTGATTAAATTGCAAGTTTGTGTCGGCAGGCAACTTTCTACGAAACAATTAGATTTAATTCAATTTATCAAAGACGAAAATGTTTTATCTTTATTTTAAAAAGAATTATCTTCATTCTATGAAATAAATATTGGAATCACAGACAAAAGAGCAAACAATATTTGAGAGTATGACATAATATGAAAGGAAATTGGTATCATTTGAAAATCTCATAGAATATCACTTTTTTTTACTAAGGTACTGCACTTACATTTGACGATTATATGATATCATATGTATTTATGGTAAACTTAATAGAGGTAAAATCGTTTCAATGCTAGTCTTTTGATTTTCGCCTTTCGAAGTTGATCGCGTTGACTTGAGTTTTATTTTTTGATCAGTAACGTAGTTCAGTGTCACAACAACATGCATAGCAATTCATATGATCATCTTTACCAAATCTATTCCATTGAAAAGTCCGTGTTAGAATTCTTTTGTTAGATTTATTTATTTCGACTAAACGAGATATGAATGAATGTCTTGGCATTTTTTTGGTTGTGATATTTTTCTACATCATTTTCTTCTCGGTTCTCGATAGAAAAATCTTATTTAACATCGTCAGAATGTATGCGAAGGAGAAAAGAAGAATCAAGTGTCTGATGCAGAGCTTCGAACACAAAACACTAATTTTGTCGAAGAACTGTAATCATACTTGGAACAATAAAATCTTTTTTTTATATTATTGTTAAGATTATAAAAAGTCAGCAAACATGGAGAATAACCAACATTCCAAACTATTTGAGAAGAAAACCATCCAATATTAATATTACAAAATACACTTACATTTGAACTATTACCATTAATCTTCTATATTCGTCAGAGGAAAATTCTTTCTCTCGATGACAATCGTCAATAAATTTGCTTTCAAATGATCAAAATTGGCCATCGAATTCAAATATAAATACATTTCAACACAATTTTTCTGAAATTCTTTTCGTCAACAAGAGAAAAGCAAAGTCTTTTTTGTCTTTTCACATGAAAAATTGAAAATCTTTGCAAAAAACAACTCTCCCATTTCATATGAAATCTTCATCGATTCGAATATTTCTCATTAAATCATCACAGCTTCTATTGTCGCGCGACAAAAACAAAACTAAATCTTTTCAACGATTTTCTTCTTTCTTTTATCGAATTTATTTTTTCTCTTCGTTTGACAAACATGTATTCAGAAAAACCCAATAGAATCTGATTTTCCCTTCAACTGTATTTCATCTTTTGTCAGTTCAACAATAATTTTTCATTTTTCACGAAGTTGCAATGAAAATCTTTGTTTTTACAAACTTTTCGTTTTTCTTTTGTTTCAAAAAGAAGAAAAAATTTCCAGTTCAACGTCTTTTTTGATCAATACAATTCGGCACTGTTGAGAGGAAAACATTCACCTGTCACTAATATTGCCTTATTGGATAAAATCAATGCTGTGTGTAATCATCGTGCAACACTCATATTTCCAGTTGTTGTCCGTTCTAAACAAAACAAAGACAAACTCAAAACTCCTTTTCTTTCTCGACAACTTCGAAATCCAAATCAAACTACAAAAACGAAGTTTTCTTTGATAGAAAAAAAGGAATTTCTTGAAAAACTTTCCAAACGAAGTAGTTCAAGGAATTTCCAATTGAAAACGACTTGTTTCTTTAATTTTTCATTTGAACTTACGTCCTGAACAGAGAATTCAATCAAATCTTTGAATTCGATGGTTTTGTTGATCAACCACAAAAAGAATTCCAAATGAATCAAATTGAAGATTTGGTGGAGAATTTAATTGATTTGGATTTGATCCAGCTGATTGATTACAGCCGATGAAACACTGAGAACCATTGGGATTCTGTCCAAGAATTCAGTTATTGCTGGAATCAACAACAAATACAAAACCTTGATTATCCAATGTGATTTCACTTGGACAGTTCAATGGAAATGTTTGATTCGAAATAATTGTTTCGCCTTCAAATGAACCCAAATGGAATTTCTGTATTCGATTGTTTCCACAATCAACAACAAATAAATCTGCATTGTTTTCATCAAGAAATATTCCGCGAGGATTCCGGAGCGTTATTGATGTTGATCCTTCACTTCCTGTTCCTGCTACAGTTGACGGATAGTCCCATTGATGGAGTAATGACTTGGAAATGATCTGATGTTGTTGTGAGACAAGGAACAAAATAGAGTTTGATCTTCACTCACAAAAATATCAAAACATTGTTCACAAAATTTCATTCGTGAAATCGAATTGACTATCGATGATGATGAATTCACTTCGATTTCATTCACATTTGATGAATGAAATGTAGCAACATAGATCTTCTCTTCGTTTGTCACGAATAAACTTGAAGTATTCTTCCAGTTCATCGAAACATTTCCAACCAAACTCACATTTCCTTGAACAAAAATCAAAATTTGTTCATTTGATATGTATATTGTATTGTTTTCATCAATAAATAAACCAACGAGATTTTTTCCATTTGGATTCCATTGAGAATTGGATGAAAGACTTAGTCGATTCTATGAGTAACCTCAATTCAACACTCTATCAAGTCAAAGCAAATCTTTCAACGAAACTTTACCTGAAACTTTGTTGACAACGAACAAAATGATGAAAAAAAGAACTTCTCACTTTCGCCAACATTTGTGAGCGATTTCAAAATGATTTTCTCACAACAACAGCTCTGTATGGAAATCTCTTTTATTTATTCAAACACAAATCAGCAAATTTCTGATTTTTTACGAACAAACATTCCAAGAAAGCCAACTTTTCTGCTAAAACTATTTTGATGTTTTGAATAAATGAAATGATCAAAGAAAAACGAAATAAATTATTCCATAAGAATATCTACCTGATTTATTATTTGATTTGACGTATATTGAATAATTTCGTTCAATGAATCATTTTAAAATGCAAAAAGCAAACAAAAGATTCATTTCAATAAAGATTATTTCTGCAATACAATGTACTAAGCGAGTGTAATGCTGCAGACACTAGAACGAAGTTGAACCCATTGTCGCCAGAAATCTGATCATCAAAGCTACTGCAGAGTGTTTTCTCCCTTTCGCTCGTCTTGGTCATCTCTCGACACGAATACGATCAAAATGTTTTGAGAAACTTTTAATTATGCTGATTATAATGAACGTTAGTGACATTTCGACGAAAATCACATGATGATTCTATAGATGTTGTCCATCCTTTCTTATGAGTACAGCTTAGACTGATAACATCGGATTGGAAACTAGACGTGCGTATTTGAACAAAATGTATTTCTTCTTTATTTTGATCAAGACATATGGCACAGTTGACATGAGAATCTAGTTGAGTTTGGAATGCGCGAAAAAAAATAATAGAAGAGAAAATAGAATACAAAAAAAAATTATCGATTTTTTCTGATTTACAGTTTGTATAACCCATGTCCCGCGTCATAATTCTTTCGATTGAAAAATAAGATCGTCTTTTTTTTCGTAATTTTTCAATCTCCCGCTGCTCGAAAAAGATCTATTCGTTCCACAAAAGTAAAATTACTTCCGTTTTTCTTTCTCTACAGTTTCTATGTCAAAAAAAGATCTATTCGTTCCACAAAAGCAAAATTACTTCCGTTTTTCTTTCTCTACAGTTTCTATATCCCCATGTTTCGTTGCTCGAAAAAGATCTATTCGTTTCACAAAAGTAAAATTACTTCCGTTTTTCTTTCTCTACAGTTTCTATATCCCCATGATTCGCTGCTCGAATAAGTTTTCAATGTCCCGTATATCGCCGCCCTGGAAAGAAAACAGAGTCAGCATAAGCTATTTAAATAAATCAACATTTTCTTTATGATTTTCAATCTTTCATCGTAACAACAACATGTAATCAATCGTTAAAACTTTTCTTTACCATTTTATAGAACTCTGAACGATCTTTCGAAATTTCAAAATATTTTCGTACACAAGTATAGCTTCTATCTATTTCTCTTTCTAACGTAAAGAATATAGACTTATATAGTATTTTGACATCTATGTACATTGGAATCTCAACTAAATCCTCTAATCGACTGCGACATATATAAAAATGTATAAATATTGAATTACATTAAAAGAAAAACCGTTGATGCACTAATAATAATGTCCACAAGCTTATGCCATTAAATTTCGTTATTTTCGTCTTTACCGACGATTTTATCGTGAGCACCTACACTAGGCAGGCGATAAAATCTCTCACAAAACTGACGATACAGCCGATTTACGTCAGCTATATTTGACTGAGGGAAGAGGAAGAAATAAAAATAAGTAATATACTCGGTTCTAGTAATGAAATTCAAGGTTAAAAAACAATTCGTTTCATATAAATACAGAACGATCTAGATCTCGTTTAATAATTTTAGATGCCTGCAATGTTGCTTTCAACTAAATGTAATCATGTATTGATCGTTTATCTTACAATTCAATTGAATCTTGCCATTGGGCAAATTTGCCAAAATGATATCCCAGATTTCTTTTATAATGTGAATTCTGCTGGTCCACTCTTTGATCAATCTGTTTATACGGTAAATGCATTCAATTTTTCTGGTACATCGCCCAATGGCACGACAGTCTTTACCTTCAATGTTCAACCACAAACAGATTTTACTCGACCAAGTTTTGTTTCGACATCTGTTACTGGTCGAGCACTTAATCTCACACAGGGTGTTATAACAGTGACGTCGAGCAACCCGAATTTTACTGTTACTACTTTATCAAATGGTTCCTATGCCCTTGTCAGTAATACTTAGTAAGTCATCAAGATTAGTTAAAAGAGAATATAATTCGATGCTTTTCATCTAGCCCACTAAGTTACTTTGTACCTTATTATCGTTATTTATTTTATTTAATTGCAACTCAAACATATTCTACTCGACCATCGGTTAGTTCCACTGCACTCGTTGTGATTAATCTTCAAAATTATAATGTCAATCCACCAGTGTTTATACCAGCCAATCAGACATTTTTCATTAGTGAAACGGCAACTGTCGGGTCACTCTTCGGCACGGTCTATGCCACTGATCCTGATGGCGATGGCATTGTCTACTCGACGACTAGTGCTCTGTTTTCTATCGATGCAACAACGGGTTCTTTGCGGTTACAACAATCGTTGCCATCATACGCGGCATCACAATATTTCGTTACTGTCACTGCGAGTGATGATGGTTCATCGTGTTTACCAGCACTTCCAGTCTGTCCAAGATTTTCGACCACAACAACCATTACCATCAATATAACAGCTGTCAACAAACAATCGCCAATCTTTCTGAACAATATTTGTGGCTCGACAGTTTCATTTTACGAAAACAATGCAATTGGAGCGAATATTACTATGATGTCAGTTTACGATGGTGATCGAGGAGCGAATGGACAAGTAACAATAGTATTTCCATCTACATCAACTCAGGCAACAGGTAGATTTTAGTCAGGTTCATGCATTCTCTTGATTATCGTGCTTTCCAGCCTATTCACAATTTTACATTCAACAGTCAACACAAATAAACTCGACTCGTACAGCATTGTTACGAACGAATATTTCCTTCGATTACGATGCACCAGGTAGTGCTATCCATACGTTTGAAATGAATGGCTGTTTGATTATTTAGGCATACAACGAGTTTGGTATTTATTTATATTAGCTACTGATAATGGCACACCTCAACGACAATGTAAGTGCCCGATTTCATAGTTCAACGCATTTCTATTTCAAATTGTGTTTAGCTTTCTGCAGTTTACGTATTAACCTATTGGATGTGAACGATAATTCACCAGGTGAGATGGAGGATTCTTACTTTCATGTTCATGTGAGATTGATTTCGTTTAGTATTTATTATGACAAATTGGAATTATACAATCTATCGTTCTACCGCTGGCAATTCCAATAGTGCTCGTTTCTTACGTATTATCGCGTCAGATGCTGATTCAGGCGTCAATGGACAGATTAATTACTATATAGGAACGGTTGGTGTTCCGTATTTTACAATTAATCAGACGACAGGAACAGTGATCCTTCGTAGCAGTGTTCCTGGAATTTACAATTTAAGTGTTAGTCTCTTTCCAATTACATTTCAAGTGTATGCACAAGATAGCGGTACACCTCCACGTACTAGTGAGACCAATGCCACAGTTACAATCTATTATAATAATGGCAATGATCCACCACCTGCACGATGGGTCGATCCAGCTTATGAAGAATTGAACTTTCCAATTATTGAAAAATATTATGAAACCTATGGAGATCGGCCGATATTTAATCCATCCTATGGATTTAATGGAACTATCAGTTATATATTAACATCGACAATATCATCCATTATGACAGTTAGTAGCCCATTTCCAAATACGTACATACCATTTAGTGATGTATTTGTATCAAAATCTGGAAATGTTTCTAGTAGTGGCATTGTTGTTACCAGGTAGAGAGAAGATAATTTCGTAGTTATTGTTGTTCTGATTAATTTGCTTCTCTCTTGCAGTGGTCTTCATGCGGAAATTCAGAGCACTTATCTAATATATATTCGTGTTCTTGCCACTCCACCATTAGTTGGCTCAACAACGGTGACGCTAATCGATCAAAATGATCAAATCCCTACATTTAGTATTAATTCTATTCGTTTAAATATCGTTGAGAATGAGGGCGGAAGTCGGGTTATTGCTCAAATTCAAGCGTACGATCGTGATGTTAATCCTATATACAGCTTCGTTCAATATCGTTTGAATGAAGTATTGAGTGATTCCGGAGCAATCGGAAACTTTTTTGTCGCTGCAAATGGAACAATCTGGACAAATGCAATATTCGATCGTGAAAGTAATAAAACACTCTATCGTATCTTTATCACTGCTTACGACGGCGCACCGGCTTGGAATTCGTTGGGACCAAATACTCAAGATTTTCAATTTGATGTTCAAGTTATCGATGTCAACGATGTTCCACCAGGTAGATCGATTGATTTGTTCTGAAATTCTAAAGGGTATGGATTTCTTTTCACTAGTTTTTGCCAATTCAACCTCGCTGACTATATATATCAATGAAACAACAGCAATTGGTACTGGTATCCTGAACTTAACCATCACTGATACAGATTTCGATACTATCCTTGACTTTGGCATATTGAGTGGAAACACCAAAAACGCATTTGTTTTTCGACTATTATCAGATAATACTGCTGATTCAACACGTACACAGTATCAAGCTATAGGACAACTTTATGTCGTTGGACCTTTAAGTTATGAAGTTACGCATAACTATACGCTAGTATTATTCGCATTCGATACTCAAAACTTAGCAACGATTACAGTCAACGTTATTTTGCTCCCACAGAACACACGAGCACCTATTTTTAATTTGATGCCCGGTTTCAGTTCTTATCAATATTCTGTATTAGAAGGATCTGCCGTGTCAGTTCTCAACGGACCAGTCGTAAGTTGCTTGTCTGTGCGTTCGCGTGTATATTAATTGAGTGAGAAACATTAATGTCATTTCTGGTGAACGCAATAAGCATTCGTTCCATATAGTAATCAAGGTATCCTTTTCAATTTTCTTTTCTATTTAGATCAGCGCAACTGATCCTGATATTCCACCAACATCGCTTGTTTATAGTATTGTCACCAATAATATACAATGGAACATCAATAATATAT